AAAAAAAAAAAAAAAAAAAAAAATAGATAATAAATAGACGTGAGAGGCGAGACGAACGAATCGAGGGACGGATTGATACCGAACGCGCGGTTCAGCGGGCAAACGCGTCAATTGTTCGACGTCTGGCACTTCCGTGACTTTCACACCGTGAATCGGTGTTAGCAACCCTCCTTCCTTAAAATATATATCGACGAAGAAATGTACGCCGCGTATACGTACACGTGTCAGGCACGCAGAGGCTACATATGTACGTACGTACATACAGGGTGTCCCGCGGCTCTGAGATCAACTGAAAGGTGACTCTACACGTAAAAATCTGTCGAAAAGAAAAGGATAAAGTTTGTTCTTTAAAGTCGCCGTTTTTCGAGAAAAGCCGAGCTTGAAAATTTACCGAGTATACCTGAATTCAGCTAATTCTAGATATGACAGAAAAGAATAATTAACAGGGAAGTGATTCTGTATGTAAAAATCTGTCGAAAAGAAAGAATAAAATTTGTTCGCTAAACCCTTCGTTGAATTAGCCAAATTCAAATATACTCAATGTTCCATCAGTCGATTGACCACGAATCGTGGGACACTTTGTGTATATATATACATATGTAGATAAACAGATACATACATACAGATACAGAGATACATACGTACACACAAACAAACAAATAAACAAACATACATACATAAATGTACATGTGTCTCCAAGTATATCAGCACAACAACAACAAAAAAAAAAAAAAATGGTTAAGAGTAAATTTGTATACTCGCCGGACGATTACATGCAGCAAACGAGGCTTGCTATATGCGTACGAAAACTAGGTTACAGGTTTTCAACGAGTTTCAACCAATGACAAGGATGATATTCGAAGAGCAGGATGGTTCATTTTGCGAATCAGGAATCGTGCTCGAGTCTATGATAAAAAAAAAAAAAAAAAAAAAACCAGAATTCGCACGAGTTCGCAAAATCAACCTCACCCCTCCTAACATCAAGATAAATACGTCGCCTTACGTGTCTACAAGTCACACAACGCGTGTTCAAACGTAAGTGTACGGGGCGACGCAGACAGTATACACGGTATTTTCAATATATATATCTTACATACCTAGTAGCATTATCAAAGCATGCTGAGAACAATGTAAAAGTAATAAAACGTTGTTATTTAAACTCTTACAAACACAACAAATATCAGCCATCTCAAAAACACAGGGGAAGGGGGGAGGGTGGTTAGCTCCTTCGCCTTGTGGTATGCGATGTGGTCTCGAGGCACCTCTCCCCTCTCTGAACAGTGTCGGTCAAGTCTTGCCCACCGTCAGTGGTGCGCAACGTCTTCGAGGAGCGCGGCTACGACGACGATGACGACGACGGATTCCACCACGATATCGGAGAATTGCGGATCGGTTCGTGCGCGTATCGCGTTTCAGAACTACGCCTTTTAATTTATTTTCTCGCATCCTCGCCAAAGAGGACTTTCAACAGGCGAATTAACGATGGAAACGCAACTTTTTGGCGGGAGAGGGGTGACACGCGAAGGGCCCTCTCTCGGGGTTGATTTGCACACTGGGTTTCCGCGAGAGGGACCGAGGAGCAACGAACGGAGTGGTGACATCTAGGGACAGGTAACAGTTTCGTCTTCGATGTTGGAGAAGTGTGTCGCGCCGATCGCGTGGATCAACGTGTGACAATAGCGAGGAGAATAGAATGGAGCTGCGTTTTAGAGCGACGAGTTGACGATTCGCCGGACAAGAGAGTGTAGCATAGTACCTAACTTGATTTGGTTTGATTTGGTTTGGTTTGGTTTGGTTTGCTTATTGGGGGTTAGCGTCTGCTCGCCTACGAAGAGTCACTCGCACGGTCGCTGCAACAACCGTCAGAAAAAAAACCGTCAGTTACACCCTGTTTAAACAGAACGACTCCGCCGTGACTTTTTCCTCCAGAGTACATTTTCGATGATCGTTCGCGCACCGTTCGTTTGTTGTGCCCGACCGACGAAAAAGAAACGATGCCAGCGCTCGTGAAAAGAAGCCGAAAGCAATCGGTTTCGCGAAGCAGAAACTCTAACGATTCGATCGGTTCACTCTCATTATCCGAGTTTTTTTTACTCGAACGAAAAGATCAGGGAAGAGCGGAAGGCGAAACGGAAGACGTATTTCCAAAGCTTTGCCGATGCTTTGGAAATACGTCTTTCGCTCTTCCCCAATCTTTTCGAGTAAAAAAAAAAACTGAGATAATCAGAGTGGACCGATTGAATCGTTAGAGTTTCTTTTCTGCTTCGACAAAACCGACTGCTTTCAATTTCTCGCGACACGTTTGACAGGGGTTCTCACTTCGAGACGAAGAACTCTCGCCGATAGATTCGAAATGTCTCGATTACGGAATTGGTCGATTTCTGGCATCCTTCTTTCTAATGGCGCAGAAGGACATAAAACAATATCGAAAGTTCGAAGAATCGGCAAAGTTAAATATAACTGTACTGCACTTTGCGCTTTCGTCATCTTTCGTGTTCTTTTCCGAGCCAACGATGTGGCAACGAAAAAGAAGAAAAAGGAAAGGAGGAAAGCAAAAGAACTTGCAGCCGATTCGCGGGCTACGTGTTCGCGATCACGTGTCGGTCACGGAAACAAACGAAGATTTCTATGGTGCGCCCGTCTACCGAAAATATAAACTGCGTAAGAAACAACTCCTCTCTGATCGCTGATTGAAGAGTCGACGATAGACGTGTGATTCAGATAATGCATAAACTTTGAATCAAAGATGGATTCTATCTTGGAGAGAGTGTGACAGAACTTGAATTTCCTCGTGTATTCGTGTGTATGGGCAACGTGTCTGCGGTAATGTCATGCTGTAAAACTTTAGTGTACACTGAATGATTTAAAAGAAGAAAAGTGAAAAAAATGCGGCTGCTCGTGTTAATGGGATAATATACTTTTTTTTTTTTTTTTTTTTTTGTTTTTAAATCAACAACATTGCAACTTGCTACTACTTGCGTATTACGAGGTTCTATGTTAGGCAAAGTGTGAGTCACGTCTGTTATGTTTAATTTTAATGCTCAAACTCTTGCTTGAATCGCAAAAAAGAAGAATTGCAAAAAAAAGAGAGTATACAATCGTTTATCAGGCTTACTTGGTCGCGCGATTGTCCACAATCGCTCTAATTACAAGTTACGCGAGAGTGGAAGAGAGACCAAAAAAAAAGAAGAAAAGGAAGAGAGAAAAACGGAACTACAAGCAGGTAGATTTTTTGAGAGAGAGAACATCGTGCAGACATGCGCTTAGAAGAAGTCAAATATCTCGTTCGCGCGTGTACTTTGCGCAAAAAAAGTCTCCCGGAATTCAAAATTCAAAATGAGGAGACACGCTCGAAATCGAGATTTCTCTTTGCACGTGTACGCGTCGAAAATCACTGAAACGTTTACCCACCTGTGCCAAACACGAACAATACGAGGTTAGTATCAAATGTTGCAAAAACATCGTCAGGCAAGATACTCAATGGAGAGAGAAAGAAAGAAAGAAAGACAGAAAGAAAGAAAGGAAGAAAGAGAGAGAGGCACGCAAGAGAAAAAGAAAAAAAGAGAGAAATAATCGGTGAGAAGGAAAGATGGAGCAAAAAATAGTAGAAAAGGAAAGAAAGAGAAAAGAGGAGAGCGGAAGAAGAAGATCGTAGGAGAAAGAGAGGTAAAAATCGGTAAAAAAAAAAAAATAAAGAAAAAGGTATGCTCTGTCTATCAACGACTCGACAACAGCTAGGTACTAAGAGATGCATGACTGAGTACCATTCAGCATTTTCTCGCACGGCTTATAATTTTAACCAGTGGCAAAACAGCGACGATCGTCGTCGTATCGGTAGCTTGCTTCGACCGAATCGACGATCGATCTTGCAAGATTTCATCACAGACGAGTTATATGAATGTGAACCAAACAGTTTATGGGATTTCATGGCCTGTGACCTGAAATACCGCCGTGGAAAAAAAAAAAAAAAAAAAAAAATCGCTGGTGTTTTAGCGCACTCTACACTTAAACAACGGTGACTGTGGGAACTACATCTGATAAAAAGCGTTGGTCGCGTCAAAGTTGGTCAAGTAGCGAATGCGCCAGAAACACGATTCTTGAAATTTATTAGTGAATGTTGTGAATATCGAAATGTGAAGCTAGTTCCATTCTACCGCGTATCAAAAAGAGCCTATATCGTATACCTCGTCTGTGACTTCACGTTCGCCGGAAAAAATTGAAGAACCATCCGCGTTTTCAACGGGACGCAACTGAAACAGATGAAAACTACGCTACCGAGCGTAGATAAAAATTTATATACAAGCGTCGACGTCACGTGGCTACGCTGATATCCCCGATCCGAACGGGACGAAACTTGCAAGAATATCTTGACACTGGGTAGAATTCCGAGCCATATGTGAACCATTTACGCTCCAACGATCCATTCGACGGTCCATTGGTTCCGTCGAACCTCGACGACGACGACGGGCTTCAAGTTGAATTTCGAAATGACGGCGTAGGTGGAACACGGAACGCAGAGGGTTCACTCGCGTTGACTCGTTTTGCAATTCGGCACCGGTTCTTGTTTCGTACGGTGGAATATAATCGCTGGACGTTCGTCTTACCTCTTGGCAAAGTGTTGCTGCCGATGTCGAACACCGTTTCCCTCGAAGGATTACCGTGAGACCCCATCGGGCTGTTGGAAGACTCCGAGTTCGACGCGTTCGCAGAGCCCTTTCTCGAGAAGATGTCGTCATCTCGGCCGAGCGACTGCCTGAACTGAGACTCGGACAATCGCCTACGTCCCGGAAAAAAAAAACAGACAAAACAAAACGTGCGTGACTTCTGCGATCTCGATTCTGAGAGCTCGCGATCTTTTTTTTGTCGTCCGTTCTGTGCTTTCGATCTCTTTTGTTTAGGACTTGTTATATAATTTAAATTTCAGCCGCAGGAGAGAGAACGCGGGGGACGGCTCGAGAGAGCACAGGTTTCAAAAAAAAAAAAAAAAAAAAAAATTCTGCTCTTCGCAATATCGAGAAATTGGAGAGGAAACGCACGTTGAAACACGCCGCGTGCGTTGTGTTTCTAGCTGGTACCGATTACAAAATTATATTTTGCACTACCTTCTAAGACAATCGGCATAGACTACATTGTTCTAAAGTTGTTGTAACAATTGGACTCACGTAGTCACGGTCCTTGTCTCGACATATGTCTGGTAGCTTGCACAAACAAGCGTCAAACCGTTGCCATTAGGTATCGTCGAAAATTGATGCGAAAAAAGCAAGTACAGTAGCGCCTGCTTGAGCGTCCACAGTTGGGACTGAGAGTGGCACGCTTAAGAGGGGTGGTGTATTCTGCGAATTGGCACCGAAGGAAAGAGTGGGGACGAGCGTCAACTGTCATACCGATACCAGGCACGTGCGGCGATTTCTAGTATTGTTCGCTACATAATTTCATTGTAAAGAAGTGTAACATGTTATTTAAACTGAAAATACGTTCGAACTATTTCGAATTTAATACATACATATTTTTAAACTAAATGAAGCAATGAATTGTGACAAAGCAATAATTGTCAGGTGGTTTTAGTTAATCTAAATTTATTGAAATTCGCATAAAATTGAATTGAAATCTTGAATAAAGATTTTGTTACATTTTCATCGGTATTAAATTAACAATATACATAGTATGATTCTACGACCGTATTGATACGTATAAATTGGATGTGTATTTGTTATTTAATGTAAAATTTGCCTAACTTTGATCGATGTGTGTCCGAAACAACCACAATGTGCCGAAATATCGGTATCACATACCGCTTGTTTTGTTTCATGTTTCACGCGGCTGCATGGGAAAGTAGGTAGCGCAGAGTGGGAATAGTTTCAATTCCAAGAATTGGTAGGGATATCGACGGACGCTTAAGTGGACACTACTGTAAAAACAGACAGCTACTACGAAAAAAACTAGTGTACTATATTTTTCGGGAGAGGAAGAAGTCATTGCTTCGTTGCTTCGAAGAAGAAGCAATCTCGCGTGAAAACAAAAACAAAAACAAAAAAAGAAAAGAATCGTGAAATAAAGAAAGAGCAACAACGTGTACATAATAGTAAAAAAAAAAAAAAAGTAAAACGAAAAGAATAGTCAGTGACGTCGATGAATTACCTCGACAGTGGTTTATTGAGGCCCCAAAACGCTTGCGAGGGATTGGATCCTAATCTACCGAAGAGTCGTGAACTCGGGAAGCCGGTAGTGCGATTGTCGTCGACGTTCAACCTCTGCGTCAAGCTTCGCACTCTGGACAGCAAAGTGGAGAATAAATTCTCGGCGGTCAATAGTTCGAATCCGTCGTCGTCGTCGTCCTCGCCAGAGGACAAACTGTCCGCGTGTTCCGGTGGTTGTCTCGACGGCCGAGAGCTTCTCAGCCGGTGCATATGTCGCTGCAGGAGATCCTCGCTGTCTCTAATGTAAGTAAAAAATAATACAAATTTAACTCTGGTTTAAAATTAATATAAATAAATAGATTGTTAATTTAGGAATTAAAGAATACTGAAGAAGTTCGAGTACGGCGATGATAAGAGATATTAAGAGCACGGGTGGCCAACCGTGGCGCATAGAGCTAGTTAGTTATTTAGAGTAAGAGTAAGATATTAAAGTAAGATATTATTATTATTTATTAGAGTAAATTATTTTGTCTTTTTCTAATGTCCTCAAATACGTTTTTGCTGTTAAAATAATTTAGTGGCGCATCGAAGCTCACCTGAGAAAAAAATCGGTACGTAGGATACAAAAGTTTGGCCACTCGCTATTCTTTCAAGAATATGCTCTCGCGATTCAATACTCTCTGTCCGACATCTCAAAATATTTGTCCTCACATACATACTATACACACACAGTCATACTCTCATATTTTACATCTTGAGACTGAGCGATTGAAACAAGCCAGTCCTCCACTGTGACAGTCGCTGACATGAAGCTCCAAACAATTTCCAATGTTTCCTCACCTCACACTGCTATGACAATAACGTGCCATCGACGGCACCGTGCCCATGTTATTGATCGCACGTTTCAACGCAAAAGAATCGTCGAGGGGCAAACGAATCGAGCGGAGAGCCTTACCTCTGCAAGGAGGAGAACGGCGATTCGTCTTCGCTGGCGTCCGACAGCAAGGAACTCATTCTTCGAGGTCTACCGAATCGGGATCGGGGAACGGCGTTTGCGCTGGACGACGTGGTGCTGCTGCTGCCGCCGCCAGTCTTGTTCTCGGGCTCCACGCTGCCGGATCTGGGTGTCACGTATCCACCGCCTTCCACAGCGATCGGGATTATGTACTCGCGAGGGCTCTTTCGAATCGGTTCGGGACCCACGGTCGATCCGAGAGCGCTGTCGGTGTCGGAATCTGCGGTCGACTGACGAGACAACGATCCCGACCGCTGCGAAACTGCCGATTTTTGCGGCATCGGCGGCGGCTTGGACGGCAGGGGCGTCGACGAATGTTGCGACTGCCGATGATCCGTTTCCACCTGTGAAATCGTAAATCGTTAGGAATGAGGAAAATTAAAAATGGCGTGACAAAATTAACGATGTGTTTCAAGTCGGAGGATTCGACTAGCCGGATCGATACCTGAATAGGAATTATTCTCTCCTTTGGCGTACCACCACCCCTCGGTCTGGTCTCCGGTTCCAAGCTGGAGCTTCGGTTGGCTTGCGGCACGGCGGCTGCAACAGGGAACGCGACTTCCGAACGTTGCGTTCGCAGTTTCTGCGGCTGGAACGCGTCGATCTTGGCCTCGAGTTCTGACTTGAAAGCAAACGGTGCCTCGGACCTCGACGGTTTCACGCTGGTCAGAGAGATTTCGGCCTTGCTCGTCTTTCGCGGTCTCGGCAGAGTCGCGCTCTTCAAAGTGATCTCCATTTTGCTGGACATTTTTGGTTCCTCCGGTTCGTCGTTGTCGTTGTTGTTGTCCTCGTCGTTGTCGGAAATCTAAAAAAAAAAAAAAAAGAAAAAGAAATTGATCGAATAAAGGCGGCTGCACGATTTGGAAAGTTCTCGTTGGCAAGATTTCTTCATCTTACCGTCGTTCGTCCGTCCGCGTCCGTTGCTTTTTTGTCAAACGAGAAGTTCGTCTCGGTGGGTGTGACGACGGATTGCACGGTTGAACGCGAGTCGTTCGCGCCAGTTGCTACCTTCGACGAAAGTTTCTTCGGCTCTTGGCTAGAGGGTGACAACGGCGGAGATCCGTTTATCCTCCTTTGCATCGGCGGTTTCCCGATCGCGCCGGTTATTATGTCGACCGCTCGTTTCTTCGCCTCCTCCTTCTTCTTCTCCTTCTCCTCCTCTTCGTTCTTCTCCTCCCCGCGCTCGACACCTCGAGCCGATTTTGTCGACTTGTCGTTCGAGCTTTCGTTCCTCTTCGCGTCCGTCGCTGGAACGTCGATGATTACCTTGGACGCGGTGTGTTTCGCCGGCGGAGGCGTGCCAATCGAGGAGAGACTGGCCTTCCTCTCGAACACGCGCTTCGCCCCTCCAACGTTCACGCCTGGTATGAAGATCTTTTTAGGTTTCTCGCTCTCGACGGTCGAAGCCATCTGATTGAACTTCTCCGCCGTCTCAAATATCTTGGAGCGTCTCCTCTCGAACGTCTTCGCGGGGACGTTCACGTCGCGCGGCTCGCTGGCGAGTTCCGAATCGAGAGAGAGCGCCTTTTCTTTGAGCTTCTTAAATTCCCGTTGAGTCGCTTCGAGGTTAATCGGTTCCTCTTGATGACTGGCGGACGAGTTCGATTTCTCGAACCTCTCGCTCCCAGTCGTCACCGACGATGTTCTCTTCTCGTTCGACGTTGGCTCGAAGTTGGAAATCGAGGGGGGCGCGGCCGAGTTTGTTTGGTCGAGCGCGACGTCCGAAGGTTTCGCCGATTCGTCGTCCAACGGTTCACTCGCTCGGCACTCGTCTTGGAAGTATTCCTCGGCGACGCGATCCTCCGACGAGATTTGTGACTGCTGCTCCTGTTCGTGAATCATGGATGTTTTCTCCTTGCTCGGTGACCTCTCGCTACACTCTTTGATTAACTCTAAGCAAGCGGCCGTGGATTCGATCTTGTTCAAATCGACGGTCTTGCTGATAGGAACGGTTATCATAGGATCCACCTCCATAGCTTCTTCCTCGGTGATCGAGTTTGGAATTGGCGCCGAGTGATGTCTGGAAGAGAGGGAAAAGAAAGATTAGCGACGGAGAGATTGATCGTATCTACAGAGGAGGCTCTACACTCAGGCCAATGAAACAACAAATGTTAGGAAAAAAAAAAGAAAAGGCTGTGCAAGGCTGAAATCTCTCTTCGATGCAGGTTTTTTCAAACTTTCCCTGCGATCCAAACTAAGTAACTGCCTAAAATACATTGTCCAATAATTCAAGCAACTAATCTTTCCATTTTTCAGGTAGGTAAAAGAGTAACACAATCCCAAGGCACAACAGGAGATCAAAAACTCGCTTAAATGAGGATTACTGTATCTCCCTTTGTCTGCTTTTCGTTCATCTCTTATAACTACACACTGTCATCGTCTGTCACTGAATATCATACTATCCACGAATTACCATCCTCACCGTTTACTCCCAACGTATCAATTACCTGGACGCGGATTTATACATTCGAGCCTCCGGTTCGTCCCGCTTCTCCTTCCTTCGAGATCGCTCCTTCCTCTTGGCATCGGCGGCAGCCGTTTCGTCCATCGACGGCGTCGTTTCCAGTTTCCTTTTCGCATCGCCGACGATCGGTGCCGTTCTTGGCTCCTCCTCTAACAATTCTCTTCTCAATCGCCTGTCGGAACTGCTCTGATCCAAGTCCATCAAACTTCCGACGGAATGGCACCTGGTAGGTATCAGAGTGTCGGAGGACACGTTGTTCGGCACGTCCCCGGCCGGCTGCTGGTCACCGACGACCAGTTTCTCCGCTGACGCTGACTGCGGCACCAGCGACAGCAGCAGATCCAGCCGAACGGGAGTCTGAGCGGCCAGCTCCTCGGCAATGTCCAGGCAATTCTGCTCGTAACCCTCGTTCACCCACCAGTGGGTGCAAATCCTTTCGATGTCGGCTCTTCTGGCAGGGCAAACGGTCAGCATGTCTTTGATGAGGGGAGAGGCGGCTAAAAGGAAAAAGAAGAAGTAAGGGAGAGGGCGTCGACAACGTGAAACAAAGAGGACGCGTGTGGTGCTTACGCGACGGTTTCTTAGGCTCGAAGTAGTCCGACTGTGAGATCTGTTTGACTAGTCGTTTGAAGTTGGACCCGTCGAAGGGCATGGCACCGTACACCAGCGTGTAGAGTAGAACGCCCAAGCTCCAGCAGTCGACCTCGGGGCCGTGATACGGGGTGCCCTTGACGATCTCGGGGCTGGCGTACAGCGGACTGCCGCAGAATGTGTTCAACAGTCGTTGCTCGTCGAACACGTTCGACAAGCCAAAGTCCGCGATCTTCGCGTTCCCAACCTGATCCAGCAAGATGTTTTCCAGCTTCAAGTCTCGGTGACAGATTTTGTGCTTGTGGCAGTAGAAAACGGCGGTGGCTATCTGTCGAAATATTCGTCGTGCCTCGTGTTCCGACAGCACCTTGCGCTCGCTCAGGTAATCGTACAGCTCGCCACCGGCCGCGTACTCCATCACCAGCACCATCTTCTCCCTGTTCTCGAACACTGGAAAAAATCGCGATTGTAATCAGAACCAGTTGAACCAGACGTTTATTAGTTTGTAAATCAATTTTTGAAATAATAATGTTCTTTAGTATTTGGCAAATAATGGATTTCGATTAATGGTATGCAGCTCGTTTGGTCAATCAAAGGAGTTTGAGGCATTTGCAAATGATAAATTGATGAAGAACTGATTGTTTGAGAAAATAATGTTTATTCGATTGAATTGGAAATTTGTCTTTAAAAATAACATTCAAAATTGATATCAATAAAACCAAAATATTCAAATGAGAGAAAAAATGAAATCAAAATAAAAATTATTAGTGTGTTCATCAAGGAAGAGATTTGTCTCAGCTTTTAATAGGACCAAAGTTCCTCAAACATCTGTTAATGAACAAAATTTTGGGAGGCATAAAGTTGCAAATAAGAATAGTGTCTCTACTGATGACGAAGACCGGAGGGAAATATTATATTTTACAAATGCTTGTAAAGAGCATATCTGAATTTCTTGTATCGTCATCAAGAAATCGAGCGATATCCATTTCAACTTGTGTCTATAGATAAGCATAGTAACTGTGCCGTAGTCGCAGAACAAGAAATAGTAAATATACACATTGGACACGTTATACAACTTGAGAGAAGCCAGTTATTTCTATCGAAATCGAATAACAAATAAAGATCCTGGCAAATAGTGAATAATTTATTTCGCGAAGCAACAAATAAATCATTTAGTTGGAAATAAATTCATTTAATTTTTTTTTTATATGAAATACTTAATAATATAATTTCGTTATTTTGTAAGTTTGTAATTATTGAAAAGTAATTTAAAAATAATGTTATTTGAAAATTTTTCTACTGCGAAAGAAACGAGTTCATTTTCACGTACCTTCGTATATGTGAATAATGTTTGGGTGTTGTACGCTCGACATTATCTGAATCTCCCTTCGTATCCTGATCAAATCGGCTTCCGTCTCTATCTTGCATTTTTTGATGGTTTTTATCGCCACTTCCTGGCCAGTCTCCTTGTTGATACCCAATTGAACTTTACCGTAAGTACCTTGACCGAGCTTCTTGATGATGTCGAACCTAAGAAGGAAAATGACGTGGCTTTAATTGTCACAATGACCTGAATTACACCCTCCATTTACGCGAGTCTCTTTCTACGCACGAGTAAATTATAACACTACGCGGTACTCTTTTTATACGCATAAGAAGAAGACAATACTTCATTTAACCTCTTGCGCTGGAATGACGTGCCACGCACGTCGAGAATTGTTTGTCCCAACGTTGCAACATTTTCTCAGTTTTAAGTATATTTAAATGTAACCCGGGCAAAACGAACGATAAGTTTATCACTTCTCAATAATTTCTATCCAGCGATATCGTACCGGCGAGCTGAAAAGAAAAAGAAAGCGGCGAATTATTGTATGCGGTTCGGTCACTCGTTATGGTCCGCCAACGCAAGAGGTTAAACACACAGACGATAGAATCAATCTTAAACTTAGCGGTATATCATTCAACACACACACACACAGTAAGTAAGCAATCAACATTTCTACCGCAGATTTGACCATGTTCAGATTTATGCTTTGTTTTAATTTGAACCCAGAAGTATTTAATAAACGTTGAATAACACGAAAGAAAAGGTAATCTTAGTTTTCAGACATAAATATTGGTTTTCATTGGTGCAAAACGAATCCACGTAGGAAGGATACTCTGTGTAAATATTTCCCTCTCCCCCGAAATCGACTATTCATCTGCTAACATTCGTCACAGCTTCGTACCTCTGCTTCAATTTCCGCTTGTGATTGTGAAGTCGCACCCCGCCCGTGCTCTCCATTCCTCCCATTATATTGTGTATGCTTGCTTCACCCACCACCATTTTTCCTTCCGTTTATCTGAAAACAAAACGTGCCCCACTGTCATCGAAATGTACAACAACGAGTTTTGAACCCCTTCATACACACGCATAATGACGCTGGGAAATATCACCATTGTTTCCCAAAGCTAAAGTCAAGACAATCATGTCGAGACGTTCGCAGGTTAATACGTATACAGGGTAAATAGAGAAAAGTTCTTATAACTTGTAGGGTAGATACAGTTGCTAAAAAATGAAGAAAACTCCTGTCGTAAACAATGGGTCAAAAAGAGTCGCTTCGAGAGTTGTCACATTATGTACGTAAATGGTTTACCTTATAATTTCTTTTGTAATTATTGTAATTTTTTTGTATTATTATTGTAATAATTTAAATTATTATTGTAATAATTTTTTCTGATTACAGGAGGTTTTCTACGTGTCCTCCATTTCTATGAATGTTCACGGTACGATAGCTCTCAGAGCGACAAAGTTTGTAGCTTCAGCCGAAAAAAAAGGTTACATTTTTTAAACTATTAAGATTTTTTTTCATGTTTCGACGATTACTATCTATCGTAGAAATTATGAAAAATATTTTTCTACACGCTCGACGTGGCAAGAGCATAAAAATGATCCTCAAGTTTGTACATATGTTAAAACGAAAAATAAATATTATTTTTTGGTCACATCGAGTTTCGTTTAATTCATATATGTCAATATATGTTAAGATTTCAAGGTGCAGGAACGATCAAGTGGTTATTTGACCTTTTCGTCTGTTCCTTTTGCAGAAAAATTCGTTGAAATGAAATAGTGTCGAGATATCGAGTGTTGGAAAGCGATTCGCAAATGGATTATATTCGCGGTGGATCGGCGACGAGGTCACGTTCGACCAGACTCTAGCAGGAAGGGGGAGGGAAAAAAAAAAAACAAAACAAAAACAGAGGAAACTCGAGACACTCGGAGGTGACCCGTGTCACTCGGAGAGTATGAAAAAACGAGGAGTTCTCGAAGGAATTCTCGCGGTCTCACGATCGAGAATAACGGAAAAAGAGGCAAAGTACGGGATCATCATCGGGTTTACTATGAAACCGAGAAGGAACGACAGACGGACAAAATGCGGTGAGTTTATTTTCGGTTTCGAGACGCCGTGCCGCGCTGCGCCTGACTGTGCGTGTCTCACTCGCACCGATTAACGACTCGAGCGATGCTGATGCCTTGGCTTCTCCGTTTCCTGTCTACGTGCTGCCAATCGTACGCCGTCCGACAGAGATCTCGTCTTGCTGCTTTCGACAACGAGAGTACGTTCGTTTCTCTCCAAAACTCGAATCACCGTACCGGTGCCGGTAGCAGGCACGATTATACCACGAGGCCTAGGCACGTTACGTGATGCTCGAGCTACGCTGGGATATGGGTAACGACCAGTTGTACACTTTTTTTCATCGATCGGTCGATAGTCGAGAATCCAAGAAACGGAAGGGAAAGAAAGCTAAGAAAGGGCGAACGATGAACGCATAGCGCGCGAGACGAAAGCGACGGGAGATCTCGTCTGGATTGCACGCGCGATCCCGACTCTCCTTGGCCTCCGTTTCGAAACGGATTCCGCTCTGGTTCGTTACGCCTCGCTTCGATAGCCTTTTACCCGGCTATCTCGGCGAAGTGATCTCGACGCGTGCACAACCTTCGTGTCTCGGTTCGCCGATCGTCACGCGGTGAAGATCACTCTGCCAACGCGTCGATACGCATCTCGTACGATTCTCAGGAGAATCGGCGCAACTTTTCATAGAATCGATCGACGCCGAGCCCTCTGGCTTTTCATCTTTTTTCTTCGTTCGAATGTGCACCGAACGCACGGTTCGATTTAACCTCTTGCGCTGGAATGGACGTGCCACGCGCGCCGACAATTTTTTTTGTCCCAATGTCTGCAATATTTTCTCAGTTTTAAATATACGTAAGTATAACCCAGGGAAAATAAATGATAAGTTTATTACTTTTCAATAATTTCTATCCAGTGATATCATACCGACGAGTTCAAGAAGAGAGCGACAAATTTTATTGTGCACGGTTTGGTCACTCGTTATGGTCCGCAGTTGCTAGCGCAACTGGTTAACCTTTTGCACTAGAATGATGTGCCACACAAGTCGAGAATTTTTTGTCCAAAATTGCAATATTTTCTCAGTTTTAAGTATATTTAAGTATAATAAATTTATTACTTCTCAATAATTCCTATCCAAAAGTAGAGATATCATACCGACGAGTTCGAAAAGAAAGCGACGAACTATCGTGCACGGTTCGGTCACTCGTTATGGTCCGCAATCAGTTGCCCAGCGCAACGTGGTTAAGTTTAGATCGAACAAATCGACCGGCATCCTGCGATGGAAATCGAATGAAATCGCGTGATACAAATCGGATATATCAGTCGAATGGTCGAATCGTCGACGAACTATGGATAGTGCAGTACGGCGGAACACGTGCGCGCGTGTGCGCAGCCCATCTCGCTCCTTCTTCCTTCGTCAGTCTCGCTCTCGATACTCGATCGCGGTACCGCTTCGATATTTTTAGCGGGCACGTAGACCCACCGCGTGGGCAGGCCAGCTTCAGGGCTGATGTCCTAATGACTTCCATTTCCTCTCTTTCTCTCTTTTTCGACGGCTTCCTGGCCAAATCGGCGATCGATCGCCAACGAACCAACTCGTTTTAAAGCGAACGAGAGCAGCGTTCGTAAATAGGGTACGACAACGATTCCTGCGAGACTTTCAATCTTCCACAGATGGAGAATCGATCGATCGACGCTCGGAATTCCAACGGAATTACGCGCCAATTGTCGAACACGATCGTCGTGATCTTCCGCGATCTGTTGCTGGGCAATCTCGATGCAACGTGCTCGCACGAACGATGTGGCCAGGTCACAGATAATTTTTACGTCCTATTTATAGACCGGGTCTAAAATATCTTCTGTCAACGGGCAAAGTCTGAAAGAATACGAGATAAATCCAAGCGAGAGCAATTAGAAATAAACTTGTGGAGAGCCGCGATCGAACGCGCGATGTCCCTCAACCGTTCCAGTTTGCAATCTGTCCTCTTACCGTTTTTTTCCTCATCTCCTCTCCTTCCAACCCCTCCTTCAACGCGAAATATCTCTCTCTTTCTCTCTCTCTCTCTCTCTCTCTCTCTCTCTCTCTCTCTCTCTCTCTCTCTCTCCTTGCCTTTGACCGAAATTTTTAAAAGCCAAAGAGAAAATTGCCAAAGCGAAGCGACGCGCTGATGCAAGCTAGAGGGTCGACGCGCGAAGGCGCCGTTTGGCAACGACCGCTCGAAAAATTTGCCAACTTCGATTCTCTTCTACGACCTCGAAACGTCGACGATCGCCTAAGCATGCGCGCGCGTGCCTCCCTCTAGTTCCTCGTTACATCGCTTTCGAACCTTGCGTTACGTCTCCTTCGTCTAGTCCAAGCCGGTGCAACAGACTATGTAGATTATAAATTTATGTATGAAAACAATTTATGTATTCGAACAATCGTCGATTCGTTTTTTTCTCGTCGCACGGTGTTCGATTCAATGCAGAGAAACGTGGAAACACTTCTGTCGCCACGGGATATTAGTAACTTGAGATATGTAATTTGCAACATTACCTACAACTATTAAAAAAAGTTATAAATTATAAAGGCATAAGAGTCTTACTTCTGTCGTAGGCGTAGTATTTGTAGATGAGATTTATTGATGATGTGATTTATACGATACTATTTTTTGACTACTATTATGTTGGCCAAAAAGTGACTGCGTTTTCTTTTTTTGTGAAAGGCGAATTTTTCACGGGAAATGAAAACTTTATTGATATACTGACCATTTTGTTCGATTACCTTTTGCCATCTTTCGGGCAATTTCACGATCCTGCGTTCAAAAAAGTTCTTATCTTTTTCGACAAAAAAAAAAAAAGTTCCAAGAACGATTTGATATCCTCCGCTCAATAAGTGAAATTTAACAAGCCAATCCTAACGCTAGTCTGCAGATAGTTTAAAGGTTTCTTTAGCAGAGAGTCAGATGATTTTCTACGAGCTTGCACAGCGTTCCTTTTCTTTTCGGAAATGATTTATTCAGCAATAAATGACGAAAATGTTTCTTTCTTGGTTTTCCATTTTAATATCAACTGTTTGCAACGAAATCGTGCATTTTCCTTCTCTAAAACAAGCTTGAACAATCAGGTATCAGATTATGCAATAAATTTGCGGTTTGAAGTGAAGTTAGTTGCATTTTAAGATACAAACATGTGTCCATCTTTTAAAAAAAAAAAACGCAACTACTTTTTAGCCAACCTAATATAATGCCTTTGAAATTACTGAAAGACCTAACCTAAATCTAATAATGTTAGAAATAATGACAAATTTTTTAAATTATTTATATATAATTTGTATCAATTTCGAAACGAGTTTCTAAAAAAAGTGCCGTCTTTTCTGTACATCGAAATATATTCTAGATACGTTGAATTTTAAAGTCAAACTTTACCCAAAATGAAAAAAATAGCCGAGATGTTATTAATGCGTTCACTCTCGGAGCCCCTAATAGGCTCCGCCACTGTCTCCGCGTAGATCCACTTAAATGTTCTTCAAAGGGACAAAAATATAATGAAATTCAGGAGCATTTAGCAATAGACGATTCAAATGAAGAATTATCACTCAACATTTATGAAGAATCTTCGGAAACGAGTTTGTCAACTTGTAATTATTATTTCTCATAAAAAAATTTTCATAAAAAAGTATGTACTCACTTATGTAAAAAAAAATTGTTTTGTAATGTAAAAAGGATACATTAACGCAGAAGAAGTAATAAATTATTGTATAACAATTTCCATTTAGAGAGAAATTATTTTTTCTTACATGTATCGAACACTGCGCGACAGTCTGAACTTATTTCTTTGCCGAACAATCGAAATTGCCAAAGTTCGAAACACGTTGAGCGCCGAAACAATTTTCAGTGAACACTATCTCAAAATGGTACACGGCGTAGAGTTTGGGAAATATACAAAATTATGTATATATCTTTTCAGCTTTTTGAAAACTGAATGATAATGAAATTTATTCATTATCACGATAAATGTCGACAAAAAAAAAAGTAACTTTATTCGTATTAAAAGCATAAATAACAAAAATAACGAACAAGTCAAAGCAGAAAGCAGAGACTTTCGTTTGGCGTGCAACTGAGGTTCGCCGTTTACCAAATTTGGTACATGCGGCACTCAGAGTGTCGAGCAGGCTCGTCGCGATCATTTGCTGGAGTTTTGAATCGACACCGGCAGAAATGCATTGTTCAACCGTCGGTACGAACGACGGTGGAGAAAGTAGCGCGAAAGTGTTCGCTTCTTCAAACTGTCTCCTCCCCGGCGCACGTAGAATATTTCTCGAGCCGGAGGACGTCGTTCGCCTATGACGTCATCCAGCGACTTGTATGGCATCTGGTGATTCACGTATCATTATTAAAATCTCTATTATTCTATCGTGCGGCTGGTATTGCATACATGAATGAACTTTTGTCTCTCTCTCTCTCTCTCTCTCTCTCTCTCTCTCTCTCTCTCTCTCTCTCTCTCTCTTTCTCGGTACGGTCATCGTGGGTGATTGCACGCGTTGATCGCAATCCCTCGCGATAAAAGTTTGAGTCACCAAGAATTAATAGACCACCCGGTGAATTTCATTTACGATCGTTTGAATGCGCATTTCAGCCGGACTGAACCGGAGGAAGGAAATCGTCGATTTCACAAATGCGATAGAACACGGTAAAGATGTAAAATATCATTGTATATCTTTCTCCATCGAGTTGATAAGGTCGGAATCGAAATCGAGTTCCGCTAGCTGAAAACGGAGGGAAACGAGGGAAACGACTGATGGTAAATTCGTTTCCGGATGTGCCCGGAAGGCATCATCAATCGACGATGAGATTCGTCCTATCAATCGGGTTAAGTAAAATGTGTGTCACTATATGCGCGTGCAAGTATCGGGTGCATCGTATGCGATTGAAGCGCGTAGCGCGGTATGTAGGTTTCTATCGATAAAAATAGCATTCTGATATTTCGAAGACTTCTTTCGCGGACATCCGTTAATTGTTTCGATCGATATCGTTCGCGATATCGACGCGAGAATGGAACGTTCGTGGATGTTGCGCGCCCGGGATACGCACACGACGGGATTCGCAGATCGTAACGAAAACGAAGGTGACGTCGACGTCGACGTCGACAACGACGACGACTACGATCACGGCGACAACGAGGAGGGCAACATGATGGTAACAACGGGCTTTCCTCGTTCGTTGTTGAGTAATCGAAGACGCCCACGATAGAATATCGACGCTCGCTCGTAAGATTCCTTTATTCGGCGTAGAGGATTCCGTGTTCTTGGGACTCGGATTCCCGTGTTCGTCGATGGAACCAACGAATGCTCTGAATGAGAATCGACACTCGGATAGGGTCTAAAAATAGCGAGAATTTGTACCTTACAGTGAACTCTGGAGCCAAATTATCCTCTTTCGCGGCTGCTTTCCGCTCCCGGGGAACTATACGAAAGATACACTATTTACACTATTGTTATCGTCTGTTACGGTGTCACTAAGTCTCCGCGGCTTTCGAGCTTTCCTGAGCGATCGTGCACGTTCTTCGCTTCCATTTCATTTTACCAGACATTTTTCGCGTGACGATACCGCACACAGTTCACGCGCTGCCACCATCTTTATTTACTAATTTTGGACTTGAACGCTGAGGACAGGGAATGGACAGATTAAAGTGATACTAGCGCCATCCGTCGACTTTATTTTCTATACCACGAAACATATCTATATACGTATATATTTAAGAAAGGCTTTCGAGCGATGTCGTCCGAAATTTCACTTGTGATCGCAGTTTTTCAGATTCAACGCTATTTATTTTACTCTGGAATACATGAATCATACGCAAAATATTGGTTTATATCGATTGTATCGATGATATCGTCGATGAAATGCTTTGCTGTCTGTGTAAATTACACTGCACTTTCCAATCTCCCTTTGCTAGAAAATAACTCGACTATATATATAATATACATAAATGCGACAAAATTCACGAAAATACCTTAAAGTTATTTAATGTTTATAAAAAAAAAGCAAAACAGGTATTATTCGAGGTTAAATCGATTTACGACACTGCTTGGTCGATATTCGACATTCGAAACTTGTCGGTTATGTTTACAATGCATACAACACACATAATATATGACAAATACCAAAATTTACGCAACCATCACTTGCTAAAATTATTTAATGTGATCTTTTAAAAAAACGAATTATCTTATTATTCAGGATTAGGTCGATCTACGACATGTTTGTTCGATACTCGATATAAACTTAAAAATTGTAGGTTATGTTTACGAAACACACGTAACGTGTTGTAAATTTTGTGTGGTGTATAGGGATTTTAAGCAATGAGAGCTTAGTCGGTAAAAAAGGAAAATCGATGACGAACGAAAGAGAAGGAATAATAAAGGCGTATTTTTTGTTTTTTATTCTAATGATCCGCTGCTAGTGGATTTCTCAATAACAAGACTGCTTTGGTCACTAGAATAGGCCGAATCACCTTCTAGATGTTATAATTAGCGTGACCAATGGCGAAACTGTAGTGATTATGATAATTTATATTTATATCACAATACTACAAATAAATAATAACTCCGTAATAAATTTTAGTAGTTTATATAAAAATATTATCAATATAACAAAATATATAATTACTAATAATTTAACAAAGATTAAATAATGAAAGTTAAATAACGAATGAATAATTTCTACTACAGTTACAATATATATAAGTGTCTGTAAACATTTCCATGGTGATAATAAAATTACTTACAATTTTTAAATATTCTATTATTTATATTAAATACATATCTCGACGAAACGATTTAATGAACATAGATATCGTTGATCTAAATACTTCAAAGTAGAGGTCGCTACAAAACGACCGCTAGCGAGACCTCTGGTGGCAAATGTAGGACTATTTCCACAATATGGCTTTGTCTACCCACACATCCGTGGTCTACGTAAGTTAACGTGTAAATTTTACACGTGAGATAATTAACATTATGGAACCTAATAAAATCGATTGTCAAGTGCTAGAAAATGAAACCGAAGGAAACAAAAATCAAGAAATCAATCAAGTGATACCTGGTTACGATAGTTTTCACGATTATGTTCAGGTATGATTGCATTAATCGTATCGTCGAACTTCGTTTCTTTGTTCTTTTCAAATGTGAATTAAACAAATTTATGTGTAAAATAATTGTTCTATTCTAGGATACATTCAATGCCATAAAGTTTGGAATCAAAAGTACTAATGGTTTACCAATTGAATCAAATTTCAGTTATTACTCGTGTTTTCCCAGTTTCCTTAGGGTTAAGAATGAAAATACGAAATTGTTGTTGAACATTATGCAGCATTTATTAGGTACAGTTGGCATGAAAAGCCAGATGTCGCACCGTGACATTGAAGAAAAGTTTGAACTTTTATTAGAAATAAACGATATATTTTTAGACAGAGCTGTAAGTTCTCATAAAGATATTGTTTCTATGTTTTATATGCTTTATATGCTTTTATATGTTTAAATACAAATCTTGCGTTTTGTAGAACACTTTGATGGACAAAGAATGCGGCATTAATAAGAACTCTGAAGTGGAATTGGTGGTATCGCGTGTAATAAGTCAACCAATTAATGGTGGATGGAATGATCAAGTTTGTCGGCCACAAGTCACGGAGAATTCTCAGTCCATTCGTTTATTGGCTGGTAAAAACATCCAGAGACCACAACTAATGTTCAAAGACAAAATTGACAATAGCTCGAATCCTTGGTATCCGAGAATTAAGGACAAACCAAATTCTTTGAAACCTTTGGCTATTTATTTGGAAGAGGATGAAGACGGTGAAGTTTTTAATCATCCTTATGAATACGAACTGGACATGTTTGTCGCTCCTGACGATCAATTGAAAAAATCAGAACCGACAAAATATAAATCTCTGGAAGAGACACCTCTGATAATCATTAAAGATCCATCGGATATCAAGTTATTGATAGAAGATTTAAAACGGTATAAAGAAATTGCTGTAGATTTGGAGCATCACTCCTACAGAAGTTTCCAAGGAATTACTTGTTTAATGCAAATCTCGACGAAAGATACAGATTATTTGATAGACACTCTCTCGCTGCGGTCTGAATTACATGAGTTAAATGAGATTTTTACTAAGCGTACGATATTGAAAGTTTTTCATGGTGCAGATTTAGACATTCAGTGGCTTCAGAGAGATTTGTCTCTGTATGTAGTAAATATGTTCGATACACACCAAGCGGCGAGACAACTTCATCTGCCATACTTGAGTTTAGCATATTTGCTAAAACGTTACTGCAATGTAGATCCCGATAAACATTTTCAAATGGCTGATTGGCGCATAAGACCATTACCGGAGAAACTTATGAAATACGCTAGAGAGGACACGCATTATTTATTATATATAAAGGATGTATTAAAAAATGCTTTGATAAAAATTGCTAATGGACAAATCAATATTTTGAAAGCTGTGTACGATAGAAGTACACAGATTTGTAAAAAGACTTATATAAAACCAGTATGGAAAGAGGAGAGTTGCATGATTATGTATAGAAAAAGTCAGAAAATGTTTAATAACAAACAACTTTATGCTTTAAAAGAATTGCACAAATGGAGGGATCAAACCGCCAGAGAAGAAGACGATAGTATCGCTTATGTATTGCCGAATCACATGCTGTTGAATATGGCTGAAACATTGCCTCGTGAAATGCAAGGAATTTTGGCGTGTTGTGATTCTATTCCACCATTGGTTCGACAGAATTTATTAAAACTACACAAAATAATACTGAAGGCTAGGGAACAGCCACTTATTAAACCAATTATTGAAGAAGATATTAGGCAAAGACTGACACAGAGAAACAGTATTAACAATTCAGAAGTGTGGATGCATTCTCTTCATGATATTCCCAGTGGTATGGAAGCAAGGGCAGACTTGCCATGTTTGTTGGATGAAGATAACACATTAGAAAAGCCAATTTCAAATGTTACAGTAGAACATACAGTGACTGTGTTTGACAGTCCAGTTACATCTGAGGTAATATACGATTGTCTTGTACAAAAATGAAGGAAAAACGACAGTTGTAGTTTTTATGATTACTTGCTTGTTCACAGGATGAGGAGATGGAAAATAATGAACAAAAAGATACTGAGAAGAAAAAGAAATTTGTCTTTGTAAGTCCGTTTGAACGATACAAAAGAGTTATACCTATGATAGCGGAAGAGGAAGCACGAGAAAGAGAAAAGCAAAGACAAGAAGAAGAGAATTTCTTGAATGAATTAAAGAAGAAAGAAAAGGAGTTGGAAGAGAGTAAAAACAGAGTTTATGAACATTTTAAACAAGTTTCTCAGACGGTGGAAGGAGTTAGTATACCGAAATCACCACGAAAATCATCTCAGATTCCCCTGAGTCAAATGTGGGGACGTAAAAGAAAACGAGATTCAAACATTAACAAACAAGATGATACACAGAAGGAGAAAATTGAAGATAACTCGTTAAATCTAACCCCGCTGGAAACCAGAATTAGTTACCATGAAAAGCAAGAATCAAATGAAACTGAGCATTTAAGAGAAGAAAGTATAACACAAAATCAGAAACAAATAGCGAATAATGAAACTGTTAATTTGTTACGGTAAGTATATTAAGACGTAAGAAATATTACTTAATTTTGTTTTCTAAGTATTAAAAAAGTACATAGAAGAGGGAGAGAAGATCACTTTAGTTTCGGGTATTTATTATTAGTTTCCGTAATAATAAAAAAAAAAAATAAAGTTTCGATATTGTATATTGAATTCTACCTGTATAGATATTATTAATACAATTGTCTTCGCTGTATTAGTCATCAACTGTCGCTGATGGTGCAATAGCGATAGCAATTACATTAAGAATATCAGAATTTAATGTATAATATCAAAGTTTTTTATTAATATCTTGGATACCAATAAATACCCGAAGTTAAATTTTTATATTTGGAGTCCTTTCCTTCTTTACCTCTCTCAAATTTGAGTTCGATCTATCATTTATGAGTTTTAAAAAATGTCAACGTAATAATATTTATATGCGCTCAAAACGCATTAAATTTCGTAAGATAATAATTGTTGATAAATTGCACATCTTTCTAGGTCGAGATTGAAGGGAGAGAAAGATATGATGCCGTCAAAAGTATTCGACTATAAAGTCGTAGATTTTAGTACTTTCCAAGGAGGTAGTAAAAACACGTCAAACCAAACAAACTTTGAACAAACAATGGTAATGTATATCATTTATCTCATAAATTTATTTTTAAGTTAATTTTAAATTAATTTTAAATGACGGTTCATTTCTTATTTTTCTAGAAGAGAAGAAAAGAAAAAACGCGGAGAAGGAAAAAGAAGAAATTGAATATATAAATTGCTGTGTCTTAATACTTCATGGCGTATCATTTTATACAACATGAACACTGTTTTTTTTTTTGTATCATGTACAAATGATAGATAATAAATGTAATAAATTATGTACATATATATATATATATATATTTAATAACAGTTATAATGTCTAATAATAGTTTAAAAACATACTTCTCTTAATAAGAATATATTTAATATTATAAATTTAGACAAAGATTTATATAATTATATAATTAATTACAGAAATAAGTTTGCATTACATCGTTGTAACAGAAACATAATTTTTTAACTACAGTAGAGTGTCGTATATCCAAAACTCTATTATTCAAATATCTTAATATCTGAACTATTAATACAGAATTTCTGCTAATAATTAGGAGATCATTTATTATTAGAAAACATTCTGTTCTAATAACATGATTTGTATATTAAGATATTTGAAAAACATAAAGAGATCTAGATAAGCAACATTCTCTATATTGCTTGAAATCGGTAATCTAAACTGCATATATTATTACTTGAAATTAGTAATGTAAACTGTATTATCGTTAGGTCATGACTTTAAACTGTCATGTACGTACATACTTTGTATATTGTCTCTTATCATCGATATGGTACATCTTTCATCACAATTAGAAATTAAGCGACGAAAATGATGTGGTTTATATTGGTGCTTATCCAATTTTCTGCAATTTCGGCTATGCAGAATCATGTCTTTGAAACAAGTACAAAAACAGACACAAGCGGATATCATGTAGATAAAAATTTATCAAGTTTTCATAGTAAAAATTTAACATATTCTATTTTTTCAATCTTGAATTCCTCGAGTTTTACTCACCGCCAAATACGTTCCCAAGAAAATCAGGAAGTGGATTGTTTTGGCATGGGAAGAGGATTAGCTACAATCTTAGAATGGCTGTTTCTGATTAATCCAAATCGAACAAACACTTTGAATGTTCAATTTTTGCTTTCTTCGAGAAGACAACCACACCGCGTTCAGGTAGTTCTCGGTGAACAATTTGGTCTGGAATGGACAGATTTTCAAATCGAGCGAAGGACAATTGTGATAGTTCACGGATTCTTGTCGAATGGTCAACAATCGTGGATCAATGAAATGGAAAAGGCATTTCTTCAATGGGTGATTACATTACATTTAAATTACCGTTTTCTCACCAAACATACATCATGGTATATTTGTAACTGTTAGCAGCGACTTTAAATAATAATTTCTTCTCATTCTATGTAATGTTTTAGAAAGACGTTAACGTCGTCGTCATAGATTGGAGTGCCGAAGGCAATACTTGGAACTACTATAAAGCAGCAGTTAACACACGAGTAATAGGACATCAAATTGCAAGGTCTTCTTTTTCCATGAATATTATCTATAGAGTTACGTTGATTGCGAAAATTCATTGAACCTATTGTATAAAGATTTCTAGAACATATACAGGACGCAAAAACAAGCACGCACGAGAATGATTGGGGACCATTGCATTTAGTAGGTCATAGTCTTGGGGCACACATTTGCGGATTCGCCGCGAAAGAGCTGAAGAAAAGACAAAGTAAATGGAGAATTGAAAGAATAACAGGATTGGATCCTGCACAACCTTGTTTCAGGGACGTTAATCTCACGATGAAGCTTCACAAATCTGATGCATCGTTCGTTGATGTTATCCACACCAATGGGAAATTGCTCTCGCAAATAGGATTAGGTTTACCAGAGCCGATAGGTTTGACAATTACACATACATTGTGATATGTTCATCAGGCATGACTTTAAAAACGAACAAACGATTTACATTAGGTCACGTCGATTTCTATCCTAATGGTGGCAGAAGCCAACCTGGCTGCGATTCCTCGTTCTTTGAACATTTACCAATTCACCTTCAAGGTGTGTACAGATACTCTGACAATATTTTAATACATTGAAAAGAAAGGTGTTGCTTGTTGTTAGTTTTAAAAACAGCTTATCGCTGTCTAGACTTATTCTCGTCCTGTAAAATGTCAAATTGTTTTTGGTAGTGATTAATAAGGCTGTATGCAGTCACGGACGTTCCTATGTTTACTTGACGGAGTCGTTGGTATCTGAGGTTGAGCACAATTGCACCTTCTGGGCACATCATTGGGATTTGTCGTATCGAAATTTGATGCAGCGAGTGTCAGGAGAATTTTGCGACAAAAATACTTGCACTGAGATGGGCATAAACGCGATAAATTATCCTGAACGGGGGACATTCTTTGTCACAACTTCCAACGTTCCGCCGTTCTGTAGTAAGAAAGATTTATTATGATAAAATAATACTCTTTATGCGCATTGCCATAAACTTTTATACGAATGTAAATCTACTAGTTGTAGTGATTAATCTTTTGATATTTGTAGTTAACGATACTCGCATAATCAATGAAGTAATGACGCAATTGGAGAGGGATTACGTGGATGAACTTTGTGATTAACACGTGATGATCACACGTTGTTACAAGTGAGTTGAGAAAAGACAAATAAATAAATGAACTTTAATTAAAATTTTTGTTACATACAACAAGTTTAAGTTATTAAATGCGGCTAAGTACGTATTTACAATGAAATTTCTCTCGGAAATTAAACAGATTATATACATATCACGCTGTTTAATTTCATACGTGGATTTCATGCTGCGTGAATAAGCAGTCTTCAGGTTATTTAAAGAAACGTCGCTTACTTTTTTCTTTTCTTCTCCGTCAATTATAAAAACGACTTGCGTCACGCTTACATTCACGATAATATTACAACTTAATTATGTTATAAATTACAATGCGCAATATACAAACAAAAAAGAAATACTTCGTTGTACAAACGATAACGATTTACAAGACTGTGGCGGAAACGTTAACTTTGTCTTGTTCTATTTTCACGCGTAATATGCTATCATTGGCACTTTATTAATACAAACAGATATTTAGTAACTTGTCCTACGGGACAATAAATATTCAATAAATATTTTCACGCTACTGTAATTTAATAGCACACCCTCGAAACAAGGTGTTTGTACAGTGAAATTTGACTTCTTTTTTTAAAAGATGAGTCACGTTTTAATTTCAAGCGTACTTTAGTAGTATTTTGCTCATCTGTATGATTAATAATTTTCGTTGTTATTCATTTTTATACGTGTTACATGTGTTTTTTTCTTCGATATCAGGTGCTTAAATTTTGAATTTAGTCAGGCGAAATGAGGCGTAACTAATGAATAACTTGAACGTAAGTGGCTGGAAATATTCCAGTTCGCCCTCTACATTCTCCTATCCACCAACCATCCGGCTGTTTTTGATGCACCGTTATCAAGTCCCCGGGACTTAGACTGAGCTCGTCGTTCAAATTCGCCGAATATTGATAGATCGCCCTGCACTGTTCCGTTCCATCCGATTTGCCGCTGGTTTCCGTGGCTTCCACGTCCTGGTTGTTATTATCCTCGGAGTGGCTACTAAACTCGTCGAAATCGCTAAAGTCGTCTTCATCCGGCGGATTCTCCGAGTTTCCGTCGCCAGCTGTCCGATCGGCCCAGTGACGACTCTCGGCATCGTGATCCTTTACGAGATGAACGTCCATTTCGTCTTCGTCGTACTGAATCTCGAACGATTCGTTCTTTGCCCAAGAAGGAATCTGTGGAATAATTATATGTTATACGTTTTATATAATATATGTGTTATGTGTTTATTAACCTATATTAACGACTTGCGCTGGCAATTGATTGCGGACCATAACGAGTGACCAAACCGTATACAATAATTCGTCGCTTTCTTTTTAAACTCATCGGCATGATATCTCTATCTCTGGATAGAAATTATTGAGAAGTAATAAATTTATTATTTATTTTGCCTGGGTTATACTTAAAACTGAGAAAATATTGCAATTTTGGACAAGAAATTCTCGACGTGCGTGGCACGTCATTCCAGTACAAGTAGTTAACCTCTTGCACTGGCAACTGATTGCGGACCATAACGAGTGACCAAACCGTATACAATAACTCGTCGCTTTCTTTTCGAACTTGTCAGTATGATATCTCTACCTCTGGACAGAAATTATTGAGAAGTAACAAATTTATTATTTGTTTTGCCTGAGTTATATCTAAATATGCTTAAAACTGAGAAAATATTGCAATTTTGGACAAAAAATTCTCGACGTGCGTGGCACGTCATTCCAGCGCAAGAGGTTAAAACATATAATATACAATATATGTTATATGTTTTAATACGTTACATATTTTACATGTATATTAACGTAATGTATACAACACACTGTTAGTTGAAATTTATAGCTAAACTTTAGATTCATCAGATTCACCTTAAGGACACTCTGCTGCAAGCCCTGTTTGTCCCTTGAAACTAGAATATGCTCAGCCAACGGGTGTTTGTCTCGTTTGCTGCCCTCTACCTCGGCCAATGTCCCCCCAACTTTGTACCTCGCTGCCTCTAGATACAGTAACATAGAACGCATCTAAAAGAAAAGAAGAAACGAACGGATTTCGAAAGTCGTGGATTTTGTGACTTAAGTTTCTAAAATAACTCGCAGATCAAAGAAAAAGCGCAAGAGCAGCCGTACATGGTGCAGCTTCTCCGTTACGTTTTGCGTGCTTTCGTCCGCCGCGAATGCCGGCGTTGCGATGAAAGCTCGATGAAGAGTTTCCAAACCCTCCCTGCCGCGTCTCTCCCGTTCCAGGTCCTGTCTGATCAAATGAAGGACTCGTACCAGCGCTTGTTTCCGACGTTCCCTGTTCATCGCCAGAGTAACGTGCTCGGCGTAGAAGTCTGGCAGCAACTGGTCGGCGTTGCATCCCTCGTTGCTTTCTACTCTGCGTATAAGATTCTTCAAGATCTCGATATCCTGAGAAACGTTGCAGTTGCGTATAGGAGCTGCCAAACGGTCTGCACTCTGTATATATATAAAGAGAGAGAGAGAAAGAGAGAAAAAAATGGAGAAAATGGTCGATGTTGGTTAATCTTGCAACGTGTGAGTTTACCTGTTGCAGACGGGGAGCTAAGGCTTGCAGGTGAGCCAAATAAACGTTGGCGAGATCTTTGAGAGCGCTCAATCGTTCCTCCTCGAGGAGTTCCATTTGTTTAGCACCTTTCCTCACGGTGCTCTCGTACTCGAGCCTGGCTCTCTCGGCTCTCACGCTCACCGTGTAAAACTCCGTGTCGGCCCTGCGGGACGAGTCCTCGGCCTTTCTCCTCCTCGTCTCGAGCTTGCTGGCCTCCTTCTCCGTCATGTGATGGGTCGACGATTTGTTGTTGCTTTGCTGGCTCTGGCTGATCGATTGTAACCTTGCCAGGTCCTGCAACCTCTCGTTCTCTCTGGCGCAGGCGAAACTCTGCTTTTTGCTTTTCGTCGCGATGTTACGCCACTCGTGAAGAGACTTGCCGGCTTTGTCCACCGAGTTCTCGATGGATTTCCTCGAACGGCCTTGGGCCTCTGCTACTCCCACCTGTGGACGTGTCAACGACGTCTTCAACGCCTCTTTCTCGTTCGAGGAAGGAACGCGTTTATCATCACGAATGACAAGAATTCGAAACGAAGCAACATATTAGATGTTGAGTCTCTCGTCTCTAAAAATACGTTTATGTTTTCTCTACGATTTAGATTAAGAAGAATACGATGCATGAACGACCAATTCTTCGTCGAAACGACCAATTTATAATTTTCTTCGAATAGTTCTGCATACTTGCAGCGTTGCATTTTTAAAGACTTTGAATGATTTTACGAATAAAAGTTAACGTTCTTCGTTCTTCATTGTCAATTTCTTTCTATTCCCTGCGCTCTCTGTAATTTCTTCGATATAATTTTCATGCCTTTGTCAAAGTTTTTTTTTTTTTTTTTCATGCCTGTAACGTAACGTGAACTCACTCTGAGGGGCTTGGCAATTTGTTCGCTGAGCGTGATTCCCCAGATCCTGTGGGCCTCCGCGGCGGCCTCCATCTCCTCGCCGACGCATCTCCATGCCTCGTTCACACCTCCGCTTCCGTTACCACCTGCGTTATTGCAAAGTTATTACTATCTACCACCCACTATCCTCTGCCAGCCACTTTCTTCACTTGACATCCTCGTGATGCAGAAAATCACAGAGAAAGAAGCAAGCAAGTTGGAACGATACCTTGATCTTTTGCGCAGGCCTTGGTCAGTTTGTTGCTCAGCTTGCTAAGCCCTTTGGCATAAGCCGCTTCTAACTCCGCCCTGAAAAAGAGCGAAGAACGAAATTGTGCAGAATTTTTTACAGAAGAAATATTTTCTTCAGAGGAACGACGTTCACGTTCTTATTAAATACACTGTACGTGACACATATTAAGAGTTAAATAAAAAAGAGATTTTATGTGTGTGTGTGTGTGTATATATATATATATATATAAATAATAGATAGATTGTTGTTGCAAAGGTTTACAACGTTTAGAGAGGAATTTCCTACCTTTCGTGTAGGATAGACGCCAGTTCCTTGCAGAAATCACCACCTTGCTTCACATACCTTCGAACATCTTCGAATCCACCTTGTCCACCCTGCAACCAGAAGCCAATGTTAATTTATTTTATATTTTAATATATATTTAATATTTATGATATATGATATTAATATATTTTAATATCTATGATACATATGATATTAATATATTTTAATATCTATGATACATATGATATTAATATATTTTAATATTTATGATATATATGATATTAATACATTTAATATCTATGATACATATCATATTAATATATTTAATATCTATGATACGTATCATATTAATATATTTAATATTTATGATACATACAATATTAATAATTTAATATTTATGATACATATAATATTAATATATTTAATATCTATGATACATATAATATTAATATATTTTAATATCTATGATACATATCATATTAATATATTTCAATATCTATGATACATATCATATTAATATATATTAATATCTATGATACATATCATATTAACATATTTAATATTTATGATACGTACAATATTAATAATTTAATATTTATGATACATATAATATTAATAGATTTAATATCTATGATACATATAATATTAATATATTTTAATATCTATGATACATATCATATTAATATATATTAATATCTATGATACATATCATATTAATATATATTAATATCTATGATACATATGATATTAATATATTTTAATATTTATGATACATATGATATTAATATATTTAATATTTGATATATATAATATTAATACATTTAATATCTATGATACATATTATATTAATATATTTAATATCTATGATACATATCATATTAATATATATTAATATTTATGATACATATCATATTAATATATTTTAGTACCTATGATACATATCATATTAATATATATTAATATCTATGATACATATCATATTAATATATATTAATATCTATGATACATATCATATTAATATATTTTAATATCTATGATACATATTATATTAACATGTTTAATATTTATGATACGTACAATATTAATATATTTTAATATCTATGATACATATTAATATATTTAATATTTATAATATATATAATATTAATATATTTAATATTTTCCGTCTTTCGATACTAAACGAGCGCTTCCCCCAAAGGATTAAACTTGCCAAGAAGTAAACTTGTCAAATATACAAATTATTTTTGCCCCTAAAACGTCGACATAAAACCAGATATCTCAGTTTGCCATTGCGTCTACACTTTCCTTGTACACTGTCAAACCTTAATGTATAAAGTTCATATTCTTATTTTGTGGTTATAGTGCTACAAATATAGCACGTAATAAAATTTTAAATGAAGTCCAAAACTTAAATTAAGAAAAAAAAAAAAAAAAGAGCGCTTGTTCCACGCTTGAACGATAAAGGGCAGTAAATAGCAAGATGAGCTACACCATGTGTGTTTATTTATACTTTTTGTTTAGATCTTTTGTTTCTCTTGTATCGTAGAAATGTGATGTATACCTAAATAAACAAAAACGACATCGACGTACAAATACCAGAATACGAATGGATTGTCAAGGGCTGTAAATGGAGCGAGAAAATGGAGAATCTGACGGAACTTGGTAACGTTGCGAACAACGGACGATATTGAGAAACAACAAAGTTAATTAAAAGTGGAAAGTAACCGTCTTGAAGAGTTTATTAGTGGCTCTAATCGAGAACTTATGCTCTTCCAGGTCGGGTAAACGCTCTCCAACCAAATGTCTGTAACACGTTCCTCTTCGAGGTAATTCTCGAGGTAAAATTACAAGTTTTAGAAACAAACCGAAACGACACGAAATGAAACGACACACGAGTCTGGCACTAAATGGCCGGATCGAAGAGAGGAGGGTATATCGGAAATGTCATTTACCAGTACCATTTCCTGGTACGTTACGCCTAACTCAACCTTTCGAGTAACATTCTGACTGGACGGCTTTCCAAGCCAGTACTTGCAGTACGGTAAAAATTCATTTTTATATCGGTCTCGTTTATACCGAGAAATCAAGTTTGATTACGTTTAAGTTTGTATGAATCACTCTACCTGTAAAGTACGATTAAACGAAATAATTTATCACAATGATTCAAGAGAAGAAACTTTTACGGTAAAAATTAATTTTCATACTGTTTTCGTTTATACGTAGGAATCAAGTTTGATCCCGTTTGAACTCGTGCGAATCACACTACCTGTAAAGTACGATTAAATAAAGTAATTCATCACCGAATGATCACAATGTAATTCAAAGGAAGAATCTTTTGCAGTAAAAATTCATTTTCATATTATTCTCGTTTACATATGATAACTAAGTTTGATAATGTTTGAATTCGTACGAATCACTCTACCTGTAAAATACGATTGAATAAAGTAATTCATCACCGAATGATCACAATGTAATTCAAAGGAAGAATCTTTTGCAGTAAAAATTCATTTTCATATTATTCTCGTTTACATATGATAACTAAGTTTGATAATGTTTGAATTCGTACGAATCACTCTACCTGTAAAATACGATTAAATAAAGTAATTTATCACCGAATGATCGCAACGTAATTCAAAGGAAGAATCTTTTATAGTAAAAATTCATTTTCATATTATTCTCGTTTACATATGATAACTAAGTTTGATAATGTTTGAATTCGTACGTATCACTCTACCTGTAAAATACGATTAAATAAAGTAATTCATCACCGAATGATCACAATATAATTCAAAGGAAGAATCTTTTACAGTAAAAATTCATTTTCATATTATTCTCGTTTACATGTGGTAACTAAGTTTGATAATGTTTGAATTCGTACGAATCACTGTACCTGTAAAATACGATTAAATAAAGTAATTTATCACCGAATGATCACAGTGTAATTCAAAGGAAGAATCTTTTACAGTAAAAATTCATTTTCATATTATTCTCGTTTACATATGATAACTAAGTTTGATAATGTTTGAATTCGTACGTATCACTCTACCTGTAAAATACGATTAAATAAAGTAATTCATCACCGAATGATCACAATGTAATTCAAAGGAAGAATCTTTTACAGTAAAAATTCATTTTCATATTATTCTCGTTTACATGTGGTAACTAAGTTTGATAATGTTCGAATTCGTACGAATGACTCTACCTGTAAAATACGATTAAATAAAGTAATTCATCACCGAATGATCACAATGTAATTCAAAGGAAGAATCTTTTACAGTAAAAATTTATTTTCATATTATTCTCGTATATGTGGTAACCAAGTTTGATTACGTTTGAATTCGTATGAATTACTCTACCTGTAAAGTACGATTAAATAAAGTAATTTATCATCGAATGATAAAGATCGTCCGATAGAAACGATATAACTTTTTTTCTTCTGTGAACTTTTTCTCAGTGAGTAATTTTCGATTTGAATAGGTGGAATAATCACTGCTGACTCGTACCAATTGCAAACTGTCCTACTCAGAGAGTTATCCAAATTAATAAATTTAAAGGGTTATCCAAATTAATAAATTTGAATGAAATGAAACGAAACGAGACGTACTCTGTATTTTTTATTTCGCTTGCGAGTAAAAATTTAGTTTCTTCGGTGAAAGTGGCGTCGAAACCGTTTCAAGTAAAAGGTTAATTAATACCTCAGATTGAATATAGTTGTACGCGCGTGTATACAGGATGATTCACATAACTTGCACACCTGAAATAATTTTTAAATTATACCTCGAATGAAAAATTTAATACAAAAGTTGTATGGTTTCATGGATGACAAAATATGGCAAGTATCAATTTTTCGTGGGTTTCGAAATTTTCAAGGTCATCTTTCCTTTTTTTTTTTTTTCAGTTGGACCATATATTTTTTTTCCATCACAAATACGATAACCCATTTAGTAGATTTAAGCTTAGTACGTATTTTAAATATGTGTGAACAAGATTTTACAGATAAAAAATAATAATAATAATAATTGAATAATATTGCTTGTGAATATAATTGATGAAATATTGCATCGCACTTTAAATTTTATTCAGACTTTCAAAAATCAAAAAGCAGTTAACCAGTTGCGCTGGCAACTGATTGCGGACCATAACGAGTGACCGAACCGTATAAAATAATTCGTCGCTTTCTTTTTGAACTCGTCGGTACGATATCAGTGGATAGAAATTATTGAGAAGTAATAAGTTTATTATTTGTTTCGCCTATTTTGTTAAGTACTTAAAACTGAGAAAATATTACAATTTTGGAATAAAATATTCTCGACGTGCGTGGCACGTCATTCCAGCGTGAGAGGTTAAGGCAGTTAACCGAGATATTGGCGGTGGTTACGATTTACGAGAAGAGATCGAAGGTATTTCAGTCCGGTCGAAACTCGAAAGTAATCGCGATGGAAACAGCGCTGCTCTCTCGGAAGATGGTCGGGAGGAATCGATCGTCTGGAGGAATCGGCGCCGGTACCACGATGCCGCGGTTGGTTGGCTCTCGACGAACGAAAACAGAAGGTGAAACATCGTGAGAGATCGCAATCAACGTGCACGGTTTCCTTTCCCTTTTACCTTCAAGATTTCCTCGGCGTAGGTTCACGTGACACGCGGTGAAATCGCGGAGGTCGCGGGTACTATCTCCATAGAGCGAGCTATTAACGCCCGTAGCACCTCTCACGAGAGCCTCGCTAGCTGCCTCTGCTTTCTTTCGTACGCTCAATTTTCCACGCGTGCCTTGCAATTTCTCTGACCGATTATTTCGCAGGTCTTTGACGCAGAAGCGCAGAACCATTCCCAGATACGCGGACGAGAGAAAACAAAGCCTAAATTCGTACACAATAGATTCTCCACGCCAGTGTTTCTCAAACTTTTTGTCGACCATGCCCCACCTAAGCATCTCTAAAATCCTGATATCCCAGCCATGTGACACATTCTTATTATTCAAGAACTAAATTTTTCACCCGGACGAAGCATAAAAGGCCATTAGATTCGAGGTCCAAACGAGCTTCCAAAGAACATGACATCCATGAAAGAAAAAAGTAAAAGAACGAAAGAAGTCACTAAGAAATTGTTAAGAAAGTAATAAAAGCGATATGACAAACAGGAAACAAAGACGAGACTGAGAACAGCAACGGGAATGCCACCTGTGAGCTGTTCATTTCCCTAGTACGAGGTTTCTGCCGCAACGATAGATGGGACTAGTTAATGGGGTGCATTGCACAACGCGCAGAAGTTAAATTTTCATTTAACCAGTGGCAACTGATTGCGGACCATAACGAGTGACCAAACCGTATACAATACTCGTCGCTCTTTTCGAACTTGTCGGTATGATATCTCTACCTCTGGATAGAAATTATTGAGAAGTAATAAATTTATTACTTGTTTTGCCTGAGTTATACTTAAATATACTTAAAACTGAGAAACTATTGTAAATTTGGGACAAAAAATACTCGACGTGCGTGGCACGTCATTCTAGCGCAAGAGCTTAACCAGTTGCGCTGGCAACTGCGGACCATAACGAGTGACCAAATCGTACACAATAAAATATGTCACTCTCTTTTTGAACTCGTCGGGTATGATATCACTGGGTAGAAATTATTGAGAGGTAATAAATTTATTATTTATTTTGCTTATTTGCTTAAATATACTCACAAGATATACTTAAAACTGAGAAAAAAAATTGCAATTTTGGAACAAAAAATTCTCGACCTGCGTGGCATGTCATTCCAACGCAAGAGATTAAAGAAAATGCAAACAATTCACTGTTAATGATTCATTCTCGAATTCCCCCTTACGTGGGCATACGAAGAGAGACGTTTTTGCTAACTATGCACGAATACTTTGAAACAAGCAAACAAGTATTACACGCGTATGAGTAAATAAGTGTACCTGTCCTTCAGTTTACGTTTCATACGCGTAAAAAAACGTATTTTAATTATATTTAAGTCACAATACCTGTTTTAGGGTTATGTAAAGCCTTAATTTCCTGAAAAATATTCGTAAAAACATAAAAAATTGTTATACACTGCTGTATCGGTCATAGTAAAACCGTACCAACTTTCCTCTACCATTTTTCCCATTTGTTTACCATTCCCGAGTGAAACAATGCGAACACCCTGTATGCACGTACGTATGTATGTACGTGCATCAGTAGACGCGAGTATCAACGAACACGGAAAGAACAAAGTCGGTTATTTTCTCTATCCAACTTTCTCACACTTTCTTCGCCTCGGATCGTTTCTTTGGTCTGTTGGCTGTTTCTACAATAGTTATGGCTGGCGATGTTTTCAGAATGCAATATAGGGGCTAACGCAACGGCTAACACCGAACGGAGGGGGGGAAGAGGTTCATCGAGATTCGTGAGAAAGGAATTTCGTTTGCTTCGGTTTAATTTCGCAATCGGATTACGCGACGAACAGAGCGGAGGAGGGAACGAAGTTACCTCGTCGGCCTCGTGCGAAGAAGGCGAGTGCAGAAGATGAGTGGAGGCCATTAACCCTCTGATTGACCCCAGCATTCTCCTCTTAATCAAGCCGGCGTTTCGAGCGTGAGCCCTGATGGTCTCGTCGTTCTCCGCGTCGGAGCAGAGCTTGTCCATGCTGAGGGAGATGGAAGCTCGGCTCGCCTCCTCGTTCCTCGACGTTGGTTCGTTCAACGCAAGGTTGTCCGTGCTCGCCACCATCTTTCCCAAACTTTCGTCGCTCTTCGTCGGCGCTCGAACGTTGGTCCTGCTGCCTCGCGACGAAACGACCACGGCTCCGGGAGAGGGGAACGAGTCGAGATTCTCCTCCGAGACGGAGGACAAACCGAACTCCTCGACCCTGAGGATCGACCCCGACTGCCGCGTCCTCGCCTTGGTCAGGTCGTAAGACGCTTGGTTACCATTCGACACGGGCAGGCTGCACGACTCCTCGGCGAGAGCACCGACAGCCTGCAGTCTCGCGTGTTTGTTCACCACGTCATTGATCCGGGAGGTCTCCTCCCTCAGCCAGCTTCGCATTTTCTCCCACGCCTTCTCCAGCCGATGTCTCTGCAATTTCAGGACGCTCGGTATCAGGAGTAACCGGTGATTTAAATCTTTCTCCCCTAGCTTCCTCTCGAGCCTCGCGGATCGCGATCCGCGAGACTCGAGACAGCTACGGTCCCAGGTAATACCTTTGGGTAACGTCCCCTTCGGCAAGAGACGATCGTGTCGTTAGAGCCTTCGACTCTTCCACGACACGATCGATCGCGCGTATCTGTCCCTTCTTCCGGAGATGCGGTCGTTCGATCGCTCGCTCTCTCCACGGACGTGATTGTTATTCCTTGAGGGGACTCGTCGTCGAGTCCTTGCGACTCTCTCGAGTCCTCCTCACCGTGCTTAGGCGGTTCGTTTCGAGTCTCCGCGTGGAATTTCTCCGAGCCCGAAACTTCCACCGCGGCGTGGCGCTCGTCCCCGCTGCTTTCTACCACTTTCTCGCTTTCGATCTCGTCGACAACCACGTATGAATTCCTGGGGAAATCGTACAGCTGATCTAGCGTCGACGCGTCCTGGTCGTTCTCGCTCGAGGTCACGGCCGCGACGCTTGCCCCTCTTGTTTTCGATTCGTCGTCCGCCTGCAGGAAGCTGAAGCTGATCCTCGGCACACCCTCGTCGTCGGTTTTCACCGACGTGACCGCCGTCAATTCCACCGTGTTTCTGTGTCGAGTCTCGTTGTCACCTAGTGCGCCATCATCTCGAATATCGGTTGTCGTCGTCGTCGTTGTCGACGACGGTTCGTTGCTGTCAGTTACTACAGCGGTCGCTTCTTCTCGTTTCTCGATCGAGTCGATCACCGCGGATTCGAGCGCGTTTCCTGGCAATTCTTGGCAACAGTGTATTATGACGGGCGCGGGGACGTCGTACCAAATCGTCGTCGAACCGCCAGCGTGCGCGGTGGTGTTCGCGCTGTTGTTCGACAACGTCAACCTTCTGGCCAACTTCAACGTGGCCCACGCCGAAACGTGCTTCGCTTCTGCCATTTCTCCCTTTTCGCGCCATCCGCTAACCGAACCGTCTAACTCGCGACACACTGTCCATCGTTTGTTCACCGTGTATACGCATTCTCTTTTCCACCTGTGCACCGTCGTTCGGACATCGTAAAATAACGTAACGCATAACGTTTGTAATTATTTATACATTGTTATTGTCTTAATTATTACAATTTAATTGTTAGTTTTATAATTGTCGTAATTTAACTAATTAAATTTATATTACAATTTAATTGTTATTGTTATAATTATTGTAATTTAACTAATTAATTTTATTGTTATAATTATTGTAATTTAACTAATTAATTTTATATTTATGATTATTACAATTTAATTGTTATTTTTATAATTATTATAATTTAAATAATTAAATTTATATTTATAATTATTACAATTCAATTGTTATTTTTAAATTATTATAATTTAAATAATTAAATTTATATTTATAATTATTATAATTCAATTGTTATTGTTATAATTATTGTAATTTAACTAATTAATTTTATTGTTATAATTGTTATTGTTATAATTATTGTAATTTAACTAATTAAATTTATATTTATAATTATTACAATTTAATTGTTATTTTTATAATTGTCATAATTTAAACAATTAAATTTATATTTATAATAATTACAATTTAAATGTTATTGTTATAATTATTGTATAATTTAACTAATTAAATTTATATTTATAATTATTACAATTTAATTGTTATTTTTATAATTATTACAATTTAACTAATTAAATTTATATTTATAATAATTACAATTTAATTGTCATTGTTATAATTGTCATAATTTAACTAATTAAATTTATATTTATGATTATTACAATTTAATTATTTTTATAATTATAATTGTTTTTGTTACAATTATTATAATTTATAATTGTTACAATTATGCATGCATTGTAGATTATTCGCGTTGGGCATACATTTATAACATTTGCAATTTAAATGGCACACTAGCTTATCTCACGTCGTGCACCTTCGTGTCTATATTTTATAATTATTTACTATTTATTATTGTATTTTATATTTGTATTTATTATTATATATTATTTAGTACTGTATAATTATTATTTATTTGTTATTCTTATTATTATTGATTCTACAATAATTTGGCGAAGGAGACTATAACGTTAATTAGTATGTTAGTGTAACACTAGTATAACTAGTGTAAAATACTCGTAGATGTGTCACGACACAGTCCAACACTATTACAACGTGTAAAATACTCGTAGATGTGTCACGACACAGTCCAACACTATTACAACGTGAAAAATAGTCGCGAGAGATTCTACAATAACTTGACAAAGGAACGAGCAAGATTAACCACTAGATCAAACATTAGTGTAGCACTATGTAACGTGTAAAGTAATATGTCGCGCCGATCGGCGGAATCAGGCGAATGAAATCGCGCGTAAAATAGTATGTCGCGGGGCAGACACCAGCAACGCGCGCCGCAAACGCGTTTCACAGTCGGCCACGAGTCGCGATCGCGATCGATTCAAGGTTGTCAATTAGCCGATCTGCCCGAAAGACGATCGCGTACCGCCCGGAACGCAACAGCACGGGGGACATGCTCGCGCGACGACGCCTCGCTCGTGACTCGCACCGCGGCTGGACCCAGCGCTGGAAACCGTATTACACGCGCATTATACAACAGACAACGTCGAACAATTATATCTACATTACGTTGCGTGCACACGTGTTACGCAACGGCGGCGAGTAAAACTGTGTGCGCCGTGCGGCGCCGTACCGTAAAACACCGTCTCCGCGAAAATAACGTCACGACCGTTCCGCGTGAAAATTTAATCTCGTCGTGGAGACGCGCTCGCTGATTTGTACACTTTGAGGCGACGACGATGAGCGTTCGGCGATGTTCGCAGATCGACGAACACAGTTGTCACGCAAAAGGTGGAAAGAAGACAGCCGGCAGGTTTGTGTAAACGGACGAATCGTTCGTAACGTTCGATCTGTCGTCGAATTGCATATTCGTCCGATACGAAATGTTTCACCGGTGGGCTTCACGTCTGGACTCTCTACGACGGAAATTGAACATTAAAAACTACCGACGATTCGAAGCGTGAAATTCGCCATCAAGAGGCAATGGAGTAAAAAGAGAAAGAAAGATAGGAAAACTTTATAATTTAAATTGTCGTTTAAATCTTTAAGGAACGCGTTGTTTTACATCTACATGTAACATTGGTCATTTGGACCATTTTTTGACCAATTCTGAAAACTTTTAAAAACGTTTTGCAAAAAAAATCGTATGAATTTTTAAGAAAGGCATTGGTTTACATTTATCTAAAATTGGTCATTTTGACCATTTTTTTGGTACCTTGGACCATTTTTTGACCAATTGTCAGTGCACTTTGTAAAACTTTTAAAAATGTTTTACAAAAAAAAATTGTATGAATTTTTAAAAAAGGCATTGCTTTACATTTATCTAAAATTGGTCATTTTGACCAATTTTTTGGTACCTTGGGCCATTTTTCAATCAATTCTCAGTGTACTTTGTAATACTTTCTAAAATGTTTTACAAAAAAAATCGTATGAATTTTTAAAGGCATTGCTTTACATTTATCTAAAATTTCAAATTGGCCATTTTGACCATTTTTTGGTACCTTGGACTATTTTTTTACCAATTCTCAATGCACTTTGTAATACTTTTAAAAACGTTTTACAAAAGAAAAGAAATCGTATGAATTTCAAAAAAAAGCATTGTTTTACATTCATCCAAAATTGTGAATTTGCTCATTCTGACCATTTAGTACTTCTAATGTTGACACCGTAACTGTCCCTAAAGGAGGAGAGCGTCGCTGTCGATAACGATAATTGTTTACATCGACGACACAGGTACGGCGAAAGAGGAGTCGCGACGAGACGAGACGAGACGAAACGAGAGAAGGTAAACACAGAAGCGAAGAGAATCGAGGCGCGATTCGTCTAAAACGACACGGTTGCACTAACGACCGGCTGTCGGAAACATAATACGCGGGCAGCAATACGCGTCGTACGTCGCGGCGGAGCGTAATGCTTCGAAACGAATGCGAGCAGCAGCAGGCTGTTTCGAAGCAAGTAATGCCAGTTTCTAGGCGGGAGGTGTTATTCTTTTTCCTAGCAGGCTTATATTTAGCTTGTTTCCGCGCGACACTCGCACGTCATCGAAACATGGTGTGCACGTGCGACCGCCGACTCGGATCCTGGCTCTACGCACGTACACACGAGCGTAAGTAGCCGCTCGTGTAATAAATAATACGTACTTCGTCCTTTGAACTCGATTTGTTTTCAATGTCACCGCGCAAGTATATTGCGCTTCGAGCTAAATTCATGTGCAAGGAAAGGTAAAGTTCAATGTTTTTAATTAATTATTATTATTATTATTATTATTATCGTCATCAGCATCACCATTATTGTTATTATTTTTATTATCATTAATGTACAAGGAAAAGTAAAGTTCGATGCTTTTGATTGTATTATTATTATTATTGTAAAATTGCAAAATGTTAGAACTAAATAAATAGCTTCTTTTTAACACGATAGAAAATAATTTGTCCATTTGGTAACAGCGACTTTATGGTTCTGGATTAGATTTCACTAACATTTGAGTTATCATGGTTGTAGTATCAGTGTGAGTCTAAATAATCAAATAATAACAAAACTAACATTATTCGAAATGTAAACATTTACATCCACGCCGTTCAGAACCATAAAGTCGCTGTTAGAACGCACGTGTTCTACGCGCGTCCACAGTGTTGAATGATCGAGAAACATTTTTTGCCATTTTTTATTCGGTTGCGACCTACAGTTTCTTGGAAAAGTTTTTACCCTCGTGACGAATGGAAAGAAAATTTTTTAACTTTGAAATTCAAGATCGAGACCAATTTTTCTTTACATGTATTTCCATCAAATCGAAGGTGTAGAATTTATTTATGATAGCCACGGACTTTCCTTTCCACTGTATGATTTCACACAACATCACGAGCACAGGCATTTTCAATGGCTGATGGAATGCGCATCAAATGCGTCGATACGTTGTCATTCCCATTGTAACCTGTCACTTGACTACAGGGTGGGCCAAAAATCACTTCCTACTAAAATAAATCCGTGATTTTTTTATTATATATTTCTTTTAATTTTCTTTTTCTTATATATTTTGATGTTTTATTGAAAAAAAAAAAAATAGGGGAGAAGAAACTTTTGGCCCATCCTGTAGAATCTGAACACTTACAGTGACTCCCATTAACATTCGGACAGTTACATTAAACATCGAATAACAGTTATAATTTTACAAAAAGAAATCAACACGAAGCCAAGGAACCACCAGAAATCACAAAAAATGTGCCACGGTTGGCCACCCCTGCCTTATACGGCTTTCCTACGTGACGGAAGACCGTGGCAAAAAGAAACTCGTGGTCTGGCTGATTGAGCAAGAACGAAACAGAGCAGAAAAAAAACCCGAGGCGGAAGAACGGAAGGAAAGAAAGACGAAAGTAGATAGGCAAGTATATAAGTGGTAAGTAAATGATCCGTCATCCGGTATCGGGGCTTGGCTTCGGCAACCTGTTGCTTCGTTGACCCACTAGCCACTTGTAGAAAACGTACAATAGGGTGAACAGAAAAAAGGGTTCTCAACTTCTAGGGTGGAGTTGGGCGTTCTTCGAATGAAATTTTACTCGAATAACATTTCGAATAAATTCTTCGAATAAAATTTTACTCGAATAACATTTCGAATAAATTCTTCGAATAGAAATTTTACTCGAATAACATTTCGAATAAATTCTTCGAATAAAAATTTACTCGAATAAATTCTTCGAATAAAAATTTACTCGAATAACATTTCGAATAAATTCTTCAAATAAAATTCGACTATACACACACACATATATACATTTATATATATATATATATATAAATTGGCGATTCGTCCTTCCCCTGAAATCACTATTTACGTAACATTCTTTTTGGTTCAACAGCATCGTCTGAGACGGTGTCCGTATCTTTCACAAAGAATGTACGTTATCGCTATCGTGGTCTTGCCAAACACGCTTTATCGTCCATATACGGAAAGTTTCGCGCAATTAATACCAAGTTGGAACGAAAGAATTTACGCTTCAAAGATCCTTTTTTTAGATTTATCGTTTGATCGTTTCATCGCCTTTCGTTTAGCTTTGAAGTTCCGGCACTGCAAACGAGGGACAAAGATCCGTGAAAAAGTCTAAATCAGATCGTGTCCGCGTCATATAATCAAAACTGGAACAAGAATTTTATTGTTCGAGTAATTTCAACAATGAATAATCATACTTTTTTTTCTTTTTTTTAATTTAATGTCAGAGTGACTAATTACGAATAATTTCTAAGGCCCAACGAAATGTTTTTTATTTTAGACGTTTGGCATATTTGTTACTCCATTCTCGACTGATATCGATATGTTGTCAGCGAATATGCAAATGAAACGTATTAAATTGCAATCAGGTATACATACAGCTCAAGGAAAAATTTATCCAGGTGCCTTTATTAGACTTTTATATAAACTACACCTGCCTAAAGAAAGATATTCATGCGCTGTTCATAATGTCCTTTCTGAAGGGGGGGGGGGGGNTTATTCACGAGTTAGTACAGCCTTAATCTATAATATAGTTTAACTAAATTTAACCAAATAGGCATACTAAATGTCAATATATTCAACTAGAATGTAAGTTATGTTATAATAAGTTAAATTGCAATCAGATATATATACAGCTCAAGGAAAAATTTATCCAGGTGCTTTTATTAGACTTTTATATAAACTACACCTGCCTAAAGAAAGATATTCATGCGCTGTTCATGATGTCCTTTCTGAGGGGGGGGGGGGAGGTACTTATACTAGGGGTACCCATAAACAACGTCGTTTTTTGATACTGTACAAAATTTTGTTTTATTCACGAGTTAGTACAGCCTTAATCTATAATATAGTTTAACTAAATTTAACCAAATAGGCATACTAAATGTCAATATACTCAACTAGAATGTAAGTTATGTTATAATAAGTTAAATTATTGTCACTAGATGGCTAATGTTTGTTGAATTTGAAAAGAAACGACGTTATTTATGAGTATCACTAATATATATTTGCGAATAGATCTTTTTCGCATATGAAGCACACGGGAAATAAAATTTTACACGCAAAATTTTGCGTCTTGAGGACATTTTTCATATTGACACTAGCTGTACCATATACTGACGAACTGTCTAAAAAAGCAAGCTCGGTGTTCTCGTTGAAAATCATTTCATTAATGTAAATATATTATTCCAATCAACGTATCTTTTCACCATAGAAGTTAATTTTTAATATCCTCATGTAAATAATATAGTTATTAACGAACTGATAAGAAAATATGTAAACTATGTGCAGCCCTCGACAAATATTACTTTTAATATTTAAGTTTTTATAAAATATTATTTTTAATTAATTTTTGTTGACCAACGAGGCGCAAAAGTCTCGGATCGCCCGTTGGACATCCACGATTGAAGTTATTATAAAACAAAACAAAGGTATCTGACAAATTCAAAATATGTAAATTCGAGTTGGTCCTAAGGTGAAATGAAATGCAAAGAATTCATTGTTAAATAACTCATCCTCGACAATCAAATGTCACGCCCAAATGCTATTGCAATATACTAAATTTATCTAAAGAAGAGACAAAGAAGATGGAATTAACGTCGCCGAGCACGCGAATTCGTAGCACATGGTTCATGTCCGGCAAGTTCGAGAGAGGACGAAACACACTTACAGAGGATTGCATACAATTACATGGAAACTCTACACGACCACGCGCATAGATTAGCTACTACTTACGGCGAGATCTCGAGAAACCTTCGAACGAGTCCAAAACCACTGGTACTGACAGAACATTCTACCGATCACAGTGTTCACAGTTTTCGAATCGACTTATTTGAAATTGCAGTTGCGCATCGCGAACTGAGACTCGACACCCAAAATTGCTATGTCACTATTGTCACTACGTCATTTATTGTTTAACGCTAGAACTAACCAATGACCAATTGATAATTTTCTATGGAAATCTCACATATTTACAGCAGTGTATCTTATACTCGGTGTGACTTTTAACAAAATATATCGATGGAAGCTTGTATCCTTTATACTGAATTATCAACTTTATCTTGTAATTTCTTTGCTATAAATATCTTAATACTTTTTCGTCGGTAGTTCTGGTGTTAATTCCTTTTCCTCTATCTAGCTAATTTGCTGCGTTTATTTTACTTTCATCTCGATCTCCTTTTCCTATTCAACACGGCCTTAATTGAGGCAAAGAAGACGTAAAAACCTATATGGAAAAATCGGAACTAACAATGAAGAAATAATAGGAGTTGGCCAGAGTTTGGACAAAATCGTACTGATAACGTAACGTGCTTCGATCATAACGAAAGCATGCTGTTTGCTTATCGAATGAGCCATTGCGTTATCCGATGTGACGTTCCACTTTTTCTCCACTTTTGTTACACGAAATTCTACGCTCTAGATTAACTGCTAGATTATCTCGTTTTTGATTCCCTTCGCCGCTTCCGTTTGTACGCATAAATTCTAATTTGATTGAATAACAATCGCGTGAATAATCGTCGATGTCGTCATTAAACACTGGAATCGTCGTAACGAAAAACAAATATTTCAGTTTTTCTTCTTTCGATTTCCAATGCGATTTTCGCCGCGATTTAGGTCCTAATTATATATTTATTATTTACAATATTTTACGATAATTTGATCATCAACGTTCATCATGGAGCGTCAATGCGTGGCAAGCAAATGCAGTTTTCATCCTCGAGACAAATTATCGTAAAATATCTCCTTAACTATAGGTTTAGGATCAGTGTGGTTTAATATACTTGGAATTTAATATTCTTTCAGTTTACGATGAAAAAAGCACGTCGTCCAGTTAAGAAAAATAAAGATGACCTTGAAACTTTCGAGACCCACAAAAAATTAAATATACTTAAAGCTGAGGAAATATTGCAGTTTTGAGGGAAAAAAATTCTCGACGTGCGTGGCAAGAGGTTAACTACTTGCGCTGGCAACTAATTGCGGACCATAACGAGTGACCAAACCGTATACAATAATTCGTCGATTTCATTTTGAACTGGTCGGTATTGATATCGCTGGATAGAAATTATTGACAATAATTAGTAAATTTATTATTTGTTTTGCCTGGATTATACCTAAATGTACTTAAAACTGAGGAAATATTGCAAATTTTGGGACAAAAAATTCTCGACGTACGTAGCAAGAGGTTAACCACTTGTGCTGGCAACCGATTGCGGACCATAACGAGTGACCAAACCGTATACAATAATTCGTCGCTTTCTTTTTGAACTTATCGGTATAATATCACTATTATTGGATAGAAATTATTGAGAAGTAATAAATTTATTATTTGTTTTGCCTGGGTTATACTTAAATATACTTAAAACTAAGGACATATTGCAATTTTGGGACAAAAAATTCTCGACATGCGTGGCAAGAGGTTAACCACTTGCGCTAGCAACTAATTGCACTAATAACGAGTGACCGGATGACCGTATACAATAATTCGTAGTGCTTTTTTCTTGAACTCGTCGGTATTGATATCACTGGATAGAAATTATCGAGAAGTAACAAATTTATTATTCGTTTTCCCTATTTTGTTTTATTTAGATATACTTGAAACTGAGAAAATATTACAATTTTGGAACAAAGGGTTAATTATTTAATTACATTACGTAATTAATTATTTTTCCAAATAAAATAATAAAAAATTAAAAAAAAACGTGTCTGTAAAAGTTATTTTATTTTATATCATTCAGTGACCGTCCTGTATATAGGCATAGTTATATGCGAGTGTAGGCACATCGGAAATAACCTTCTTACAGGAAAAGCTGCTCGATGCGCGGAAACCACGGCGACGTATCATTTTTTTGATTTGGTTCGATGGTAACACGGAAAGGCAGCGAAAAATGCTTAACCATAGGTTGAAAACTTTGAACGTATAGTACAAAATTGCACGTAACATCTTCCTATGGGTGTGTCGCGGAATACCGAATGTCGTGACTCAGAATTCCTCGACAATTGACTCCCTCCGTTCCTTTCGTGACTCTTTTAATTTTACGTTTTACTTTTGATCGATCGCCAAAAAGATCGAAATTCCTCGAAAGCGAAAACAAAATTTTCTTTCTAAAACAAAGCTTCGTCGAACGTACTCTACGTATGTATCGAAAGAATTCACTATATGTATGCAGAAGTGGCGTGATTTTCAAATAATATTCGTATTGATATTCGTGCCTCGCGTAGGAATCGATACGACTTCGCTGTGTAGCGGTGTCTCGTAATGATATGGCGACGAGAATCAACCGGAAACGACTCGTCAACCGGAACGAGGTTCTTTCACGACCCACTCGAGTTGCGGACAACGCAACGTAACAAAACGCGATTCGAATAAACTCATCTATAATATGCACATATATCGACGATATTATAAAAAGACGATCGAGGAAGAAGAACTACTCTTTACAATGATTCTGAAGATATTCTTCCCTCTAAAGTAGAAGCGGTAAAGTAGTTAAGAAAAGGACAGATTTTCGTGAAAACGTAATTAACCTTTTACGCTGGAATGACGTGCCACGCACGTCCAGAATTTTTTATTTCAAAATTGCAATATTCTCTCAGTTTTAAGTACATTTAAATATGATCCAGGCAAAACAGATAATAAATTTATTAATTATTATCAATAATTTCTATCCAGTGATATCGTACCGACGAGTTGAAAACGAAAGCGACGAATTATTGTGTACGGTTTTGGTCACTCGTTATGGTCCGCAATCAATTGCCAGCGCAAGTGGTTAACCTCTTGCCACACACGTCGAGAATTTTTTGTCCCAAAATTGCAATATTTCCTCAGTTTTAAGTACATTTAGGTATAACCCAGGCAAAACAGATAATAAATTTATTAATTATTGTCAATAATTTCTATCCAGTGATATCATACCGACGAGTTCAAAAAGAAAGCGACGAATTATTGTGTACGGTTTTGGTCACTCGTTATGGTCCGCAATCAGTTGCCAGCGCAAGTGGTTAACCTCTTTTAACCGAAGATTGCAATATTCTCTCAGTTTTAAGTACATTTAAATATAACCCAGGCAAAACAAATAATAAACTTATTAATTACTGTCAATAATTTCTATCCAGTGATATCGTACCGACAAGTTCAAAAAGAAAGCGACAAATTATTGTGTACGGTTTGGTCCGCAATCAATTGCCAGCGCAAGTGGTTAAATGACTTCGTGCATCGATTTGACGTACGATATAAATATAAAAGACAGAGAAACGAATCGAGGTGACACGTAGAATGAGAAAAGAGGAAAATGTCGAGACGATAGCCTGTTCGAGTTTCGCTTATTCTTACATCGTAGTAAGCGAGTGCAAGGAGTAGTGACCACTTCGTTGCATGAATCGTTCGGTTGTCCGGCGTAATAAGATGCATGTCTCTTACGTAAGACTTTCACCCCTGAGGGCCCTTCTGACATCCGAATCATACACCTTAGCCACATACGCCAACCTCGTTTGAAACTCGAATACAGTATGTACACACTACGTGTACACTGATGAACCTACCGCTAGTCGGCGAGTTTATACCCTACTCTTCGTCATTCGTTTCCTCCTTCAGTTCGTCTTTCCCGTGTAAACACGCGTGTTTACGTTTCTTCGTTTTTATTCGATCAATTACCCACGTACAGAAACTTGGAATATAAAAATTTGTCATCACGATCTTTTGTAATAATAATAGTAATATCGAAGCTAGCGGAATTGTCCAAATTTACAATAATTTATCTGGAAATATCGCCTTCTATTAATCGTTTTTAATCATCGTCCGAAATTGACTCATATCCGCAATTATTTCTGTCACTTACCACGTTACACGTAAAAGAACTTAATCGTTGGAGCAAATAAAGCAAGTTCCTGTGATAAAACATTCGATCCTATCGGATAAGATTATGATAACATTTATTAGAGAATCAAGGATAAGAATAACTGGAACAATACGATTTAACATTCGCTTGGTAACTAAACGTCAATGCCATTCGTTGATCATCTGAGCATCGCTAATTTGAGTACCACCCGATATTATCAAAATACATATTGTTCCAACAGTTTGATTATTTCACATTTTTGTCAAAAGTATTTCTATTAAAATTATTGCAATGAAACTAATATTTCCATCAAATATTATTTATATAATATTATTATATTATACATATAATGTATTATTTATATAATATTATTACATTACATATAAATTAATACTTTTATCAAAAACATTGCAATGAAACTAACATCTCTATCAAAATTATTGCTGAATAGAATAACGTTGGACGATTTCAAATAAATCAAGCATTTTTAATGTTAAACAAAGATCTGTTACGCGTGGATATTCTTTCAAAACGATGAGAATTAAGGCTTTATAAAAAAAGATGAATTAACAATATACAAATGAAAACCTTGTAACGAATCTCCTTTTACATATGTATGTCTTGTAGCAAATTTCTTCTGCTCATATCTGTTTTTACTTGAAATATTTCTTTCTTCTCTCTTTCCCACCTTCCTTTTAAATCGTCGTACCAATTACAAAATAAAACCTGCGACACGCAGTCACCATGATCCATCAATAACCACATACAGTCATGAGTAATTATTGCACGATGAAACAATAACGCGTCATCGTTACAGTGATCTCAAGCGTACCTTCTGCGCACATTTTTCCCTCTTTGCATTTCATTTCTTTTTTTGCAAATATCGACAAGTGTCCAATAACAAGCACTGATACGGTATCAACGATATCTATCTATTCTCTATCTATTGTCAGAACATTCAGAAAGCGATAATTTTTTTTTCTTGAGATCCGCGATCCCAGCAAACAGATTCCGAATAAACTCTCGATTAGTAACCATTAACTCGAGATTATCGTTTCGCATCGTATGAAATATTCCATCGCAAGTGTGTGTAAAACGAACGATCCCGCTGCAAGCAGAAAGCGTATGAAGCTAGTAAACATTTTCACGCGTATGAGGAGAAATTTTCATAAAACTGGGTCGTACTTCCTATACTTAATGAACTATAAAGATATGTGATGTGATCTGGGGGGCGACAACGCTACCCCAAATAGTTTACATCTGTTATGCAGATGCAATTATTTACTTGCGTAGAAAGCGAAGAGGAAGGTTGATAGTTTGCCACTTACCGCGTACTTATCTTTGTAAAAAAGCGAACTGGTCGACATGGCGTTTATCCCGAAGCAACAAGTTGCACGCGGATCGCGGCAAGTCACGGTTTCATCGTCGATCTCCGTTATATTTTGATTGCGATTTCCTCAGGTATATCCATTGAGCGTGATGCACACGCGCGCGCGTGCGCGCGCCAATATTTTTCCTTACGGATTAATAACAAGAAAAACGACCCCGAACGGTCAACGGTTACAAGCTGCTCGCAGAAATTGTCAACAAACGTACAGAGAAACGCACGGGCAGGCTAAAACGCACGTTTAACGCAGAACGGAGCACCTGCGCTCTCTGTGCTAACAAACAGGACGAGCCACTACCGCGAAAGAAAGACTGATACACTGTGTGTATGTCCTGTTAGTTTATGGCCACGGTTACGGCAAGAAAGGTAGTATCTTTCCCTCCTCCTCTACCACGCTGACCTACAATCTAACGCAACGCTCTCTCTTTTCGTTTTCTTTCTCTTCTCTCTTCCTCCCGTTATCTTCTCTTTCTCTCTCTATCGCTCTGTCTCTCTATCTCTCTCTACTTCCGCTCCACGGCCATATTCCATCTTTCTTTCTTTCCTTTCTTTTTTTTTCTTGAATTTTTCTACCATCTTTTTTCTTGAATTTTGCCATTTCGTTACATTAATTGCTTTATTTTTTCAAGTAATAAAAAGAATCTGTATATCTGTGTATATATATTTTCGTTACATTAATTGCTTAATTTTATCAAGTAATAAAAAAAATCTGTATATCTGTATATATATATGAATATATTACAAGTGGATGTTTCAAATTGTAATTCACACAAGCGTTCATACTCTCCATCTGTAAATGCAGAAAAAGATTTGTAACAGGGTTACGATTATTGTCACATGATAAATGAGAAAATTACAACTACCTTGATTTCCTGTGTCATCTTTTTTCCCATTTGCAAAAATTAATTTTATTTGTAGAAATTAGTTTCAACATTGATATTTAAAAAAAAAAGGAAAGAAAAAAATCAAATTCGTAACTATTTATTTCAACGTCTCCAAGTATAAAGAAAAAAAATCACATCATTTATATTGAAAACGTTCCCATTGGTAAATCAACGTCAGAAACTACGTTACTTTCGAAGAGATCGACGAATAGGGATTTTTTTTTTCAAAATTCGATTCCGGAAACAAGAGAACTCGGCAGAGGTAGCCGCCATTTTGTTTGATCGATAGTTGAATCTCGAAACACTCTCGAATCAGGGGGTCTACGGCGCGATACGTAAGTGCTCTGTGTTTGTTTGCTTCTTACGGAACGAAGCTCCCGCGATATGACTCAAGAAGGCCAGTAAGTATGCAAAAATTCCCGCAGAATTTCCTTCGAACGTGTTCCTCCGCTCTGAGATCTCCATTTCTGGACGTTTTATTGAAAAAAGTGACAGATATTGGTGAAAAAAGTTCGAATACCGCCCCGTGGCTTTCGAAACATCGCCATGTTGTAAAGACGGCTTTATTGATTCTCGAAATTTCTGGAAAAGAATCACGAGAAACTCTCCCAACGTCCTTCCTTTATTTTGCCTTCTCGATATGCCGACCATGAATTCTTAATAATTGTATTATCGGCCGTAAATGTTCCTTACGCAACCTCTGTCCCCTTTCAGACAATCGACTCACATACAATCGGGGTTTTTAATAGTTTGTATTTCTACGTAACTATCGATATATCCGAGACGCGAAATATCGTGATTTTTTTGTACGTTACGTGAAAATGTGTCTCGCAATGTCACGGTATTTTCATTCTCCCCGGGAAAATACAACATTTTATATGCATAATGACTAGCGATTTTTCTCAGAACCCGCGGGACTTCGCTCCTAACCTTTATCTGCGCGTCACAATGCTACCCAAATGTTACTCCAATATCTGCGCTCCCATTAAATGCGTTAAATAACTCATTTCAGCTTTTGTATTCAAATAAACTCTTTACTGAAATAATAATCTTTATTGAAAAAATTAATTAAAATGTTTATACACGAAATGAAACTAATACGTATCCTCGTGCAAATTTATCACGCGTGTATATATTCCATGCAAAACTAGTATATGTCGTAGACATACTTTGTATAAAAATATACAAATAACACACAATGTACATAATGTTTTATATATAGAAATAAAGCGATGAACAGCAATTGATATAGATTGAAATATCGTTTCTATTTCAATTAATCTTCTTTCACCTCGGCTACATTTTTTAATTTACAATTTATGATTTAAATTGTAAAACTCAAAATTGCTAACTTTGAAATTTGAAAATTTTTTTCAGATTGCCTCCTCCACCTGTTATGTGGGCTCAAAGGAGAGAAATTTTATTTGTTACCATCTGTCTAGAAGATTGCAAAGATCCTGTTATTAACATTGAACCACAAATGATATATTTTAAGGGAATAGGTGGAACAGAACAGAAAATGCATGAAGTAACGATTAACCTTTATGGGGAAATTGTTCCTGACAGAACAATTAAGAACTTAAGAGGAAGGACTTTAGAGTTAGTTCTTGTTAAAAAAGAAGAGGGCCCGTATTGGCCAAGATTGACGAAAGAAAAAACGAAAGCTCATTGGTTAAAAAGTGATTTTAATAAGTGGAAGGACGAGGATGATAGCGATGACGAAGGTGGCATGGAAGGAAGTGGTAACGATTTGGAAGAAGTAAGAGATCATCATCTTTCTTTCCTTTTTTTTCAAATAGTTTTGAAGCAATCTATTTCTCATCCTTTTGGAGAAAAATATTACAACTACTTTACTTTCATTTGGCTATAACTTGGCTATGCTTACAGATGATGCGACAAATGGGTGGTTTAGGAGGAACTGGCGATAGCAAGCCAAACTTTGATGACTTGGACGCCTTAGGAGATGAAGGCGAAGGAATGGATAGCGATGACGATGATTTACCTGATTTGCTTGAATGAAGACATTATTACGCTACTTTAAAATAATCTTCATTTAAAGAAGTAAAAAAATTCAAAAACAAATGGCGACCTAAGAGAATAGTGCACCACAAGGCAATATTTCAATAGGCCGTGCTATTTGTATTTTCAATTAAATTTGCTAATGGCCCAGGTTGCTGTAGCAAACAGACAAATAAGATGCACGAGAAACTGTCAACATAAAAGAATACAGTGGTCGAGAAAAAAACAAAAGCAGTAATGTTCTTTTTAGAGATTCTCCAATCCTTTAACTCATCATTCGTACGCTAAGTTATAATGGATAACCCTTTTTTAACAATAATTGCTTGTGTATAATACGCAGGAGATAAAATAATGAAAACGACTTAAATTACTTGTGGAATTGTTTATTTCATGAAAACCCATTAAGAGAGCTCAGCACATACGTATGTAAAAAAAGAAGTTTTTATAAGAATGTCAATGCAGCTTTATTTTGTCTCTTTACGAACTCGATATATTTTTGTTTACATTTGCAGCACCATAAGTAATTTACAGCATTATACTTAGTTCATTATTCTGCAATAAATACGATAACGATTACAAAATAAAATATCCGTGTTCTATAATATTTAAATATAAGGGAATTATAGGAAATAAAATTCTTATTTCATTTATCCAACGATACTGGAAGCGCCGCGCAATGCTAGATATCCAGCAGTTATATCCATTGGTAGACTTCGGACTGTCGCAAATTCTTCTGCAGTTGCATAGTATAATTTAGTCTGTGGATCTGTATATCGTGCCTGTAAAATAAATGTAATTTATATATCAATTTACATATTTTAATGATGCAACCAATCATACAAAAGCGAAAAATTAATTACCGGTAGTCCAGAAATATCGGAATATTTCTTTGCTGGCCTAAAGCTTGGCGGTGCATTGATAGAACTATCTGAAATTTTTCAAAGTAGTACAGCATTTATATGTGTGTATATTTCAACTGGAATGAACAACGTTTATTACATATTAAAACTAAAATTCCTATAATTTAAAATATTTAAAGTATAAATACGGAAATTACAGCGATTGGAAAATAAATCACAAGTAGATATATTGTCATTATAATGATAATTTTTTAATTCTTCAGTTGGTCAAGCTATTTTGAAATATAAAAAAAGATCAAAATATAGAAGTAATAAATCGTACAATGCACTACTTCTGCTGGCCATGGTAAAGTGCGTTCTTGAGCCAACATTTGTTTTAATGAACGCCAAGTCCGTTTTTTTCCAGAGGCACTAGTAGATCGAAATTTCTGTTGGAAAATTGGATTTTTATAAACTGGTTGTGATTTCTTATTAAATTCCACTACCTCTTCATTTACCATTTTTTTTATTTCATTTAAAACATTTATAAATCTCCTATAAAAAATATATATTAATAAATACGAGTAACCATTGACATTTATCAGAAATAATTACATAAAGTTATGACATATTGCATCGTCATTAAAAAGATTTACATTAAATATCTTTTCTTTGTAAATTTCCCTCCTGTACAATAACATTCAAAATCATTTCTCTCTTGGACTGTATAAAACCAATATTTCTCCTACATCACATTCTAATATAGCAGAAATTGTATGCATCATAGTTGTGTTTATATGTTTAACTAGAATTTTAGCCCAATGACTCAAAATAAGTACAGCTGCATAATAATCCTTTGAACCTCTGAAGAAAAAGTTTCATTTGTTGAAACATTTAGACTTACATGTTATGTTTGCTTTTCATAAAATACCTCTGAAAATCGAAATGATATCTGTATCCATGTACGAGATATTTTTTAATGACAACTGGTAAATTATCTTCCATTAAAACAGCACCCTTTTTACTTGGTTCAATTAAACACAGAATTGCATGATAACAAAGTACCTGATCATAATCTGTATGATTCTTTTTCGTATAATCATACTTTGTATTCTGAACAACGGATACTAGATTAAATTAGATACAAAGACATGTTAAATCAATTGAAAATAAAGAAAGATATATACATGATATAACCTTTGCTACATGAAGAATAATTTCTATGTTTCTTTTAATGTATTCCATATCTTTTATATGCAACCATAGAAATTTCTCAGTCATTTCTAATTGCTTATTCGTAGTACTTATCATAATATTTGATAAACTGCGCCTAAGAAAAGATGTTTGCTTATCATTATCTATTCCTATAATGCAATCCTTTTTGTGATCATTAGATGTTGTGTTATCATAAAGCAGGTTCAAATTTCCCATTACAGCATCTTTTTTAAATTTATTTCTTTTACAATTATATGAATTTACATATTTTTGTTTGCATCCTGAAGAAGACAATGAATTGCACTTTGGCCCATTCAATTTGTTTGCTAAATTTGTCTTTAATTTTATAATTTTATTCCATGCTTTAATTTCTCCTTTTCTAATAGCTCCATCATATTTCCTTTTTATCCTTATTCTTTGAAGAAGCTTTGTATTAATATTCTTCAAGTGAGATGTTAAAATTTGTGCATTATTTAAGTAAGTAAATTTATCAAAAAGCTTAGCATGTTTCTTTATGAAATATTCTATATTTTTTTCAGTGGAAAAATCCAAACATTGTTGTATGTTAATTTCTTTCATTTCTTCCATAGAATATAATTGCTTCATTATGTGAGACTTATCTATACTTGTTACAAATGTAATTTTGTTAAACTTCTTGCAAGCTTCAATTCTTAAACCTAAGTTCTCCATAAATGTATGTATAAATTTATCTATATTGAACTTTGATATTTCAAACATATTGCAAAATATCAGAGTTACGAAATTATAATTAAAATAATAACTAAATGTTAATATATATATATATATAAATATTTTAAATCAATAAGTATAACAAAATATAAAATTCTAATTTTTCTGTATTTGTACAGAAACAAAGATAAATCTTTGTAAACAAACTTATGCAATTGTTTCTTCACCTAACTTCACAATAATAAACAGTATAATTAGTTTCAATAATTTCAATATATTATTTTAACAACAAGAAATTAAAATGTGATACAGAATTTTTTTTAAAAATGTTGTTTAATTTATTTCTTTGTAAAAATATTGCCAAATTGAATCAGAGATGTATCCCATATAAAACATTTTTTAAATACAGTGAGTATGCAATACATTTCAGTTAATTACGACAGGTAATGATAAAGAAAGAAAATTTGTTAATTTATCAAAGAAATTTGAAAGTGAATTGGTAATTAAATAAATACATCATAACCTTGAAATGGACGAAGCATTTTGAAAATGATTTTATAATGATTAAAAAAACGCATCATAATCCTCACTCAACAATCTCGATAATTATTTATGAATAATTAAATTTTTAACCTGTACATTTCTTAGCTAAGCGTAAAATTATTTTGAAATAATCTTTATTTATACTTACCATCGATAGATCGATACGCTACTTCACCTTGATTATAAAACGTATATACATAACTTACGAAAATGTAGGATTGTTTAAAATATTATTGTCTGTTAATTCCTAAAAATTAATTTTCTAGATATTGTAGATATACCTGTTATTTAGTAGAATTTATTTCTTTATAAATTCACGTACTTGATTAATTCATTTTCAGAATTCTAATGGGTTGCTTGTAATATATCAGTATTGAATAATTATTTCTTTGAATTGAAGTTCCTTCAATGTTCGTATCATTCAACATTTTTCAAATCTGATTTGCATGTTAGTTTAATCCCAACTAAAAAGTTGGGACTAAATATAAATTGTAAGTCTGTTCTATTTTCGAAAGCTTGGGATTTAATTTCAAAATATATTTGTTCACTTGTTTATTAATGAAAGAATACGTAGAAGTGACGGGAATAATTTTATTTTTGTAAATAATACAATAATTCCTGTTAACTATTTCATGATAGAACCTGGGAAAAAGAGAGGGAGTACAGATGGTGGGGGTTTCAGAAGATCAGACTGGGGAGAACGTGACTAAATTCACCTTCTGCCTTCATTGAAGGTCGAAAGAGCATTTTTGAAATTTGTTTCAGATTCGAAACTAACTCACAGATTTGTTATTATCAATAGTTTTTGTGTGTCGGTGTACTGTAACATCATGAGTCGCAAATTTTTTGTTGGTGGTAACTGGAAAATGAACGGTACCAAGAGTGAAATCGATGGTATTGTTGCATTTTTAAAAAGCGGCCCTCTTGACACAAATGTCGGTACGTTTTCTTTTTCTATCTGCAGTTTTCCAATTCTTAAGTAATTTTAAAAAAGTATTATTGCCGATAATTTTTATTCTTAGAAAAAGTAATGTTAACATATCAATCAATATTATGCAGTTACAGTTTATTTAGAAAAACGTTATTATTAATTGTTAAATTATTTAAAACATACAATTATTTCAGAGGTTGTTGTTGGTGTACCATCGATATATTTGACGTATGTCAAGGGCATACTACCAGACAATGTTAGTATTGCTGCACAAAACACTTACAAGGTTGCAAAAGGAGCATTTACAGGAGAAATAAGTCCTGCTATGCTTTTGGACAATGGGATCCCATGGGTAATTCTTGGCCATTCTGAACGTAGAAATGTCTTTGGTGAAACAGACGAATTAGTGGCAGAAAAAGTTGCCCATGCTTTAGAAGCTGGATTAAAGGTAAAATATGTATATATACTGTGATTTATTTTAAAACTATAAGAAATTATTGCTTTCAAATTTATATATTTAATGTAGATATATGATGTAATGATTCAACTATTTTACCATTAATAATTTGGTTGTAAAGGTGATAGCATGCATTGGAGAAAAATTAGAGGAAAGAGAAGCTGGTAATACAGAGGAAGTAGTCTTCAGACAGACTAAAGCTATCGCAGATAAAATTAAATCATGGGACAATGTAGTTGTTGCCTACGAACCAGTCTGGGCAATTGGAACAGGGAAAACAGCCACACCGCAACAAGCTCAGGAGGTCCATGAAAAACTAAGAGATTGGTTCTCTAAAAATATCAACCAAACTGTCGCAGAAACTGTTAGAATTATTTATGGAGGTTCGGTAACAGCAGGAAATGCAAAAGACTTGGCAAAAGAGAAAGACATAGATGGATTTTTAGTTGGAGGGGCATCTTTAAAACCTGATTTTGTACAAATCGTTAATGCCAAGCAGTGAGATAAAACATTCATTACGCGAAAATATTATTTATTAATTTAATATACACTCTAAGGATGTGTATATTTTAACAAGTACCATAAAGAATTAACATATATTTTCTTGTTGTTTGTACAGAGAAAGATCTAAATCATGTTGCTGCAATGAAATATTATTACCGTGCAACTAGTAGTGAACAGTATAATTCACTTTATTTTTCTTAAAAGGCGTACTTTTCTTGTAAATATATAATCATTAGTAACTCAATAAATATTTCAACAAGATGTAAGTTTAATCATTTATTTTTTGCAATTATTTTTTTCAATCCAGTTCATCGACTAATCCTTTAATCATAACAGTTTCAGGCATAGAATTATTAGCAACTCTCTTAATACCTCCTAGTTTTGCTTTTGCACAAGCAATATCGGACAAACATTTAAATGTTCGTGGCTCCCAAATAGCTAAATTTGCTAAAGACTTTCGATTTAATAAAATATTACATCTATTTAATCCTTCCAGTAATATTCTCAAACTAATATTATGCTCGTGCGTTGCACCATTTAATCTAGTTTCCCAGAGCTGTAAAAAAAGAGAAAAATAGATAAACAATTATATAATATTCCAAGGAGAATTATCTTCTATTAAAAAGATGCATTTACCTCTCTCATATCTTGTTTTTTAAGTTGTCTTCCTCTTGTTGTTTTTAATAATGCTCTGTGCACATTCTTAATAGCTATACTATAACAATTTCTTTTCCTTCCAATGTAATGCTGAAAAGTAAAGTGAAATTAAAATTTTGTATCATAATATACCAAATAAATATGTAAGTACATATAATTACCGCAGCGAGTTTAAATATTTGACGTTTTCGCCAGAATTCATCAGGACCCCGACTTCTCACAAATAGTTGTGCAGTTAAAAATACCATTTTTCTACCAAAATCGATCAAATAGTAGAAATAAAATGTTCATTCATAAACACGAAGAGCGAGTTGTATTGTAACTCACTTAACCTAAAATATCTAGCAGATCCACGGACTATCAAACTCAATAGATTTAGAACTATGATATTTTCTGCATCAAAATCAAGTAAAATCAATGCCCTATACCACAGATGAAAAATAATATAGACGTGAAGTATTCAAATCTATTAGACATAATTTGTAAATCTTTATGAATATTTTATATGTCAAATGGACCATAAGAAGGAAACTTAGAGCCTAGTTTCAAAGACACAATTGCAAAAATTTATTCTGTTAATTAATCTTTTTTGTAAATGAAAACAATCGATTCGTGGATTATTGAAATACTAGCGCCGCTAATTGTTATCTCTGTCCTTGTCGCACATTATTGCCCTCCTTGTTTTTTTCTTTTTTTTTTGCGGCATATATCTGTTCTTTTCGCGCCGAATTGTTCTCTTTGTCTGAAACATGTGAAGCTATACTCCTTTTATTTAATTATACCATGATAATCAACGTAAAAACACAAATATAATATTAATATATAAAAGTTAAACAAAATATTATTTTGCCATTTTTCGCCGCCATAAACACGTGTAAAGTTCAATGATTTTTCGGATCTATCTAAAACTGTTCAATTAGGGGATTGTTCTCATAGACGAGATATCTACTTCGTCTGTAACGTCTACCTAACATGCATCACAGACTAAAAACTAGATAATCAATGATGTAATGTATTTTTTTTGTCCCATGTTTTTAGGATCCTAGGATCCCATTACCATTTTCGTGTCACATCCCATCGTATCGATTTAGACAGCGCTACTAGCGATGGAAATTAAAATTAAAAAGTATAAAGTACAGTGTTGCCACTCATATACCTCATTGTGATACCAGTCATAGCTGAAAAAAATGGCAGTCCCTAAACGAAGAGTGCAAGGACAGAGATGACGATTAGTTACAATGTTTCATCGCTATGCGACGCTAGCATTGCAATTTTCGTGAATTATCTGTTTATTACAGTCATAGTTATACGAATTATATTATATTACATTGAATGCAGTTGGAAGGTATGAAATTAAATAATAAATTAATTGTTTGTAGCACTAAACCACGTTTCTTCCCTTAAGAAGGATTGTTAATTGATTTTGATCAGAAATTGTATAGTTTGATTTCTTTCAGTACGACAAAAATAAGAGAAATGAACAAGGAAACGATGGATTTGGAGGATGTAAACATGAACGATGTTACAAACTCCGAAGAGGAGTATTCGGAAAATGAACGCAAATTACTCAGGAAAGTGCGAGACAGACAATCTTCGGAAAGTTATGACAGTGATTATGAAGTATATGGGTTATTGGATGCGAACGAACAAAACAAAGATGATACGGAAAACGAAGACCAGACAGATTCCATGGAGTCTGACATCGAAGGACTGCAAGAGGATTTTGATTTGCCAAATGAGAAAGCTTGGGGAAGAAAGAAGAAAGCGTATTATTCTACGGATTTCGTAGATCCTGATTATGCTACTATCAGTCAAAAAGACTTGGAGGAGGCAGAAATAGAGGAGGAAGAGGCCAAAAACATTCAGAGAAGATTGGCAGAGCAATTGGACGACGTTGATTTTGGACTAGATCTCGTACAACCAGCAACAAAAAGTAACGATGAAAAGGTGTACGAGGACGTGGAGCAATTTATAAAAACAGATCTCGACAAACTTAGCAAGAGACAAAAACAAACGATGATGCAGAAAGAAAGTCCGGAATTTATGATTCTTGTAAATGACCTTAAAGGTATTGTATTCGACAAAATTTACAAAGTATATATTTAAGTTATAAGGTTTGGAAGATTGAAAAGTATTTCAAATATCTTTTGAAATACATTTTATAATTCAGGTCACATGACGGAAGCAAGAGATTCACTGGCACCGTTTCTAAGATTAATCAAAGATGGTATTGTTCCTAATTGTCCAGCGGTTTCCTTCATAAAGACGAAGTATCATCTTTTATTAAATTACTGTATCAATATTTCGTTTTATCTGATGCTTAAAGCAAAAAGACTGCCTGTTAATTCTCATCCAATTATAAAACGTTTGGCACAGTATCGTCAGCTGTTGAATCAACTAGAATCTGCGCAAGGAAAGTTAATGCAAGAAATACAGGAAATATTAAGAGCAGAGAGAGAAGGGAAAGCACTGTATAATACATTAGGTGATAAAATAAGCATTGATAATCAGAGGACATGTTTCAAAGAAAAAGTGAATTACGTAAAAAAAGCTGTAGATGATGCAAATGTACATTCGCCAGAATCTGAATCTGAATTTGAATCTGAATTGGAAGCAGAAAATGATAAACATATAAATAAAGAAAAGGGCTTGGACAATAAAGAAAAAAATAAAATGGAAAGTACCAATGTGCCAGATGTAATCGAAGATAAAGGAAAACGAGCAATTACATATCAAATGGCAAAAAATAAAGGTTTAACGCCGTATCGTAAGAAAGAACAACGCAACCCTAGAGTAAAACATAGAAATAAATATCGCAAAGCAAAAATTCGTAGGAAGGGAGCGGTATGTGTCTATTTGTCTTAAATGTTTAATATATTTTGACATGTGAATGACGTTTTTTATTTTTCAGATAAGGGAAGTAAGAAAAGAGATCACTCGTTATGCTGGAGAGATATCGGGCATTAAAGCTAGTGTAAAGAAAAGTATCAAATTAAAATAAAAAATGGAGCTGTAGAAAACATATTTTATATAAAATTTCGTTTTTGAAATTATAGAATGTCTTTTTATTTCTCACGCAATACATTTCTACTTATGTATAAAAGGCGAATGTGACTTACATACTACGTATATTGAAGGATTCTGTTGTCCTTTCCTCTTATTGTACAAATTATCAATGTAAAAAGAAAATGGAAAAAAATATTTAAACAAACGGTACAAGTAGTACATAAACACAACAAATGCTTTATTATTTTACTTTTATATGTATCAAATCATGACACAGAATGATGAATATATAACAACAGATATATAAGGAAATAGCTTTGTATGATGCAATAAGAAACATCAAAGTTTGCACAAAAGTAACTTACATTTCACTGTTTCATTGCTTGTATATTTCTTATGAAATGGCTTTTAGTATTCGAAAAAAATTACAAACACAAACTTAAAAGAGATTCAAACTTCTAATTTTGCCAGTATATCCGATTCACGGAACAAATGAAATTCCTTATTATCTTCAAGTTCTACTTTAGTTCCGCCATATTCTGGCAATAGTACGACATCACCAACTTTGATACTCAGAGGAATGTGGTCTCCTTTCTAGAAAAAAAATATTTACTTCATTTGATTTCTATCTTTGACATATCGCAAATACCAAATATTTCTTACGTACATCATTTCTTTGGCCAGGTCCAATCGCTACAACAGTTCCTTGTAATACTTTCGCTTGAGCTTTCTCTGGTAAAACAATACCACCTTTGGTTTTTGTTACAGCTTCGGCTCTTTGTATGAGAACTCTATCAAATAGAGGCACAAGTCTCTTAATCACATTAGCTGCGGCCTATTACGAAAATATTAACACAGAGCATATATAAGAAAGTTCATAATTCGAATACAATCAATTCTTTTCAGTGTTTTAAATACATCTAGAGTTAATTACTTGGAGATCGTGCATGATGTAATTGTTTCTAATGCTTATAATTCAAAATTTCTTTGGACTATTGTTTATGCGCTTATTTACTTTATAAAGTAAACGATGAAATTAAGAATAGAAACTTCTACAAAGACGCAATAATTGTCCGTGAATGATTTTAAATTAAATGATGTTAAATTTGCGACGTCAAGTCACATGCATACGACAGAAATTACCATTGCACACGTAATTTTTTGTTTTGTTAAACGTTTTGCAGTCACTTGTTTTTCTATTTCTAATAGACAAGGACTCACTGTGCCGGCCATGCGATGGGATCTAAAGAAACGAAAATCATTGAAACTACCATATTAAACAAAAAAACATCAGACAATACGAGTAGATTGCACGTGATTTCAAGTGCACTCGTTACAATTTTCGAATTGGACGACAATTTAATAGAAAATATATCGCTTCGACTAGTACTTTTTGAGGTTATCTTAAAAAATGCTCGGGAACATATTAACAAGTTGGCTTGCCATTGCATACAGAAAATTCCAAGTGACGCAAGATAGACAATTTTACATAAAAATTTACATTTGTCTTACCATTTTTTTCTAAAAATTGTAAGTTCAAACGATCCACGGAGAACTCCACTTGTCCGACCACGTTGTGCAACTTCTGTACAGAAGGCGCACGATCTGCACTACTTTTCTCGAAGATTCTCAATTCCCCTCCACGTTTCTTTGCCCCACCACGTGTTTATTGATTTCGTGTTCGAGCAAAGAACCCAGTATATCCATTACGTAATCATTGATATATGCGTCTATGCGCGATAAGATAATCACAAAATGGCGCCAGAATGTCTTGTTGCTATGAAAAATAATTTACAATTTCTTCTGAAAGTATTTTGATAATACTTATAATTTGTAATTGTTCTAACAATTGGTAGTATTAAAAGCATTCTAATAGTTTATATATCGTATATTATATCTCAAGGATATATGAAAGATACCATTATCATCCAAATGAAATTCTGCATTTTTATTCACGTGTCTATCGTAATCAGACAAGTATTTTACTGATATTGTTCCTATTTTAAATATTTTTTAAATAGGAATTCTTTCCATTTAATATTTACACTTATACTTATCGTAAGGTCGTATTATATTATTGTATTGGTTGCAACAATTTACATACTAAAATTCCCATTTTTTTCTTCTTCATTTTCTATACATTGTCCGATGAATTACAATAGAAACATCTCTCAGTCATTCAATATGATTTAAAATGAAATGAAAATATAATAAAGATTCTACCTATGTATCTAATTTATTCAATTATTTATTTACAATACGTATCAGAGAAATGTGAGAAAAGATCAAAAAGTTCACTCGAAGTAAAAGCAACGGATCTCAGAAATGAATTATTTTTTAATGTTCTTTCTTTCTCTCGCAGGGCTAATCTTTGCTTCACAAATCATTCTAAAAATTTTTGAATTTGCAAACTGGAAACGTTGACTTGAAGATTGACTATTCTTGTTGCAACAAGAAACTAGTTGCCGGTACATCGACGAATTATGATTGGTGAATGCCGAACGATTGCATCACATGTGTTCTGGTACATTCTAGAACCTATAATCTCTGGCCAAGATAAAGAATCGTTTATGCAAATGAAGAGTGAAATGCAGCGAAACGAAGATGCAGGAGAAATTGTTGCATTTTTGTTTCTCGTTTGCATTCCACAGCTGTTAAACTTATCGATGATTTTCGAAAGATTTCACGCGATCGAACACACAGAAAAAGGTTAGGTCAGAATGAGGAGGAAAAGTGGTGGGGAGGGAATCATTACCCATGTGATAGCGTAAGCCTTCTCACACATTTCATTCTACTGACGAGACAACGTGCGGTCACGCTGTGCCGATTTTCAATTACTTTTGTAACTATAATTCCTAATCAGCGGTTTTTTCTCTCTCATTAATTAAAGGTAAGCTGTTTTTTCTTATACATTTGATTCCCTTTTTTTCCCGTAAATAAAATACACATACAGTTTAGCAATGCATCAACCGGTTAGCAGTCTCGAACCAATTTAGTTTTTTCGCATTCGTCGTGGATGTTTCACGTTTTTCGTGCGTTTATCATCTTGCGGGGATACGTTCTGCATTTACGGTGACCTCTCAAGTTTTTCATCTCGTCAAAAAATTGAAACATTGAACCTTCAAGGAACATCTTCCACGATTTTTGAAACTGTGTCGTCGTTCAGAAACGTGGGACGGAGAACGAAAAGATACAAATAACGTTGTCTCGCAAACAAGTTATCAGACTTTATCAAAATTATTCGTACACGTTCTTTTTATTTTTTCTTCTCGTCGTGATAATTTCCAGTTATTTCGCTTGATCTCTTTTCACTCGGATGAGCCGGTCAAATTGACTCGCGGATTACGTTGTTGCTACGTTGAAGAAACGAATACAGAAAATAAAAAGAAGCGATAAGCTTAAATATCGTTACGTACACCCTTGCGAAACTTGTTACAATTTGTTACAGATTAACGTGATTTAAGGTAACCTGTGTCTCATTGTGTTTTTTCAACGACCACGCGGTAGTTTACATAACCGCAATCACTAAAAAGTCAATTAATTACCCTCTAACGTGAAAGCAAAATTATTAAATATAATTAAATTAACTTTACACTAAATATTACGATTTGCATGTTTCAAAAAGTTTTGATTGTAATGCTAACAGCTTCTCTCTTTTTTTTTTTTTGCTGTTTCAGATGCACAGATTACCGACTGTATTACGTGGTGCGGCATTACGTCAGTTACAAGCTCGTTCATATGCCAAAGATGTACGTTTTGGCGCGGAAGTTAGAGCACTTATGTTGCAAGGTGTTGATATTTTAGCGGACGCGGTTGCAGTTACAATGGGTCCAAAAGGACGTAACGTCATCTTAGAGCAAAGTTGGGGTAGTCCAAAGATCACCAAAGATGGTGTCACAGTTGCCAAGGGAGTGGAGTTGAAAGACAAGTTTCAAAACATTGGAGCGAAATTGGTGCAAGATGTAGCGAACAATACGAATGAAGAGGCAGGCGATGGCACGACCACAGCTACAGTTCTGGCAAGAGCCATTGCCAAAGAGGGATTTGAGAAAATCAGTAAAGGTGCCAATCCTGTAGAAATAAGAAGAGGTAAGTGAAAGTAAAAATAAAAATGGAACTAAACAGCTACTTTTGTATCTACGCATTGCTATTAGAAATCTTTTGAAATAATACTTCATTTATAACACAATGGACATATTGCAGGTGTAATGTTGGCAGTTGACAAAGTCAAGGACGAGTTGAAAGCTTTAAGTAAACCGGTAACAACTCCAGAGGAAATTGCTCAAGTAGCAACTATTTCAGCCAATGGGGATAAGGCAATTGGCAATCTTATATCGGACGCTATGAAAAAAGTTGGAAAAGAGGGTGTAATCACTGTGAAAGATGGTAAAACGTTACACGACGAACTGGAAGTTATAGAAGGAATGAAGTTTGACAGGGGCTATATATCTCCGTACTTTATAAATTCTAGTAAAGGGGCAAAAGTTGAGTTCCAAGATGCACTTTTGCTCTTTAGCGAGAAAAAGATATCGTCTGTACAGTCTATAATTCCAGCATTAGAATTGGCGAATTCCCAGCGAAAACCGCTTGTCATTATAGCAGAAGATATCGATGGTGAAGCGCTGTCGACGCTTGTCGTCAATAGATTGAAAATCGGTTTGCAGGTGGCTGCGGTTAAGGCCCCTGGTTTTGGAGATAATAGGAAAGCGACGCTTCAAGATATGGCAATTCTGACTGGCGGAATTGTATTTGGAGATGATGCGAATCTCGTTAAATTAGAGAACGTGCAGTCGTGCGATTTAGGTGAAGTGGGAGAAGTTGTAATTACGAAAGACGATACGCTGTTCCTTAAGGGCAAAGGGAAAAAAGGTGACATTGATCACAGAGCGGATCAAATTAGAGATCAGATTGCCAATACAACTTCCGACTACGAAAAAGAAAAGCTACAAGAGCGACTAGCAAGGCTAGCGTCTGGAGTTGCGGTTCTGAGAGTTGGCGGAAGTAGCGAAGTTGAAGTTAATGAAAAGAAAGACCGTGTTCACGATGCTCTTAACGCCACTAGAGCAGCTGTTGAAGAAGGGATTGTTCCTGGAGGTAATTATACTCTGTTCCTTCAATATCTGTAACAAATTTTCACATAAATATGGTGCAATGTACGTTCAAAATTTAACTTTTTTTACTTTGAAAAATGTTACATGTGTTCATCGTAGATCTTGAGAAAAAAAGAAAAAAGTAATAATTCTTTTCGATATTTGTAATTTATAGGTGGCACTGCCCTTCTAAGGTGTATTCCAGCTCTTCGAAATTTGAAAGCATTAAACAGTGATCAAGAAACGGGAATAAAGATAGTGGCAAATGCACTGCGTATGCCGTGCTTGCAAATTGCTCAAAATGCAGGCGTGGATGCTAGTTTGGTGGTAGCGAAAGTTAGTGACAGTAATCTTGGTTATGATGCTTTGAACGATGAGTACGTTGATATGATCGAGAAAGGTATCATCGATCCAACAAAGGTGGTGCGTACGGCACTTACTGATGCTGCGGGTGTTGCGTCGCTACTCACGACTGCAGAAGCAGTAGTTGCTGAATTACCCAAAGAAGAACCTCAGGTGCCAATGGGTGGTGGTATGGGTGGTATGGGTGGTATGGGCGGTATGGGAGGCATGGGCATGTAATTAAATAAAATCCCATACTGAAGACTGAATTTCACATCGCAATTCAATCGCAATAACAATTAATTTGTTACAAATTGCTATTGACATTGCAAATATATAAATACAGTTTACCAGATCGAGTAAAGTTAAACACTTAGGACACTACTGTACTTTATAAAGCAGATAAAAGGAGAAAGCGAGTTTTTCACGTGCCGTGTTGATATTTGTTCTCGAATCATTCGTTTCTGTTTTGTATTTTTAAACATTATTGTTCCGCTAAATGTAAACCCTAAAAGAATTTCATTTCTTTACCAGAAGAAAGTGCATATTTATATTAACAGCATTTATATTAACATATGTCTTGTTATAAAAAATGTAAGAAATGTGCAACCAAATTATACCATTTCACCAGAAAATAATAAAGTTTAATTAGTTTTGAATCGATGATGAACATAAAAATGTATCTAAAAATTCGATATATTCCTAATAAATGTGCCTGTTCACCGATTGTGATAAACGTCATACAATTCGTCAAGTACATTAACTTTTTTAGTTAATGTGCGTTGCTCGAAAGAAAGCTTGCGAGATTGTAGAAGAACAAAGTGAACAGTAGCCATCCAGCAATATTTTCAATATTTATTTGTTAATGATTTCTACACGTTAGTCGACAATATTCAAAAATAACAATGTCACTTGTTCCCAGCTACAAAACGTATCAACACATGTACGTATGTAGCTTTGCTTTATCAGTAAAAGTTGAATTAGGCGAAGAAAAAAGTAAACCCGACGAGACGAATCGGATTACGTATCACATGCAAAAGTCAGAGAATGGGTCACTTGTTAGAAATGTTCTAAAAATTGAGTTATCTGTTATTAAAATTGCATTGCATTTTATTGCTTAAGTAGCAAAAAAATGATAAGAAAATGGATATTTATTCACGATTGTAAAGTTCAAAATGCGAGCAATATCATCTGATGCACTTTTATATAATTTTCCATCAACATGATGGATTGAGTAATAACGCAAATGATAAACATTGCAATAGGATAGAAGGGCCAATTTATTTTATACTTTTTTTAAGCGTGTTACAATTGTCAAACGTCCGGAGGGGAGGGACCTCTGCTATTTTTAATAAAAATGCCAGGACTTACAGCGCGCAATGGGAACGCGACGGTTTTGGAATCATGTCGATAAAGTAGAGTTGCCAGTCAGACTTACTCATCGTAGGGCTGATGGTGGCAATCCCCTACTCCAAATAGCTTGGGTTAGGGCCTTTTAAGTTGGGCATAGAAATGATTGGTCTATCCATCCTAGGGTCGGGTCCATACGGTGCGTGCTTAACATTGGTGATCGTCATCGATCCGTTGGTTAGCCACATCCACTTGCAGCTGGTGATTTTATATCTTCGGAATTGATCTATTAAGGACGAACACTGTGAGGACTCGACACAAGGCTAGTACCCATCCTAGTTGCCGACCAAAGAGAGAACGATTGGAATTGGAACTTGAAATGATGTAGAAGAACTTGAACGCGCGCAAAGACGTCGGGAGATGTCACACAATTTATTTCGATTTTTTTAGTCTTAATAAATGTATGTTTAAAATATGTCATGGTTATTTTTGAAAAAGACTTCCTATCTAATCAGAAATTTTTATTTAAAAACAAAAGTTTACGAATTTGAGAGAATTTTATGGGAAAAAAATGTTTACATTTATGAAATACAATGTAAATAATATACAAATTTTGTTGGATTAAAAATGATCAAGTGATTCATACAACTCCATAAAAAAAAAAATTAATACACGCCGTACTTCAATATTTTGACACATATATCCTTGTAAATTGTAATTGTAATTGTAAACTTTGTAAAAACAGTGTATTACAGTAATGGCATTGAATATTTTGTTTCATTAATCTGTCACACCATTGCATTTTAATTTCATTTGTACGTTTCGCGTATTTTTAACTATATCTGTATCTACACTGTTGTCAAAGAAATTGTTTTAAAATATATCGGTAAAGGCGTGATACAATAGTCACAACTTATTTGCTTCAATATGATCAATAATTAATACTTTATAATTATTAATTAATGATTACAACTGATTTTTACTTGTATTATTTGTACTTATATAAATCGTGATAATATCATCACGATATCGTTGTAATATTTCCTTAGTATAATTAAAAATTAATGTCCAATAGATTATGTGGTCAAATTAAAAAGGAATGATTAGTTTTTTTTCTATTAATTAATAAAGTTACGTAATGGTACAAAGATAAGGACATATTTCTTTGCGCCAAATAGTTGTTTGTTGTATAACATATAAAAATATTTCTTTATTTTTTATATTGTTTAAACTCTGTATATATTCCTGATCCAATCGCCATATTTTAAATCGTTAAAGAATATTATACAATTATTACAAAAAGAAGTAAACATATAATATCTGTTGATAATATGTGCTATTGGAAAAGAAATACAAAGAATTCACGTTGAGAATACAAATATCTATTCTTTTAGGAAGTATTACAATATATCTATTGCATATTTGATAAAAAGCATGATCGTATTTCTTATTTATTAATAAGATACCTAGACTCCTATTTTTTCTATTTCATCCGCATCTTCGGCATCAAGGTATTGTATTTTCTTTCCAAAATGTTTTTCTATGTCCTTACATAATTGCATTGCATGCGACGAGTCTACTAAATTAATGGCAATTCCAGATTTACCAAAACGTCCAGCACGACCAATTCTATGTAAATACGTTTCACAATCTGCTTGCCGATTTTGATCCATTGGTAAATCAAAATTGACAACTATTGTTACTTGTTCGACATCAATACCTGCAACACCAATAACATTTTTAATTGCTGAAGCGCTCAAATAGATTTACAATTAATATTTTGTAAAATTATATAAAGTTATCTAAATTTGTACCTTTATAGTTTTTATTAAGAATCTAAAGAATATGTAGAAAGTAATAGATAAATACCTCTGGCTAAAACATTAGTCGTAATAAGAACCTTTTCAAGACCAGCTCTAAAACGATCTAAAACTGAAATTCTTTGTTCAACTGTCAGTTCTCCAGATAAAACAGCTACTGCGTGACCATCTTTTGTCATTCTTTCAGCCAACCAATTAGCTGTTTTCCTAGTCTGTAAACAAATGCAAAGTATTACTTATAATTTTGAAACAGATAAAACATTTGTATAACACTCATATAACTTTAAGATATCTTACATGACAAAAAATAATTGCCTGTCCTATTGTTATTACACCATATATATTGGTAATAGCTGCATATTTTTCATCCAGATCCTTGCATTTTACATAATATTGTTTAATATTATCTAAACTTTCTTCTTCTTTCAATAATCTTATTATCAAAGGATTGTTAACTATAATTTCTGCAAACTTCATCACTTCTGGTTCATATGTTGCAGAGAAAAACATCATTTGACATGTGCGTGGAAGTTGCCTGTAAGTAGTATGCTTAAGTAAATTCAGATATAAATACAAACATGTATAAAGTTTAAAATATTCATTTTTTATATTTCTATGTAATTTTGGCAAAGCAATTACTTATATTTCTATATTTTTATATAATTTGTAGAGAAATTAAATAGAATAATTACTTATGAATACGTATACATTGGTCTTGATGACCTTGTGTCGCGATCATCACATCTGCTTCGTCTAGAACAAAAACTGATATTTTACTTAAACTAAAGAATTTAAATTTAACAGCCCAATCTAAAACTTTTCCTGGTGTTCCAATGATTATGTGTTCTGTAATCTTTGATCCACGACTTACTGAAATCACACAAAAAAGAAAAGATAAATAAATCTCTGTAAAAAAAAAATAAATTTCTAAATACTTGAAAATAATTTATAATATATATTACTTTCTTCTCCTCTTACAGCATATTTTATTTTTATTTCATTACAGAATGCAGACATTTTTGCTGCTACTTCTCCTGTTTGTATAGCTAGTTCATAAGTTGGTGACAAACAAAGTACTTGAGGATAATTTTTGGTAGTATCAACTCTGCTGAGCATTGCTAATACAAATGCCGCTGTTTTACCAGTTCCAGATTGTGATTGAGCAATCATATTTTGTGGTCTATAAAAAATCAGTTTACTTTAGTAATCATTATTTACAATATAATGTAATAAATATAATATATTTATGAAATTTTTTTATATTAAAAACAAACTTACGGATCAGCAAGTAAGGTAGGTAGTGCGGTTTCTTGAATTTTTGATGGAGCATTAAATCCCATTGCATACACTCCTTTTAATAATGCTGGTTTACTGCAATGTATATCATAATATATAATATTTTTAGAAAGATCAACATAAGGAAATTGATAATTAAAAATACCAACAGATGAAGAGCTTCAAATGTTTTAACGCTATACAAAGGTGAAGACGGATCCTTTCTTTGAATTTCTATGTCCTGTGTTGTTTCTACTAAACCTTTACGTATAATCTTTTGAAGTAACGACTTCTCCGCTGGTGAGATTTGCTCATCTACTCCATCATCATTTTTAGAATCTGTATTCGCCGCATTTTCTTTAACTTCCTTATCTATATTTAGACTAGATACCTAACAGTCATAAGAATGTTATTATTATTTCGTAAAAGAAGAACAAAAACAAAAATGCTTCATAGTAAAAAGAAATTGAAATTGTTGTTAATGTGAATCATATTGTCGAGTAACGTGGGTTAATTATCGTGAACATAATTTCAGTTTTTGATAATCAAACAATGAAAATGCACAATGAAAATCTTCATTGCATGACAAAAGTGTGATAAACAAATTAAAGTGAGGTTAAGCCGGTGGTGAAAACACACAGTGAATATTACCTTTGCAGACAATTTCTCTTGTTCATCCACATATTTACCCCAGTCAACTTCAGTCGAAGACATATTGATATTGATACATTCACAATAATTAAGAATATATAACCTAAGCTTGAATTAGAAAGCTAAAATGATACAATGATCGCCCGTCTGTGATTTCTTAAGCTAATGCAGCGTCACAGCACGGCATAAACAACAACTAAGGCATGTACATGTGTATTTCTTGCATGGAATAAAACGTTAAATTGAATTCGATTAACAATGATATATTGGTAAAAATTGGGAAATTATATATAATTATATTATATATTACTATGAAAATTAACGATTAAGTTGCTTTCTATAATTAAAAAATGAGCACGTAGTAAAATTTAAATAAAATTTAAGACAAATTGCCGATAAATAAAAGTATTGATATAAATTTTCTTATACGTAACTGTTTGTAAATTAATTATTAGGTGGTTCTTTTATTTTGTGGAATAATAATAATTTATTACATATAGCGCCATTTAATTGTAACGATGGCTTGAGTTATTAAACAATAATACATCTTTTGAAAATATTCGTATACATTTAGAATTTCTTTTTTTTAAATTTATTGCTCAGTAGAACTTAATATTTAATTTTTAATTTAAAAAAATTCCATATTTTAGCTAGTTTATTCGTAACATTCTACTTTATTTTTTGCAATATATAGGTATATTGTAGAGTGTATTATGTATTTTTCATGTGTTTTTTATGACACTGTAAATTATTAGATATTTGTAAGAAAAGATTGAACAATTTAGTATAGATCATATCAAACGTGAGAAATATAACGAGATCATTGGTTCTTTACGGTGATTGACATGCACTGTTCGATATATGCATAATTTAAGCAAATATTGCAACAAATAATTATAATATCTAATCTAATTTTTATAGTATACAAGTATAACAACATTATCATAAGAGAGCCTTTAATAGACACAATCTTTATAGTTGTTTGAATTCCTTTTAATTTAAAATATTATACATTGTAAATGTATTTCATAAGTTTTATGTAATGACACGTGTATATTCTTGCATTTAAAATTACAAATTCACGAGCTTAGCATACATACTGCGTAATAAATGATAGTCGTTAAATGCACAATTAGATACTACCGTGTGTATTTTTATATGAAATATACATTCCACATTTGACATATGTACAAATTAAACCGTTAAGTTTATCTACCTTCATTTATAAAAGCATATTATACAATTTATTTGCAGCCAAAAATATGTTTTTTTTTTTTTTTTTTTAATTCATGGACGATACTTCAAACGAAATAGTATGTAAAATTTCAAACAGGCTGCTTCAGTGAAATAAAGTGTCGTTATCTGTAAACGCAAACATAAATGTCCTATGTATTTCTTCCTTCATTTTTATCGAAATACACTAGATTAAATACGTTTAATATTTTTGCGATTTTCTTGTTTTTTTTTTTTTTTTTAAGAAACTTTTACAATTGTAGCCGTAGTCTTGGTTCCGCTTGATTGCGGTACAAGGCGAACGGTTATCAGCGAAAGATCTAGCATTTTACGTTGGTATTTCTTGTGAAAAACCATAGCAGCAGACTGCGTCTTAAACACAATCGTTGCGCTGCGTTCACCCATTTGTATGCTCTACAACACGAACAATATAAACAGATAATTATTAATTAAAAATTGAGAAAACCATCTTTTATTAGAAAAAGGAAAGTCGCTAACTTGTTACAGAAACTTATTGAAAGCATAACGACAAATTAAATGATAGATGTAGTTTTAAAGGCATAAAATATGATATAACAGAGTATTTTTCAGAAAAAACAAGACATACCAAGTTAAATTTGTGTAAAATATTGTCAGATAATATATTGCAAACTATGTTGCTATGTTCTTTTATATATTGTTTATTACATATTAAAAACTATATTTGTTATTCACAAACATGATTTAAACCTTTAGGTTAGTAAAGTTTTCAAAATAAATTTAATTGTTACATGTCGTATCCATATGTATCAAGGAAAGTAATACAATACTGTAATTACCAAATACTTAGTTTTATTTTGTCATAAAAAAAGTGTATCATGTACTGAATGAATACAAAGTAATTTTCGGATAACAGTTTTAAACAATTACACCAATGAATTTGTCAATTACTATGTAAAATAAATTTGTATATCTTAGTGAAAAAAAATACTTTCCTCTCAAAAAAAAAACTTCCCCCCAAAAAAAAAAAAAAAAAAAAAAAAAAAAAAATCAATGTGTCAAATAGGTAAAAATTATAACAAACTAATAAAACTTCTTTCAGAAAAAAAAGAAAAGAGGAAAAAATGTAATTATTATTAACATGAGTGTACATAATACTTGGAACATTATCTTAAATTTTAATTAAAATCATTATCAAAATGACTATTGAAAAAGAAGGAATAGATTTCTAACTTCTAAAGCTAGAATTTGCAATGAAAATTAAAGTCTTAAACATTTTCATGCAAAGATAGTCACCTCAATTGTTCCGATGCCTTGACACATACGTCTAATTTGTGCTTCAGACGTACTTGCTGCCAAATTTTCTACTTTCACAGTATTTGTTTTCATTTCTGGTATTTTTTTCTGTTGTATAGGTGTTTTTTGAAGTACAACTCTTTGATTATTTTGCGTATTAATAACGCTCTTTTGTGCATTTGTATTTGTTATTTCTTGTACATTGATAATAGTTTTTTGAAAGTTTCCTGGAGATTTTTGTTTAACAATTCTTTGTGGAGTTCCAACAATTTTCTGTCCTATGTTTGTCAGTTTTTTCAAAACATCAGCTTGATTCTGACCAACTCTCTGAGACTGACATTGAGCGACATTGATTAATTTACTTTGCATTAATAGCTGACCTTTTTGTAAATTCGATACTGTTTTTTGTATAGTAGTGGCAACTTTCTGTGTATTCAGTAATGGTTTTTGAATCACAATTCTTCGTGTTCCAGACTGGGAATTTAATACTTTTACATGTTCATTTATTGGATTAATTGTATGTCCAGAATTACTATCTTTTGCAGAATCTACAGAATCGTTAGGTTGTACAGTTTGTATTGTCCGAACAATTCGTATACACGATGATTTTTCTGAGACCTATAACAAAAATAATTATTAAGGTATTTTCAAAAGAAGTTATATTGAGAAAAAAATAATATTTGAGTACAACATGATTGATGCTAACATTAAAAATTATTGAAAAGATTAACATTTTGTTTCAAAAATTACATTAAATGAAAAATAAAACATTTTGATATAGAATGATTTTGATAAAAGTTTAAAGGAAATTAAAAAAAAACAAAAAGTATTTAAAAATATATTTTATTGAAACACGAGTAAAAAATATACAAAAAGTCTAATAGACATTATGTATATATTCTTTTTTATTTTATATTTCATTTGAAAATATATAATATATGAAAATATATAAATTATTATTCAAGTAATATTCAATATTTAAAAATGATATACTCTTTTTAAAAAATGCAAGCTAAAAAATGCATATATTTTAATAAATAACAAAAAAAATTTTTAATTTACTAAAATTGTTGCTCTTTGATATTTATGTATAGTATATTTGAACTATATTTTTCTCTCTCATTCTCTTCTTCATTATAATATAATAAGAAAATTATATATAATAAGAAAATTTACAAACAAATAGATCTCAAATATGATTACATTTCGCACGCATTTATTTGCTGTGAGTATTAAGCACGAACTGCTTACCAAAATGATCATGATAAGAATACAAATTGTTAATCATTCAAATGTTAATTCAATTGTTAATCACTGAATTTTACAAAACTATATATTAAAAAAAGGAAAAAAATAGGAATGTCTAGTTGAAGTTCTTATGTACCAATAACGGTAAAATAAAAAATATGGCATCTTTAGTCATGTACCTCTGTAGATTGTGTACTAATAGGACGAGCACGTCCTCTTCCAATACTGGTATGTCCTTTGTTTATGGAACCATCTTTTACTACTCCCATAAGTGCTGATACAGGTTTTGTATCCTGTGTATTTTCATTTACTAGGAAGTAAAATATATTAATTACACACTATATTTATTTGTTTAAATTGCTACTACTATTATATATGTAATATATTATTTTTTGAACGAAATTTGTTATAATTTAAATAGAAACAAAATAAACATTTAATTGTGATGACAAAAGAAGAATTATGAAATTATTTTTCAAAGATATTTTTGATTAAAAAAAATGATGACTCTGTTGAACAATAATAAAATATATATATCTGTAAAAAATGTTTTTAAAACTTATTTTAACATTGTCTTCGAAAATTTATTCACTTCGTTCAAGCAAATAATTACTAAATTATTTCTATACATTTGATTTACACAAAATACATACATGTATTTTCGTTCTTAGCTTCATCATTTTGTTTCTCCATTGCAGCCATTTTCCGTCGATTTTCCTTTTCTCGCAGAACCTTTTCCCTAAGACGTTTCTGTTCCTCCATCTTTTTTCTGTATTCCTGCATTTCTGGATCGTTTTCTTCATCCTACAAAAGTTCACAGTTTTGAAAAACTGTGCAATGTGAAGACACTATATAATATACAATATTATATATACGTATATACCTTTTTATCATTATTCGTATTGTTTAATGTATCCACTGTTCTTACTTCTTGGAGATTTCTATTGCTAATCTTTATTCGCTTTGGGCTCAAATCACGTAAAGGTTTATCTACAGAGTTGGGAACTCTTTTTTGTGGTAACCTAGTTCTTATCGAAGTATTCACTGATCTGTTAGATTTCTGTACATGATTTTGGTCGTAATTTTCGCGATACGTAGTTGACGAGTAAGTCCTATTTTTTGAAACATGATCGTTTCTAGTTTTTGACGACAAATCTCTGTCGCGATAATTTTGATGGACTCCTCTATGATCCTAGAAATGCGAATTGTTGTTAAAACTGGCTTGTTCTTTATGTTTAAGAATATGCTGCTAATTCGTAAACACTACGAACCTGTGAATAATTATTTTTTTGATCCCACTGATCCAACTTATATTTCGAACTGGTTTCATAGCTACCATCTCGTAAATAATTACTTTCTAGGGGAGGATATTGTTTGTTTGGCGTTCCAGTTTGATTTTTCTGCGGTTTATTTTCTTGCCACACATCAGAAAAGTATGCATAAGGATCCTGCGTGTGAAAATTTGCGTAACTATACAGTCTTGTGCAAAATCAAAATAGTCAAACTTTAATTAGTCAGTGCAATATCATACAATACGTACATCACTCTTATTCTGTTGATAATTCTGTTGATAATGTGCTGGTCCTTGTTGAGTTTGGTTGTACGAACTTTGATTCTGATATGGGATAGCAGACTGTGAAAACTGGCCAGAAGAGACTTGAGATGGTAAACTAGGCGTTTGTTGTTGATTGGAATCCCATGCGAGTCTTGCTGTTGTGTTCATCAAATCAAAAGGGATCGTGAGCAAAGGAATTACAGAGAACTTGGAATTGAAAGTTAAAAAAAACTAATAATCACATCCGAAAACACTTACCGTCGTTCGTCGACTGAACGGCTCCTCGAAAGTGAGGATTGATTAAAATCTTGTGCCCTGGAGGTAAAGGTACATTGGGTACATTGGAAGTGGACTGTTGTGGTACAGGTAACGTATTAGTATTAAATTGACTGGTAGGTACTTGATCGGAATAGCCGGACCTCGAATCGTAAACGGGTCGGTTTTCAAATTGAGCTGCTTCTTGGAAAGGTGGTCTGTTCTCAAAGGGCGATTGATTTGGCATTTGAGTGACGTTAGGATGACTAATGAGCGGCCCCTGGGAAGTAGTTTGGCGTGGATATGCTTGCATGGGTAGTGGCTGATTATTCTGCAACAACGGCGCCACTGATCCGGTTCCAGGCACCGCTGAGTTCAGATTCCCAAGAATCGTTCCTCCAGGATTTCCTTGCAACAACGGGCCCTGATTGTTTTGCATCAGTCGTACTTGATTAGGGCCTTCTTGCATGAGAGTAGCCGAAGTTTGAAACGGGGCGGTCGCTGCCGCTGGCCCCGGTTGAATTTGGATGTACGGTGGTTGACTCGATGGGTGATTGTAAGACGATGGGTGACTAAGCCCTTGAAGGGATCCTGGCAAGCCAACTCGGGGCCCGTAATCTAACCTTGGCCCGATTATTCTAGGGGCCACTTGGTTTTGAAATTGGTTAGGATTGAATTGCGGTCTATTATCTACAAAATGCGATGGACCTTGGAGCGAACCGTTCGGTGAGTAATGCTGGAAAGATTGTACTTGGGAATTTTGTTGCTGGTAAATGATCTGTTGATTTTGCATATTGTTCGGTACTCCGAGAAGAAACGGTGGCCGAGTCTCGAGCAAAGGCGGCCTGCATACCGGTGGCGGTTGATTATCGAAGCTTGCATTACGTGCATTACCGAACCTGGTCAATTACAATTTATTTCATAATTATACATTCTGGATAGGTGTCTTAATATTTCATTTAATATTATATATATATATATATATATATATATATATATACTTACTATATATATAACTATATATATATAATATACATTTGTGTATATATGATACATACATGCATATATATACAAATGTATATTATATATATATAGTAAGTATATATATATATATATATATATTTATAGTGTGTATCATGTATATATAGATATACATATATATACTATATATATGTATGCATGTTTGTAGCATATATATGTATATATATATCTGTGCATAAAACAGAGAAAAAAACTTAACCTTAAGAATCGCAATAATTGCACCCACCTTGGATTAAAATTTCCCGAATTTTGTATTATCCCGAATCTTCCTCCGCGACTTCCTCTTGTGCTTCGACCTCTTCCACGGCCTCTGGACGCCAGTTTGGATGGTTCACACGTGACCACGTTCTCCAAAGTATCCGGTATGTGATTGTTCATTTTCGAAGAGACGATAGTTCTTTCATTTTGAAACCTGTTCCTCCTTTCTTTAGCTTCTTCGCATTCATCATCTTCCAATCCCTGCCCATTCCCAGAATAGATCTTTGCATTTTTCTGCAGCTTCTCTCGTAGATCTCCCCTTTCAATGTTACTCGAAGCGTTGATATTGTCGACCGAGGGACGTTCATCGTGCTGTCGGACTTGTTCGCTCTTGTATTCATGAATCTCGTCTTGTTCGTAATATTTCGATTGTGCCTCTAGCTGATCGCCGTCCTCGTAAAAATCGTTCTGGTTGCTCCTATCAGTTTTGCTTCTATTAAACTCTATGTTTTCGTCGTCACCATCTAAGTCGTCGAGCGCGTCGGTTACTCCTAAGTCCAGTACATCATCTGTCTCCTCTTCTCCCTTATAGCTATTCTGCTGCTCAGGGAATTAAATTGCCAAATATTTGTAATGAAAATATAATATTTAGCCGTGGTCGTTACAATCTACAACCTAATTAACTATATGTCTATGTTTATATCAATCTGTGACAAGTTATACCGCCATGTGTATATAGTTTTAGAAAATAACTCGCACCGTTCTGTCTCTCTACCTGCTACTTCCATTAAATTTCCAACTCTCTCCTCGTTCCGATTGTTCTTCATTATTATATCAGTCGCTGATAATAAGATTTATACGGCAGAATTATTTAATCGCAAATTCCTCACTTCCTAGTCGTGTTATTATAATTTATGCAAATGGGGATGTTACCGTAACAATCGACTGGAGTAATAAAATATTATTTTCTGAATAAAAGCGACAGTATGTCTGATACTTCGCAATACGAAATTGTTATAAACGTATATCATACAATATGTTACAATATCAGTTGCAGTAGCATAATATATTGCCATGATGTATTGTTAACAATATGTTTCATATTATATTCGGTCATATACTACATAACGTACATACATTTATTTTATACTACATATAGTACATACATTTGTACTATTTTAGTTAAATTACACTAGGAATCATTGTACTGTGCATTTCAACTCTTTCAATATTTCATGCTACTTCTTTTTGATGAAAATGGAAATAGATACATCATTTTAAATTCTGTACGCGTTGATGATACCCAAACGATGTAAAATATGTACGATGTATCGTTACAATCGTTTAAAAAAAAAAAAAAAAAACGATCGATATTACTTTCTTACAATACCATGTTGTCACAATAATCAAGATCGGTATTTTTTTTCTTTCTCATAATCTTTGAATGTTTTAATGAAAGAATTTATCACATAATGAGATTTCATTGAGAGAAATTATACATTTTATATTACCGAAATAATGATATCTACAGAAAATGATGATTGTTACATTTAACTTTCTAAAGAAGCAAGCTCCAATTTTTATTTCTGCTAAAGTAAACTGTTCTGTGAAACCGAGATCTTAAACAGACTTTAAAAAATCTATATAAATACGCCTATGTGCTACAGTCATTTTACTACATCTTTTACTCATAAAGACTTTCATTAAAACACACAATTCTTCGTAACATGTTGGAATATACTATTTGCAATAATTGTAATATTTAAATACGTACATTATAAATCACAGAAGTCAATAGTGCTTTAAATTTGTTCAGAGACACTACAAACAGCACATTAACAAATATTACTGCTTACGATATCTAACAATTGCGTTTCTTTTTTTAATAAACAGGGAAAAGGAAACATAATAAATACAAATAACATAATAAATTAAGAAGTGTTATTATGTAAAAATTCTCGGTGGTCATTGATACGCAAAGTTTAATTAGTATTGAAAAAAGTAATTATGAAATTTCAAATAATAAGAAAAATGCAAAAAGCAATTACAGTACAAAGAATAAGAGTTGTTTACTGTAAACAATACCACGATACAATATGAATATCAAGAATAAATATCAATTGATTATCTTTCATTTCCCCTGCATAAATATTTATTAAATAAGTGATGTAATCAGGATTTACATGACATATTTTATGTTTCAATTTCACATCTTTTGCATTTTATAATGAAATGAAAAAATCTCGTGATCAATTTTATAAATCAACAATTAATATGAAGTATATCCATATAAAATATAAAATTCTCGCCTAAATTAACGCAATAATAATCTCGCGTTTTAATAATTTTCACGCATTTGTTTTGAACTTTGAATACAATCTCTTACAATAAACATATATTTTGCGCTCACAATTTAGTAAAATATTTATTTTACTTTAAAAAAAAATTTCGGAGTATTCAAATATTGGAGTATTTTAATATATCTTTGCCACGTACAAAGTGATTCTATACATGACTAAATACCTTGTGTCTAGGACAATACTCTCATACAATAAACAACATATAATTTGACGTTATGATTTTAGATTTGTTTATCTTTGTCATAATACACAAAGTAAATAAGACAGAATTAAATAAAATTCTTCTTGCTTGCTGAAATATATTGTTTATAAGATACATGAAAATAAAATATCACAGTCGATCCAGTTGTGGTCATAATTAATTTTTCTGTAAAGTTCAGCAGAAACGTCAGAAAACTCATAGAGAGTAACCTTAATAAACTATAATTTCCAGAATCATTTTAATTAATGGAGCAATATGTCAATTATAAATGATAATGCAACAGCAAGTGAAGTAAAAAGTTCTTAACTTTCTGAAATTAATATTTTTCAAACTTGGACATTGTATCATATTACATTAATGGTTTTGCAAAGAACTAATTTTCATTTAACAACAAAATAATGGTCCAGCAATATGCTCACCCTCTCTAGTTCATAGTCATCTGCTAAAAGAGCCTCTTCTTCATCGTTGCCTAGATCATATTCTTCATCTCCAAGATCTTCATCCAATAGAGTATCATCACTGAATAAATAGTTGTTAAAAACATTATTTTAAAACTTATTTTAGAATAAATTATAAAATTAATAACTACAATACAATACAATGTTGTTAACAGATGCAATGAAATACAACCTAAATACTTGTTCATTTTCTGTATTTCTTCGCATCATGTGCACCCTATACATTTCTACGTGTGTAAATTTCCTACAAATGCAGATACATATATATTACTTATATTAATCATATTTTAATCTCTGTCATAAAAATAATTCTAAGTTCTGTACAAATAAAATTATTCTAATTTCATATTCACATCATACAGAAGTAAAATCAAATTATTAAATATATTCAAAATTTTGTTACTTGTAAATGTATTTTTTCAATTAACGTACAGAAACAATAAATTTACATTAAAATACAACAGTATTTTATTATTACAACTCACGGAGATTAATCACACGTACAACGAAAAATAATCAAAATAACATTTACTAAAGTAGTAATTAGTACACAATATGAACAAACAATATTTTCCTAGATATTCAGTTTCTTTGATATCCTGCAAATATAATTGTCGTATTTTACGAAATAAACTGACTGCAAACATAAAAGATAAATAAGTCATAAAAAAATGGAGTGCAATGGATGATGGAGAAAACACAATGTACGTCACTATTAACAGTGATTATAACTCTAACCTTAAATCAAATTCAGCTACGCGAAAGAAATAATAAAAATGAAGAGATAGTAAAATTATAAGTGCATGCAAGATAATCAAGAGGTTAAATTAAATGCTAAAAGTTAGATCAGAACATTAATTTTCTATGGAAAAAGGAATATTTCTTACTGCTCCGACATTGTACATCCACTTTTTGATACTTGAGGGAAAGTCTGCAATCTGTGATGGCTCCGATATTGCGAGCGTTGCGTCCGATATTGCGTAGGTCACATCGATTGTTACTTTCGAGGTATCAACTTCATATCGAAATCTCGAAGTAATGTTGAATCCAATATCATAACAAGTATAGCACGTGTTACTTCTATATATTGAAATAATTTCAAATACCACATAAAATAAATAAGATTAAACGAAGTTACAATATATAAATTATTAATTTAATTGCTAGTGGAGTAATGGTTGTATTTTATTTTGTATATAAACAAATAGAAGTAATTTGAGTACTTTAATGTACTATTATGTATTTATATATATCCATATCTATATTTGTATTTACATAGTACATAAACAATATAATGTATGTCCATATAAGATATAAATAGATAAGAGTACTTATAAATATATAAGATATAAATAGATCAGAGTGTTAATATACAATTTAAAAAAAGGAATGGCTTATAATGTTGTATCACTGTATGGCAAATACTTATATAAACACTCTATGAATAATAATATATTATCAGATTTGCATAAACATAATTTAAAATTAGTACAAAATTTTGTACACAGTAGGCCTGCTATAATTTTGGGAATAGAATCTAGCTGTGATGATACAGCTTGCGGAATTGTTGATACTAATGGAACAATTTTAGGTGAAGCAATTAGTTCTCAATATTTGACCCATTTGAAGTAATTTGTTAATTTTTCTTATATAGCATTTCGTACAATTTGTCTGATAATTTTTGCATTCTATTTAAAAATTTCAATACTGTTTAGTTTTGGAGGAATAATTCCATCATTCGCAAGGATATTACACAGAAATAATATTACAAAAACTTGCGAAAATGCTTTGAAAGCTGCAAATCTAAAGTTAAAAGATATTGATGCAATAGCTACAACTATAAAACCTGGCCTTCCTCTGTCACTTAAAGTTGGAGCACAATTTGGAAAATATCTAGCAAAAATTGGGGAGAAACCTTTTATACCAATACATCATATGGAAGCTCATGCTTTAACAGCAAGAATGAGTGAAAAGGTCTTTTTATAAACAACAATGGTTTTTTATAACGTTTGATCAGTTACACAAGAAAGACTTAAATTTTTAATTACAGATTGATTATCCATATCTTGTTTTATTGGTTTCTGGAGCCCACTGTTTACTAGCAATTGTTAAAAATGTAAATAAATTTTATCTATTGGGTACTTCTATTAATAATGCACCTGGGGAAATGTTTGATAAAGTAATTATTGCAATATTATGATGGTATTTTGTTTTTTATCCATCATTTTTTTTAAAGTATCTTTTAATATATTTCTAATCCACACATAATAAATAGTAAATTAAGTTATTTCTTACATTTCATATAAAATAACGTAAATCTTTTATTGATTGTAGATTGCACGAAAGCTCAAGTTAAGAAATATTCCAGAATTTAGTACGTTAAATGGAGGTTTAGCTATAGAAACTGCAGCAAGTAAAGCATCAAACGTAGACCAATTTTTATTTCCACCTATACTGACAAAATATTATGATTGTAACTTTAGTTTTGCTGCACTCTTTTCTGTTTGTAACATGTATGTTGAATTAGAAGAAAAGAAACATAACATAATTGGTGATGCAGTGATTCCTGATGCATATAATTTATGTGCAGCATTTCAATTGGCTACAGTGAAACATATCTGTCAAAGAACTCAAAGAGCAATGGAATTTATTAATAAAATATCATTATTTCCTGAAAATAAACGAACACTGGTATGTTAAAACTGGTGTTAATAATGTTGTTTTAATTTGATACGTGTATTTCGTTTCTTCATTGAACAGGTTGTATCAGGCGGAGTAGCATGTAATAATTTTTTAGCGAAAGCATTAAATATCGTGTGCACAGAATTAGGATACAACTTCGTAAGAACTCCACCTAAATTGTGCACTGATAATGGAATAATGATAGCATGGAATGGAGTAGAGAAATGGATTGGAGACATTGATGTTATCAAAGACTCAAATGAAATTGAAAAGATCGAAATAGAAAATACGGCTCCGCTTGGAGAAAATTGGATAAAAAAAGTAAAAGAAGCAAACTTAAAATGTAAATGGGTAAAAATAAATAAAATGCTCTATCCAAACAATTTAAAATAATAACACTATTTATTATGTTTCAATTTGTATATATTATTTTAAAAAATTATATTTCCGGTTTTAATTATATAATTCATTAAAATACAATAAACTATACAAATGTTGGTGCATATTGCTGCATTTGTCGTTTTAATTTTGTACGTAAACGATCTTCATCTGAATCCATATTTTCAATAGAAATTTTTTCTTCTTCATACTTGTCAATAATATATCTAATCTTTCTTTTAATTTCCTGTATCTCATCTGTATTTTTTAAAATCAAAGATGTTGTTATAATATCGTCAAATTGCAATACCTTTTTTGGTTGAATTGATTCATCGAATTCTGAAAGGAATTCTGACAAATTATTTAATTTTTGTTCAATTTCATTATAAATTTCACTTGCTCCATTTGTATCCATTTTATTTACTATAATTATTGTGGGCCTGTCTAACAAATCTGGATTATAAAGTTCAATCTCTTTATTTAATAGGAGCACAGTTTCTAGGCAAGATTTATGTTTATGTTTAATGGAAAGTTGACATCCCTGAATGTCTACAATAAATAATAATAATTTTGTTCTCTCTATGTGTTTTAAAAATTTATGACCCATTCCTTTGTTAAGATATGCACCTTCAATTAAACCTGGTAAATCTGCAACTGAAATTTGTCTGTGATCTTTATATTTTATAATACCTATTTGCGGTTTTATAGTTGTAACTGGAAAAAATACACACATAGTAAGCAAGAAGAAATATCATATGTTCAACGAGTAGAGGATAATGTGCTTTGTACAAAAATAAACTTACATGGATAGTCTGCAATCTTTGATTTAGCATTTGAAATTACATTTAAAAATGTACTTTTTCCTGCATTTGGAAAACCTATTAAACCAACGTCAGCAAGTAACTGAAGATCAAGGACTATAGTGCGACTTTCGCCTTTAAGACCACAGAAGCCTGTCCTTTCGCATCCTCCTGTTCCACCTTGTGCAACCAACAATTTTGTATCCTTTGAATTCACTGCTCCTACATTTTCACAAACAATCATGAGTAACTATTATAATTCACCTAAATATCAAGTTGTTTATATACGTTACCAAGTTTAATGCGATTCTGATCATAAACAGTGATGCCAATTGGAACTTTTATATTTAAATCCGTTCCAGGTGTTCCAATGAGCCCTTTCTTGCTACTATCGTATCCTGGTCCTGCTTTTAATTTCACACCTTTTAGCTTGTATTTAACATATTGTAATGTTAATCTTTCTTTTGGAACAAGATATACATTTCCTCCTGCTCCGCCTATTCCACCGTAATTAGGTAATCCAGAACCGCCGGTACCTCCAGTTACATGAATACGTACGCTGTCGATTAATCCTCGCCGCAAATATTTCCTTGGTAACTAAATAATTAATCCATTAATCGACATTTCTACGTATTTATTATTACATTAATATTAATGAACTCGATGAGAAAGCAATACCAAATACGTCATTAATATTAAATTACCTTTGCCGTATAACCTAGAATTCGTGTCAGTACGACCATCTTTTCTTAACAAAATATTTTTACCGTGCAAGACTAAATTCGCAAACGAAAGCGTATATATTGTTAATATCTTTAATAAACTTCGTTGATATCATAATATCAGTTGTCTAATATTAATTTTCATCGACCTGTCGAGCAGTTTCAAAACGAAAACATCCACAACATCATTTGAATAATTCGCTAGATGACGCTGATAAGTTCATATATGTACATAATTGGATGCTCAAAAATGAAAAAACGATTTTGTAAGATATGGCGAGTTTTACATTGTTATTTTAACAATAAAAAAAAAAGAACGTCGGTTCATATGGAAATATTATCTTCTCAATTTTCTGTTAAGAAAAGAGTTTTATACTTCGATGATATATTTCACTAGATTTCAAATTTTTTATTTCCAAAACAGAGTATTTGAATATTTTAGTTATTTAGACTGTGATATATCTCTTCAGTAGCGTATCATTGATTGCTGTAGAAACATTACATATTTTGTAAATGCCTGTCAATGAAAGAAAACCATTTTTGATGCACCCGACTGGCTTCAAAATCGAATGTTCTTTTTTATGTAATCAATGTCATTAGAAAACATAATGAAAGTTGATTGAAATTGAATAGCAGCAATAATTTGTCGCGGAATCGATATCTTTCTATACGTACGTGCATGCATAATGATAGATATGCGGAAGAAAATTTCCATGATCTCGAGTAGAAAGAAAGTTGGCAAATTGTTTAAAAAAAAAAAAAGAAAAAAAGAAACATGTAGAAAGAATGAGCATTCGATGTACGTGCACGTTTTTAAAGTGCAGTGTCTCTCGTTAAGTTTCTATTGTAAATGAAAGATAAAATTAAAGTGAAAAGAAAGAAAAAGATACGAATGTCTTCGGAAGATATTTGAATCGTTAGAGAAGTCTGATAGTTAGAAACTATCCGGCAGGATATGCTATCAGGTCAAGTGAAATCAATTGCGAAGTTTAGCAGGAATTAATTGATGCAGAAATATAGGAGAGTAGAGGAGTCGAAGGGGAAGAAGAGGCGATGCATTAACGTAGTTGTGTTCGTTGTTAAAGGAAGCCGGAGGCTCGTCTAACGACGTACGCGTTAAAATTAAATCCAGCCGGAGGCCGACGGCTACGTCTTGCCGACGACGACGACGACGGCGACGTCGCGACGTGATGCGTCCTCTAGCTCAGTCTCAAGAGCACACCCTGACTGTACGGATGTTCTGATCTTCGACATTTTTCCTCCCATATTTCCGTGCTTTTATCGTCGATTTCATCGGTAACACGTTCGGTACATTCTTTCGTAATCAGCTGTATAAGAGGTACAGGCTCATCCATTCAGAAACAACGAACTATTGACGAAACTATTCTCTTCGTTCTATTTTTCCTATTTTCTACTTCGCTTGACCACGAGGTAATTAAAAAATGTTATGCTTTTCTTGTAACAGTTTTTGAAGCTCCTTGTTGACGTCAATGGACCATGTCCTGATTTTTTCACGGTCGACATATTGGCTCGGGCAAACTAATACATATATCTTCTTACATAGTAACGAATATATTGTACGAGAAATATATTTTCTTTCTGTTTCTTTCTTTCTTTCTTTCTTTTTTTTTCTTTTCACGTGCGAAATCTTTAAACAATGGTTCATTGGTCGAGCGTATAAATGCTAAATACGTAAAGCATATTCAAGAATTTTTGCCAATTCACGTTCGAATGATTTGCGTTAAAATGTGATTAACGGCTTTTATAAATATGCATAGTTCTAATATAAGAAATTGAGAAAGTAAAGTTCAAATTCAGTGACGTTAATGTTAATGTTAATTCCGAGTCACATTGTACGTGATAATTTTCCCTCTAAATTCCGTGCATTTTTCGCGTTACCGCGAAATTCCAATTATCAGCAACAGTTTCAAAATCGAGGAGACTCTCGCGTTGACGTACACGAAATTACGATTAGTGCAAAAGTTACGATCAGTGCTTCGATTTTCTTGAATGATCGTTAGGACGAAATTTTCAATAGGAGTGGGGAGTGTGTCATCGAGTTACTAGCCTTGATTCTTTGCCAAATAATTGATAGGGAAAGCGTACTGTTGTCACATTCTGGCGCTAATTTTACAAACGTTATCTACGACGCACAAATTGACAATTGTCATTATTTCAATGATGTATCTGCTTTCATCTTCAATAATTCACGCAGAAATAACTGAGATATCTCATTCAAATGACAAACGTTACGTATCATTCTTTTTTTCTTATTCTCATTAATGATTGCCATTCGTATAATTTCAACGTGCTTAAATAGTATAACGAGCAGCCAGTTTTAAATTTATCTGTGATTAATTGATTAAAAATAACGCGAGACGTTTATACGTTTCATTATATTGTTTTATCATCAATAAAATGAAATTTGTGTATATCCTTTGTAGTATTGGTTTACACAAGAAGAGTGGTAAATTTATTGGTTTTGTCACTTTACGTACGCTTTGTTTGGTGTTGTAAGAAAAGATGGATCGAGATGATGAGGACTTTGGAGAGGGTTTCATCGCGGAATCTCATCCACTTAGGCCAACGCATCTTTCTGTCCCTGTCAGTGGTCGACCAGATTCCAGAGCACCTAGTATCAGTAGCAGTGTTAGTGACTTGGACGTACCAATTTATACTAGAGAAACCACTATACCTGTCTCAGCTGGAAAAGTGAGTACATTGTTCTTCATGTAAATTCAAACTGTAACAAAACGTTCTTAATTGTATTAACACCTTCTTATCTTTTATATTTTTATTGATTTATATGTTGATACCAATTCACTTTTGGACAATTTGGTGTGTATTATGTGTAACACGAGAAAAACATTATTAACAGTAAATATGATGTAAAATGTATAAAATGACGTAGCGTATTTATAAAATAGACTGACGAAGAGAATGACTGATCAAAACTGAAATACATGGAATGAAATTTGTAGATACGAATATTATCAAACAATGAAACGAAAGGCTATGATACTGTAAATTAATCTTTTCTACGTGCACGTGCGCGCGTAAAAGGAAAAGTGCTGAAGGAAGAAAGAGAAACTAATTGCATTCATAATTAAGATAACCTATCAACATAACGACAACCAATCAAGAATACCATGAGAAATGAAACGACATTTAGATTTCGAAAACGATCTTAGAAATTTCGCGAGAGTATCAATTGTGGGAATAGAAGTTAAAATATAATATACTAAATCGCTGTTGCTATACAACAATTATTATACAACGATTATAATCAATAAAACGCATAAACGATTGACAGAATTCTCCCAAGTAGTAGTTCTTGACCTTGCACAAATCACAAATCATTGATCGATTCTTTGGAGCTCGCAGCAAATATTGTTAGTGTTTAGTAATGCTTTCTTGATCAAACGATCTGTGGTTTCTTCGAATGACGCAAGACGTGCTCTAAACTATTGCACGTAGATACGTATGTATTTGACCTTAGTTAATAGAATTCTAAGCATTCAATTAATATGCCCTTAGTACCTATCGAATAATTAAACGATACTTATCGCTTGTTGTACTATGACAGTATAGTATAATTGTGCATTTTATAAAATCGTATTTTAGTGACTTTTTTTTTTTTAGCAATAAAATGTTCTTCTTTTTGATGTAATTTCTTTTCCTCAATTGTAACAAAAATTTATTCTCAAATATCTTCTTTACCAAACATTTTCAAAAATTTCCAAAAATGTGTAATATAAATACTCACAATTAGTAAAATTTTTGGAAAATTTCGATTTTTCGATATTATAAATTGCAATTAGCTTTTTAGAATAACTATCCTTTTAATATGTACATTTTCATGTTATACATACAAAACATTAAGATCTTATGCTCTCATCAACAGGTGACTTTTCTCTTTCATTCGGTTCTTCGTATCGACTTACCAGTGTATGGTAAGTCGATACGAATTTATTGATACGAACAGTGGTTTGCATATTGTAGTTGTATCACAATAGCATTTCAACAATATTGAACGTATCTTCTTTTTCTAAATTTTTTATTAAATACGTTTTTCTTTCAAAACAACAAATGTTTCATAGTGGATACTATTTTCTGCTTTAACGAATAATTAAACAGATAAATTGGAAAGAGGAAATGATTTGAGAACACTTGATAACCTAGCACGCGATTGGTCGAATCGGTGGGTGTGCACAAGGCATGTCGTCACCTGCCGATGTTCTTTAATTCCTCAAGATATTATTCCTTATCTGACGCAATCGCACGTGAATGTTACAATATCGTAAATGCAGATAATTACATTTTACATTTTGAATAAAAATATATTAAATTTATTAATACTATGAATTATGTGCCTTTATGTATTATGAAATTACTAATTATAAGCCACGTGTTCTTATATTTGTCAAGTCACATTTTTTAAAATTAAATGCAATTATCGGAAACTCTTATTCACTTGTAATTTCTTTTTATTGCTGTAACATGCGAAAATCACGCACGTCAGTTATAGATAATTAGCATACACTTTACACATTGTGTTTCTTGCCTTTCGTATAATACATGTAACGTAATTTCTGAAATGTATCATTTATTCGAAACATAACTATGCTTTCTTAAGACTTTTTTCGACAAAAATATATGAATGTTCTCTAGTTACTTCAATGATTGTAATATATATTTATAAATTATAATTAAATCATCAATAATTGTTTTAGAACTTTGGATTCGGAGTGAACGTAGCTGTCTTAAATGGAACATGATTTGAAATGTAAATAATTGTTTTATGACATCAGCATGCTAAAGGAAATGACTTTTAATTTTTTTATATGAATTCTCCTTACAAACACGGTATATTAACATTAGAATTTTTTATAATAATTTAAGTTTTCAATGGTGTTATTTTATATATTTAATTTAATATACTCTATATATTTATTTTGTATAAATTGCAAACGAAGAAACTGGATTATCATAAAGCTAGAATTCATTTAGGGTCATTCACACTTGAATAAAGGTTCCATTGTTCTTACTGTTTGCTGTTGACGATATCATTTGCTAAATTTACTATACTAGAGTATGATTATACTACTTTATTTCACAATACTTTATAATATTTAATCTTAATAGGTACAATAATGATAACATGTAATAAAACATAAATATCTTAAATTTCTTATATACATTTTGAACAATGGGAAGAATGTTAACACATTAATCATATTATGTGATTAAAAATTGGAAAGTAATAGTAAAAAGCAAAATATAGGAGGAAGGGAAGAGGGAGGGAGGAGAAACAGAGTGGGAGAGAGAGAGAGAAAGAATGATTCTTGGGGGCTCGCCATCTGTCGAGCAATGACGTATGTGAAGCTACCGTTTAACGCCCACGCGGTGGTATCGTTAATTTTACCCTGAGACGAGATAGCCAAGTGCGTCGCGTGTTTTCACTACATTTTTTTCTCTCATTTCAACAATCTGATATTAATATTATACAACCGAAAACAATATATAAATAGCTTTTACTTCTCTATCGTATCTTTTAAATTCTGAAGAGGTTAGGATGTAGCTGCTACACACACATATGTACATACATTATACGTGTGTGTTTTTCAAAATTCAGTTGCACAAAAATGATGAATCTGAATTTTAAATAAGCGATCACATTATTTAACACATTATAATGAAATATAAAATTTGTATAATTGATATATTCATACATGTACACATGTACTTACGCGCTTTTATTTACAAGTTTAGTTAGTTTTTAGTAAATAATCTTCGTGCATATGTTAACGTCGTAAATTTCTTATTTTAAATTACGAGGATTACAGTGTGGTTACCCTTCATGGAAATTATAGATTTCAAAACATATCGATCTACCGGTAAACGTTCGTCCCAAATAGGCGTCCGTAGAGGCGCAGGCTCGACAAAAACAGCCAGAAATGGAAGTCAGTATAGCTCGTACCTTACGTGAATACGCGTGTTACAGGTTAAAGAAAATTATTTAACATATTGCTGACATAACGAGTACTTAAAAATACCGTTAATTTCATTCGTACAGAAATACCGTAAGATTGTGTCTGAAAACATTAAAATCTATTTATATATATATATATATATATACATACTTATATTTAAATTGATTGTGATAGGAATAGTACTTTTAAAAAATAACTCACGTAATAAAATCCAAGCAATTAATCGAGTCCGGAATAGAATTAGTGTAAGTCGGAGACGGTTGTTGCGTAATATTTGTAATTAACTATAGTTGAGGTTAATAATTTTTCGAATTATGCATATTGTAAATCAATAAAGATTCGCATAATACAAGAGTTTTCAGCGTGAAATGTAGAAAAGTATAAAACAACTGTTATGCAACAGTAAATGGATATGGATGACAATGACTTAAATTTTTCAATTTTTTTGAAGTGATGTATCTTTCGCAACCGTCCATTGTGAGAATGTTTGATGAAACGTCGGTAAACGAAATATTGCTACGTTAATTTTCCAAATTCATGAATGTTAAATTCTTTAAGTGATTAATTTATGTACGATTCATATGCAATCTTTAATTGCTCTGCATCACGTGCGTCAAATATTATTTTATTTTAAAGAAATTGACTAAAGAAGAATAGTAATAATTCGCCAAACCATAGTGTTGAAATAAACGAAAAACATTTGTAGCCAATAATAACTAAGGAGCGAAAGGAGGAGCGGCAAAATAAAAGTGTGAGTTTATTTTTTTTTACGTGGATTGTTATTGATTGTTATCCCACGTCACGTGGGAGGTTGGATTAGACGTAATTTTCCAAATGAATCAAAGCTTAAGCAGCCCTAGATTAGAAATTGCAATAAAAGGTATAAACCGGTAAATTTTCGCGCGTGCGCCCAAAAAGTATAGTGAAAGCTTCTTCGCTCGGTCATTCGTTTAGCCAGGAGATATAAGCACGCAAGGATCGAACGGGAACTCATCTGGAATAGTCAAACCCGCGTTTTCTTTGACTACGTCATCAACAGTAAGTCACAAGTATTTATTCACATACATACATACGTACATGTTTCATTCGCGCGGTAACAGCCACTACTTCTCTTGTGAAAACTCATTGCATCAGTTCTACATTTGCCTCGTGAAAATATCAACGCGTAAGTTGCAGGTTGACATGTGTGGTTGACATTGGGTTAGCTTACAAGTAGGAAATCTGTTTCTAACTCCACTACCATTGTACATTATATAATGATAATTTCGCTGATACAAATGTGTTTTGTTGCGTAGGGAACAATTGCACATACTGATTTATATTAACATTCTTAATATCAATGTAACTCAATGCAAATAAATGTAGCGAGTACCTGGATAAAATGAGCACGGTCAGCATCGATCAGGTCTAGGTTATTTGCATCTATAAATCACAATGACTGTGGATAAGAGAAAGTATAGATTTGACTAGAATTGTTTCTGTGGTTAAATTTTGACTTAAAATGATAAAACAGTACGATAAAACAACTGATCTAAATGGAGGCTGTGATTTTTAAATAAAATTACGTGATGTAATGATACAATGCTTGTTACGTGATGCATGTGAAGCAATATGTACTTACATATGTACGTATAAAATTTATCTTTCGTTAAGAGTTCATTTCACGTGACAATTATCACCGACCTGTTACAGTCTCCGATATTTAAACATTTACATATTGATTCATATCATTGTTGATATCGATCGAGACGAAGATTGATTGTTTCTATACATACGGTTCACGTACGTATGTAAGTAGATACGAAGTAGCGTCTTAGATGAAACACTATAATTATAACGTTAAAGAGCAAATGAGATAGAATGTTGTATTATAAAAGTATATACATGTTTTAAGCAAAAGAGAAAAAAAACTTCTTCGAGTTGCTTTGTTATCAATGGTAATCATAATCATGATAGTAATGTACAAAAAAAAAATTGTTACAATTGCATTAAAATGTTATTAAATTTATATCCTAAGCGAAAAGTAAAATCATTTTGTACACTGTTATCACAATCGATATTGGCTATAGATTATTATGATACCAAATAATAAATAATCTAAATTTAAATAAAAATTTTCGTAAATTCGAAATTTATGTGCTAGTATTTTACATTATTATAATAAGTGATATTGAACTGTTTCGTCATGACTAATCAATGATGAAAAATGTTTATATACGACGTGAATTGTGTGCAATCTTGTTGATGATATACAACGAAGGAATTATCAATCTTTTCGGAACATTATTGATTGCATAAGTGTTTTATAATTTATAATTTTTATAATCTATCGTACGATTTTTCGACGTATCGCTAAGTGATACATGAATTTCAAGTATCATACGTGAATTTCTTATCTGCTCTCTCATTGTCGCTTTCACTTCATAATAAATTCTGTTCATTGAGTATGTTTGAATGTTTGGCTTTTAAATTATTTCGAAGTTATTTCACACAATATTATGAAATAATTCAAAATATTACATTTGACTCCAATGATTATATTATCTACATTTATTTGTTTTTTCTTCTCTCATAAATTATTTATTTTATCATAAATATACTTTGAACGATATTTGTATAATACTATATACTATATATAATTACATAAGTAAATGTAATTTATGATTCTTTTTTTTTTACAAGCCGCTTTACAATGTCAATAGAAAAGGACAAGGTATTAAAAAAAAAAGAAAAAGTTATATAAGATTAAATAGAGATTTTTACGCGTTTTTACGTAATTAATAAATTTCGGTTTAGTCGAGCAATGAAATTGAGAAACAGGCTACGACACCAACGCCCTTAACTCCGGCGCCAGAGGTAAACAAAAAATTTTCTACCAAACTTAAGTAGAGATAGCGTTGAAAGTTGAAACATGTCTTATCTTTCCCATTTCTTTGCTTACTCTTTCACACGCAGTCTGCCACGGAGGATAAGCGGTTGGTAAGTATACACGATACAACGTGAACGTGATAATTTTTGAAAATGAGAGATAGTTCAATTATACGTTATTATTCTATTCTTTGTTAATTCTATTTCACGTCTGTTAATATCTGTTGAAGCGATTGCAAGTTATCTCCGTGTGTGTGTATGAGAGCAAATGGATGCTGTTGAAGATAGTTGAAGCCAGTTAAACAGTCTGTTTTAATTCGCAGTGTACGGCCAAGTAACTTTACGTGTGACGAGAGAGAAATCTAATCTCGTAATATCGCGTGAAGTTCAAATTTTTGGCCATATCGAATGTCACGGGCGATAACTATAATCCTTACAGACACACGTACATTCTGTGCCTATTAAATTACACGTTTTCGGAGAGAGAAGAGAATATCCACGGCTGTAAAGGTCACGCTGTCGTTTCCTTGGTTTCACTTCTTTATTTCCCCTATTCGTATTCATTTCTCGCACACGTCGAAATGTCGCAGTGTACTTTGTACACTGACGAGAGTTTATTTTATTTTATGTTTATGCATATATATATACACGGGTATATATATTATGTATATATATGTAGGTGTATTTGAAACGTGTTTACTAAACGCGTAAAAACGTTCACTTTCTCAAAACGTGGGCCTCCATAGTCTGTGTAACTTCCGTTTTGTTTAATGATAACGAAATCGTCAGAGTCCGGCGGGACACGGTTTTATTTTATCTGTGAAAACATTTCGTTTCGGATGATCTCCATTTATTTCTGGACGTTCAAATAAAGCAAACGTTCTAGGTTAGGTTGGGAAAAAAAACTGGACGAAAAAAATGTGCGCAATCGAGGACCCGATCGTTTATGATCCGTATTTTTCTTGTAAATTGATTTTTCTTTTCTGCATTAAACGAGTTTAATCGCCGCGGCGACTATTGGTTCGAAAAAACCGAAAGAACAAAGGTAACACGACGGTTCAAGTGTCGCTTGGATTACATAGATCGTGACAATCACTCTAACTTTAATATTCTTAACTATAAAATTGGTGCACGCGGCGTAAGCATTATATTAAAAGGCTGCATCCGGTTTTCCATTGAAACGATCCGAGTTTTTAACTATAAGATTTTGTTACGCACTGTCTTATTTTACTTTAATTTTTATTTTATTTTATTTTATTTTTTTCTCTCTGACAACCCAGCAATTTTTACTCGTAGATAACAGTGCAAAATTATTTTTTTTCTTTTTTTTTTATTCGTGACGTCGTTGCGTAAAGAGGTTTATAAAACAAGACTTGGATCACAATATGTGAAAGGCTGTTATTGTAACTCGGCTGTGTAAACATATTTATTTAATACGTGGCGGATGAAACATAAACTCGATCGGCGGGACTACGGTTCAAGATCGATGAAATCGAGAAGGACAAATGTATATAAGAAACTTAAATCCGTCGATAAGTCTTCAAGTACACACCTACAGCTAGCGTAATTACGTGTTAATCCGTGGTACGAATCTTGACCGTCTTTTCGTTCGATCTGCGTGCACGATATCAATATACAATAGATGAGATTTTTCGATACTGACGAAGAAACTAGCGATCGTATCGTTTGCTACGATTCGATAGCGAAAATACCTCTGGTGGTTACTCGGAATCAGTTATCTTCCAATAGAAAAAGTTAACAGATTATACATTTCCAGCAAAAGACTTTGTAACGAAAAATTAGTTTCTGTAACTGCCGGTTAGCCATGTTGCAATTCGACGATAAACAGAGACACGCGTCCCGAAAGCAAGAAAGTAGCGACCGTGAAAGCGTTTCGGTTAACCAACCAATCGGAAGAGAAAGGAAGGAGAGGAAAATCTTCGTGAAGATTTGTGAACGTCTGTTGAACGTGAATTCCTTTTTCCATTTTCTTTTTCTCTTATGGGTTTTGTCGGAATCGACGAGCGAGGTAACTCGGTGTGTTTTGTTCAATTGGTAGTTGAGATTCGTCCGAGGGAGCTCGCCGAGCTCGAGGGAGAGCAACAAGGAGAGGGAGATACGACTGGTTTCGAAAATCGGCTTTCGTCCCGCTCGCGCTCGCAGCAATGTTGTCTCTCAGTAGCTTTCATACGCGACCGTGACACGGAACGATTCGGTCGTTGTCTCCTCGTTGTCGTCGTATCCGTTTGATTCGAATTTCCCATCACGCGTCGAGTGACAGCGAAACGTCCCTCCAGTTGAGTGGTACGAGAACGATTTGCGAGATTTCATCGAGTTAACCATGAGCCAAGGGTGCCTACAGGTAAAAAACGAACTTCCATACGACTGATTTTGCACGTCAGTTTTTTTCGTAATGCTGCCTGCTGCGTTGACGACGACCAAAACGTTGGCGGTAACAGCACCATGTTCTTTATGTTTCTTTTTTTCTTTTTTTTCCCTGAAACGCTCATCACGCTGAAACACTCGATGCATTAACTTACTGTGAATTTTGGTGCGGATGAAACATTTGTCGAAATCAATTCGTCCTCAGTGTTGTATCGTTGTGAACAGTATGTAAATGTGTCATTAGCAGTCAAATACTAAGAATCGACGTGAACGTTTCGAGCATCTGTGGATTTTCGGAACTCGAAAAAATGTACGTTTTCACTATTAAACATGGAATTTTAGTTTGATAAAAATTAAATATGGAAATATTTAACAAAAAAAAAAAAAAAAAAATGGAATTAGCTTAATAAGGAAATACAGATTTACTTTTGTTACGATCGAATTTCGAGAATTCTATTTTTTTTTCCACAAAAATTTTGGCTCGTTTACCATCTTCGAGACGTTGAACACAACTCGCGCGTCACGACCGACGATTTTCTTTGTTCCTTTCCTTTTTTCGTAGGAGTAGGCTTGTTTCGCTCTCGTGTTACGTTTCTCCTATCTTTTTATGTAAACGCAGCAGAGGAAGAATGTTTATTAAATTAACTATGAAAAGGAATTGCGTTACTTGAACTATTCATTAACTATAAAACGATCACGTTTCCATGTGAAACTCGTAAAAGAAATTTTTTGATACGTACAGTTTGATGATTTAGTTCAGTTGAAATATTCCAGACCTTTCTAATATTCTGTTCTTTGAATACAAAGCATGGACCAGCTGTACAGGTGAAATAAGAAAACGGGAACATTTGTGCGACAGTTGTTAAAAAGTCGAGTTCTCCTTTCGTTGGATAATATTGTTAGTAGCATGTGTCTCGTATTGCAAATAAAATTCGTTTAAATCGAAAGTGAAAGGAAATTGGTGATGACATTAATCAGAAACTCTGTGTTAAGCTTCACGTTAGGCCAAGGTTGTGCTAGATAACATTATACCCGAGTTAAAATATGTGGAGGTGACATTGTTAGAATTGTGATTTCTTCACATTTATACGAACACAGAATGTACATCGCGAGTAAATGTTATCGAAATGTCCCCGCAGATTATAATTATGTTTCGAGTTATTACAAAAATTTGGCAATTTGGTGGAAAAAAAAGTCAGAAAAAACGTAACCTTATCACTCGACTCATGTGTTCATATTAATTTGACGAATTGTATGTGTCATATCAGAAGTTGTTAAGTAAAACTCGATGGCCTTTTGACTTTTTCTTTAAATTGAACAAGTTTGGAAACACAAGTGTCCCTTATAAAATAAGGGGTATTAGAATACTTGTAAATACTTTGCAGGTTTTTTTTTTGGCGTTTTAATTTAGATTTATTTATTGAAATATTTTTATATAGATTTACTTATTGAAGTATTTTTATATAAACAATTTTGTACAATTATTTTTCTACAAATGCATGTAAATTGTTGAATTGCAAACATTTAATATTCTTTGCATGATATAAATAAATTTATCAATCTAAAATTCGTATTTTCTTAGGAATTATACGTATTAAATATGTACACATGAAAGTCAAATGACATACGTGTAGACGTGTAAACAAGATTAACATGTTTAAATATAAATTAATATTTCAATTAGATTCCAAAGATTTCTTTTACGAAAGCTTGTGTTTCGAAAAAATTCGAAGCATTATTTTATAAAACTTTAAATCCGAAACGATATGAAATTTAATTTTTAAAATTGACGAGAATGAGAAAGAAACTAGTCCGTTGGATGAGCTGGATAAGAATCAAAGTATATGTCCGGAATATCTGAAACTACATATTTCCGTGTAAAAATAGCAACACGAAAACAACGTTATTCTTTTTATTTTCGACCGAGAACATCTCTCGCGTGAACGTGAACAATTAGCGCAAAACACTGTGTACATCGATTCTTTCAAACAAACTGTCACACATGTAATTCGATTCATGTTTCTCGTGCAAAAACAACGTACGTGTGTACGTACTCACGACGTACTTTTGATTTCAACTAACGGCATGTAAAGTTTTTTTTTTCTTTTTTTTCTTTTTCGTTTTAGTTCATCTGACAATAATAAGATATTATGTACATGATAAATGGCTTAGTTACGCTTGTATACAATAGATATACGCACAGATGTACAGTACTTGCGTACGTGTACACGTGTATGTACATAGAAATTGTGCGACGATTACTTGTAGTTAAATTAACGAGACGTGTTATTGGGAAATTTTCAAAAGTTTTAGCCGACAGTTGTGGATCATCGAACTAATTGATATAGCTTGAAAGTTTTCATAAATTGTTTGCGTTCGTGTCGTGTCATGTGGTGGCTATAATTAGGACGCTCGAAGTTGCGTGTGCCACGAGACCGGTGTAGAAGAGGCTTGGCGTTCCAAACCAATCAGCATTGCCCGCGATCGACACACCTCTGTTTCAACCAATCACCAACGCAGGAACGTCGCGTTCGAGAAACGGGGAATTTTCGCTTTTTCGTCAGTTGTGACGAGTTTCTCCAGGCATTTATTGCCCCCACATCACACAATGAAACGGAATTTCGTTACGTATTTGTCATTATTGCTGCAAATATCGATTGTTTCCAAATATGTACATAAACAGCCGGATGATCGCGTATATCGTATACTAATAAAGACGTACTTGCGTATAATGACAAATACCAGAAACCATTACGCTATTGCGTGAAATCTGCTTACGAAAGAATTTTTATCCGCGCCGCTGTTGGCGGTGTCGTTTTCCTGAAACAAAGTCTCAGTGAATTCAATCGAATCAGATAAAAGATAAGTCCGTTTTTTCGCATCGCGATGAAGCGTTTTAAGTCCACTTAAAACACAAGGCTACAGGTCTTGAAAGTTTTAACTTGCGCTAGCAACTGATTGCGGACCATAACGAGTGACCAGACCGTAAACAATAATTCGTCGGTTTCTTTTTGAACTCGTCAGTATATCTATCACTGGATAGAAATTATCGAGGAATAATAAATTTATTATTCGTTTTGCCTATTTTGTTTTACTTAGATATACTTGAAACTGAGAAAATATTACAATTTTGGAACAAAAAATTGTGGTACGTCATTCCAGCGCAAGAGGTTAAAATAAAATAAGTTCGTAGATTACGAAGTATATGGAGTGTAAAAGTACGGAGTATAGCTCTCGTTCCGTTCCATACCGGCGTGAAACCGGTGCCTTTTGTCGTTATTTGGTAGAAGTCTCTCGCCTTTCGAACTGATCGGACTATCTGAAATCTCCGGCTGCATTCCGACCAGCTGAGATCGTTCGAGGCGATCGAAAGCCGAGCAAAAAAGTAAACGACGAAACTGAACAGTGGTAGAAATATAAGGCTTGCCTTTAATGCAATTCACGAAGAAGTAAAGAAATAATGGCATGAGATATGCATACATACATATTTATTTTTATCAGTGACTTGGCAGATATTCTCACATTAAGCGTTTGTCTTTAACCGGCCGTTTTCTTTTAAGTTAACTTCTTCTACAATAACAGGCGAAAATTCCAATGAACTTGAATTCAAGTGAACTTGAGAGCAAACGCTGTAGCAAATAGCTACGTGAATAATGAAATGGGAATATGTAGCTAATAACCAACAGCAAGTACACGTAAGTGTATATATGCACGTAATTGAATATAACTTGATTGATTCTGTTACGTTATATTATCTAATTACGCTTCTAAAATAGGTAATTGATCGTACGAATTAATTTAAAATTAAATTGAATCACGTACCTCCAAGCTCCTCCTCGCTTGGTCGGTTTGAGAAACACTGACTGGTAAAGTTCCTTTGGTTTACGTGTGCGTGCCGTGTAAGTACAACGGTTTGTTTAGCGTGGTTGTGTGCCATGGACAGAAGCGGTATAAAAATGGGTAGCAGGGGTACCGACCCGCAGAATAATCTTTGACACGTGCTTGAAAACACGGGAGACTGGAGATCTTTTATACACTTACACATATGCATATGTGCACATACATATAGATATTTTGTATAAAGTACATGTGGACACATTGTACAAAAAGTCAAGTTGAAGTAGTTTGATACCGAAGTTGTCAGTACGATTCTATCAGTTCGGTGTATCAATCGGAATATCTCTCGATGACTCTGAAAACGATTGGATTTACTTATTTCGGGAGGACGGTAAGATAAAAATAGGTCTTTTGATTTCGCGAACGTCAAATCACCAACGATCGTCATCGTTAAAAACTTTGCTTCCTTATCTTTACTTACTCGTCGTTTGAAAACTTTATTCGCGTATCGTGGGGGAAATTGGCAAGATAATATTTTGTAAACGTTAAATCAGAAACGATTTTCAGCCCCTTCGTTAAAGGCGGGGCGTCGTTGGTCATTGTAAACGATTTCTATCGAAGTAATAACCTCACTTATATATAACTAATGTTTTTAATTATTTTAATAATTTCTATTTACGATTCGACAAAATTGTTGTACGTTAGAAAATAACTTCACGAATGTAATTTTCGATTAATTTTCATTTATTATTTGTTATTTGTAAAGAAGTTTTCTGATATGTAGAGAAATTTTTTAACATGTTCACGATGTCGTGCAATGCCTGTCTGTGTAATTGATAATAAATAATTGTCTTTATTGCAGGGTCTAAATGGACGATTAGCGTTTGCTATCGCAGCTGCTGCACTTGGATCATCGTTTCAACATGGGTACAACACCGGTGTTGTTAACGCACCTCAGCAGGTATTTCATAACACACATTGTCAGCATTTTCTTTTTACGGAATATCAGTACGTATCTACTTTGCGATCGTACTTATTTTCAAATGACTGAACAACAAAATTGTTTTGTGGCTATTGTTAAATAAATCGATAGTTAATTAATTTTTTCAATTTAATTAATTAATTCTTTTCAACGACGCCTTCGAATTTATTCAAAGGTCGTACAACACGTTCCTAACGTTATGCAGGAGAATTTTATTTTAACACGACGCGGAGAATCAATAATCGCTTGTTTGGCTATATGCATAATGCTTTTTTCCACTAATCGTAGATTTTCGTACGTATCTACGTAATTTTTGCAAGTTAAATTCATTCGAATGGCTGACACAATTTTATATGTATAGCGTTGGCTATTCGGTGGTATCAGTTGCATATTCAAGATAACTGAGCCATCGATCATCCAACGATCGAAACGTCGTGTTTGAAATATGTAAATAAATGAAAAATATACAATTATAAAAATTATAAAAGTTATAAAATTATAAAAATTATTTTAAAAAATTATAAAAATTATGAAAGTTATAAAATTATAAGTCATAAAAAAAAATTATAAAAATTATTTTAAAAATTATAAAAATCATGAAAGTTATAAAATTATAAAAGTATTTGATAAAAAAAAAATTATAAAAATTATGAAAGTTATAAAATTATAAAAATATTTCATAAAAAAAAAAATTATAAAAATTATGAAAGTTATAAAATTATAAAAGTCATAAAAAAAATTATAAAAATTATGAGAGTTATAAAATTATAAAAATCATAAAAAAAAATTATAAAAATTATAAAAGTTATAAAATTATAAAAATTATTTAAAAAAATTATAAAAATTATAAAAGTTATAAAATTATAAAAATTATGAAAGTTATAAAATTATAAAAATTATGAAAGTTATAAAATTATAAAAGTCATAAAAAAAAATTATAAAAATTATAAAAGTTATAAAATTATAAAAATTATAAAAGTTATAAAATTATAAAAATTATGAAAGTTATAAAATTATAAAAATTATAAAAGTTATAAAATTATAAAAATTATGAAAGTTATAAAATTATAAAAATTATAAAAGTTATAAAATTATAAAAATTATGAAAGTTATAAAATTATAAAAATTATAAAAGTTATAAAATTATAAAAATTATGAAAGTTATAAAATTATAAAAATTATAAAAGTTATAAAATTATAAAAATTATAAAAAAAATAAAAAAAAAACAAGGTGACGATATGGATGATATGTTACAGCTCATCGAAGACTGGATCAGTAACCTGAAGATGAATCGTACCGGTGTACCAACGAAGCAGTCGGAAGTAACGATGATATGGTCGATAGCTGTGTCGATATTCTGCGTAGGCGGGATGATTGGTGGTTCTCTAGTGGGCACGGTAGCCGATCGTTTCGGCAGGAAGGGCGGTTTGTTGCTGAACAACATTTTGGTCGTCATCACAGTAATCTTCGAGGGCTGTGCTAAAACAGCGAAGAGCTACGAGATGATAATCATCGGAAGATTCATAATCGGCATCAATGCAGGATTAAACGCTGGTCTGGCGCCCATGTATTTATCCGAAATATCACCTATTCATCTGCGAGGAGCTGTTGGCACCGTTTATCAACTGGTTATTACTATGTCTATTCTGGTATCGCAGATTCTCGGATTAGAACAAATCTTGGGTACCGAGGATCAATGGCCGCTTCTTTTGTGCCTGACGATTGTTCCTGCGATCTTCCAAGTGGTCACGCTTCCACTGTGCCCTGAAAGTCCGAAATATTTGTTGCTCAGCAAAGGGAAGGACATGGATGCTCAAAGAGGTACGTTCCATAGTATTTGAACTAAAAGGCGTCTCAGGACAGAAAGCTAGAAATTCACAGAATCATTTCCATGCACGTATCTCGCGGGATACACAGAGCTGCGATTGGTTTCACATTCGTAGAAATATAGAATGGAGTTGTATTGTATTATTGGAGCGAAACGTTTATCGGTAATTAAATGACTTTTTTTTTGTAGCTTTGGCCTGGTTGCGTGGCACGATCGAAGTTCACGATGAGATGGAAGAAATGAGAACGGAATATGAATCAGTGAAACTTGTACCAAAGGTTACGCTGAAAGAATTATTTGTAAATCCTGCTCTTAGAATTCCATTAATAATCGCAATTATGGTTATGTTCGCTCAACAATTGTCTGGGATAAATGCCGTCATGTTCTTCTCGACGAAGATCTTCACGATGGCGCAGTTGGATAAAACCGCAGCCCAGAATGCAACAATGGCTGTCGGAGCGATGAACGTTGTTATGACTTTTGTTTCATTGATACTCGTAGAAAAAGCTGGAAGAAAAACGTTGCTGTTAGCTGGATTCTCTGGGATGTTTATCGATACTGCGTTGCTTGCGATTTGTCTTGCTTTTGCAGTAAGTATACCACTGTACATAAATTTAATATTGCACGTAGACTCTGGACTCTGCACATTACAACACGTGATTTAATTTCGTTTCCTAATTTTTTCCCGTTTTCAGGATACATCTCGCGCAGCAGCTTATTCCTCGATTGTACTAGTAATGACATTCGTAATCTTATTTGCAACTGGACCAGGTAGTATCCCTTGGTTCCTGGTGTCCGAGTTGTTTAACCAATCTGCGAGACCCGCGGCGACGTCCGTTGCTATTGCGGTCAATTGGACGGCGAATTTTATCGTCAGTATCGGATTTCTACCGCTGCAGGAGGCGCTGGGTGCCCATGTATTCATTATTTTCGCCGCAATACAAGCATTCTTTGTTTTCTTCATTTACAAGAAAGTACCCGAGACAAAGAACAAAACGATGGAGGAGATTAGTAGCATGTTCCGACAAATATCGTACCAGTAAGAACTCCCATATTGTCATTGCGCTTAAGGAATTAATTACAAATTTTTCAAGAAAAGATATCCATGGGGAAACGAATCAAACGTAGATACGAATTTCTTTAAAAGAATCCGTGACTTGAATTTTTAACGCACATATCTGCTATTGCGTTTTTATACGTATTGAAGTTGAAGGCATAAGATCTTTTAACGATTATCATGAAAAAACTGTATTTTTATTTTATGATCGTTTAAAGTCTCAACATTGAGAAGCTATCGGTAGTTTTTGCTTTTGAATGTTTATTTTAAACGCTGTCGAGTCGCGCATATTTTTTTTTTTTAGAAGTTTTTCGACTTTGAATTAAACTTACAAACTTAGTTCCTATTATTACTGATATGATAAACGTATGGTGTCATAGAAAAACAGTATCAAATTATGCATAATGAAACACAATTAATTGTTTATTTTAATGAATTTTATCGGGTTGGTTTTAAATCTTTCGCGTCTCTTTTTATAGGCAGACTGTAAATGAAATTAACAATATAATGTAATCAAGATATAATATATAGGTTTAAAGAAACTCAACCTCAGAGGCAAATATTTTGTTCGTAAAATATATTTTCATATCGAAAATCAAAAAGAAGAGAAACATAGGGAGAAATGAACGATTTGAGAAATGCATAAACGAAAAACATATATTAACTCGCAGTTCCTTAAGAATAATTAAGAAAATTAGACGACAGTTTTCGCATTTGTAATCACTATTCGTACTAAATATTATTTTACCTTCAAAAAGAGTGAAGAAACAATATTATTTAATTATATTGATATTAAATATTATTACTCTAGTCATAAAAATACGATATTTTTGCATTGAAGTAACATTTGGAAAATCCTGCTAAAAAAATAGTATATACTTTGCATTATTGCAAAATACATTTTTTTTTTTTTAACAGAGATCTGCACAACGTGAACAATATTGTTTGTTTAAAATTTGAAAGAAAAAGAAAATCCGTTTTATTTTGAACTTTTTTAAAGTACATGTACATATAATGTGAGAAAAATCTAGCGAAAAATTGTTGGAACTTGTGAGGTTCATTCACAAAAAAGTGTTTCTATTGTAAGACACGTTTTAAAAATTTTTTAGAATTGTGTTCGTTGCATTACGTTTATATAAATTCTATCACATATGCAACAAGAAATAGAAATTTTATTCAAATGAGAGAAATGAAAAGTACTGTTACACTTGTATATAGGAATATACGTAGGATATTGCCATACAGCGTGTAGAAGAAAATTGAATTTATATATGCATGTAACTGTAGTGAACGTTTAAATCTGTATATCATTGTTGTTACATTTATTAGATATTTAATTGATATAATACAAACGATAACCAAAAATCATGTTGAAATATCGTAACATATAGCTTAGAAAAATTAGTTCCGCTGTAAATCATGAACCGACAGTATATCATTCTCTTTTACCACGTACATCCTTCAATCCAGATAATACTCAAATGTAGTTGTATCTTTAATGCTAAATTTATCAGGGAAATTACGTTTCCGCGGTGTGCCAGTGTATCTAATAAACATACAGTTTCATTAATCAATAGTAATTTTTAATTATTTGAACGTTGAAATATGCAGGAATTGTATAGCTGAAACTAAAAAAAAACATCGCAATGAATTATATACATGGAATTTTAAATGGTACTAGATTTATATCTAAATCTAATGCACCAGTTGCATTGTACAAAGGTTTTTCCAGAACAAAGGTTTTGCAAAGATCTTTGTATATTCATTTGGATAATTTGTTAGACAGTGTATATTTTTGAGCCTGTATTTTATGCGATATTAGTTGCAATTTAATAATTTAAAAGATAACAACCTATAGAACAAACTGATAATGATAATGGGAAAAATGGAAGAAAAGTAGTTAGTTAGTTAAAAGTTATTTATTGAATCGTAATTACAAGGCACACCGATAAACTATAATTGATTGAAAATAGACGTACATATATATAGCAGTAAATGATTATTTCTGTTTACAAAATTTGCCCAAAAATTGTTTTAGTTTGCAACGATTGATCTTAATGTTTGACTGTGTCCGAAGCTTAAGTAGATAATAAGAAATCCATTTTGTTATTTATGATATAGAAAATTAATGATTGTGTTATGATATCTGTAGACCCTTAAGAGTTTGCCCGATATTCATAAATGTCAGATAAGCAATAAAAGAAACAATTAAACATAAATATAAAAGTTTTAAACGCTAAAAACGCATTATTTTCCCCTTATCTGGCGTATATGAATTATAATTTTAATATATTTAAAAATGAATTTATAACAGGCAATAAATTATTTATATATATTTAACGTTAAAAAAATCGATACTTCTATATTTCAAATTTTTACACATTACGTCTAGCGTTATAAAATCACCGAATTATGTGGATAATGAGTACAATTAAACATACGAATACGCGTGTACATATAATCTCGAATTTTTCATCGTCTATCAGTTCTATCATGTAAGTTCTTTGTGGTACAATTATAGCATTTAGTGTTAGCTTCTTCTTTTATACGCGAGGCCTGTATCAATTACTTTATTTTTCTTTTTTTTTTCTTGTTAAGGGATCGATGCAACATATCTCTAAAATGTAATGGAATAATTCGTAAATATCGATATCGTTACCATTACTTAGCCTACGTATATGTTAAAGGCCCATTATTCACGTCGATTATTTAAATCATCTCCGCATCATATCAATTTCACAGTTTATTATAAAACGTCATAGTAACATGTATCGCATTATAGACTGTAACTTTTGATGCCAATATACAAATCATCGTAATAAAAATTTTATGTAATACTATAATGGATAAATTAATTTCATAATTAATAATTTCAACTGAATACGTCGATCGTTTGTAGACGATCGAACTTGTGAGTTTGTCAATCATTGACTGAACATTTTTTTAATACTTAAGACGCATGAGACCAAAAATTAAGATTTAAAAATTTAAAGATTTGTTTTTTAAAAATTCATCGACAATAGAAACACGTGTTTATATGTGTGAAACACATGTGTTGTATACATACAGAATACATGCGTAATACGAAAATAAATATTCAGAAATAAATAGTTTTCAGTGACGCATTTCTCTACATTATCGAAAATTTTCTAAAATTATCGTATAATTGGCAAAGCTAACGCCAAATAATTTGATAGAAAATAACATTGTCGCTAAATACTCTTGTTAGTTATACTTGCCGTGATAACTTGCTATTTTTGTTTTGCAAATTTTATTTTGCAAAATATTTTTATTATTATAGAAGAAAGTAAAATGACATATCAAAAAGTAATTTGGCATTAAAGTTTGGAAGAAAACTGGACAATCGACAAGGAAATAAATTTTTGGAAAGTTAAATTAAAAATAAAAAATTGTATAATACAATTAGCGTATAGTGTACATGTATTGGAAAATAATTAAAAGTTTGTTCGAGTTGAACGAATTTATATCTATAGGAGAATTAATATACATATATACATGCATAGAACGTGCTGTTTACCACGTTGAGTGCCAGTTGTCAGTGAACTATTCTAGAAATGATAGTTCAAAATTATTACAATAATCGATAAAACCAGAAAATACACTAAACAAACAAAGAAATAAGTTTATTCACATTGAAATATACAAAAAGCAGAGATTTCATTCTGCGTGCAATTGTACACGGCGTAGAGTTTGGGAAATGTGTAAAAATGATGTATTTTCCAGTTTTTCGAGAGCTCGGAATTTATTTGTTATCGCAATAAACGCCAGAACCAGAGAATACACTGTACAATCGAAAAGATAACATGATTCATATTAAAATATACAAAAAGCAAAAACTTGGTGCGAAACAAGGTTATGCGGCACACGCGGCGCCCAACGCGTTAAACTATCTTTGTTCGCACGCACGTGCATTTCAGATATTTTCCATATCGTTGGAACTTGAAGAATTGCACAGTATACAGCGTATTTTCGAAGTACACGCATTCGTGAAGAAACGCGCAGTAGAACGCATGCGCTTGTTTTTATTGTGGCGAGCGTGTGTAACGACTGTGTGTAAGTACGGTTGCGAGATGTGTACAGGAACAAAGCGTGAAAGGAGAAGGTCGAATCGCGTGTGCGTTCGACGTTCAATGAAACTTGCGGTGGGTGGTGATCGATGGAGAAAAACAAATGAAACGACGACGAGAGAAGGTTGGCAGCAGATACCGCGAGATGTCGCGGGCTTAGGGTATACGAGAGGCAGTGGAACGCAGCGCGCGGTGCGCGGCTCGCATCGTTCGTCAGAGTAAACACACAAGTACGATCCCGGAGGACAGGCACCTCGTGCGCTGCCACTGGCAGATAGAGTCGCCAAAGTAGTTTGAAGCTTGCGTCGCGAAACGAGAGGCGATACGTGAAAGAGGATTTGCTGAAAGGGAAGTGTCCGCGTGGTGGACGGCGAGAGGCGAAGAAGGATCGGTGAGGGGTGATGATAGGCGACAGGGCTGGAGAGCGGCGGTGAGGGCATCGTCGGCGTGAGGGCATATTGTCAAGACGCTTAATGTGCGCGGTGCGGGCGCGTGGTACGCTCGAGGCGGCCACAAATGAAGAAGTGGGAAGCGTCGGCGAGGGCGGTAGAGAGGGAAGAAGATGTCGAGTGGCTCGGCCTCGAAACTCGTGAACGGTGAGAACAAGAAGGAGAACGTTCACGGATACGAGTACGGGAACAAGAGAGAAAACGAGAGCGGCGCTGCTGGCAGCACTGCTTCTTCCATAGTAATTCTAGCTGGTGATACTAGTAATGCTAGTACTACTACTACTACTACCACTACTTCTTCTATTACTACTAGTAGTACTAGTGCTATTGTTGCTGCTCCTACTGCTACTACTACTATTGTTACTGTCGCCGCTGGTGGTGTTGTCGGTACTGGTGCTGGTACCACTGGTACTGCTGATTCTAGTGCTGCTAGTGAAAGCAGTAGCGGTAGTGGTGATAGTGGCTGCGGTAATGGTGGTAGTGGTTGTTTCACCAGCAGTGATAACGGTGCCAGTGGTAGTAATAGCGGTGTCTGTGTTGCCGGCTTGACCGCCGAGGGCGTCGTCGGCGTGGAGTTTTGCGACGTTGATTCCGACGTGAAGATACCGGGAGCTCGGGAAGCTGTCTGCGATGAAAGGGATGTGAACTCGAGGACGGGATATAGCGAGATCGTGTTCGAAGAGCCGTACGACGAAAGGTGTATCGGGACGCCAGTTGTCAATCTGAGCACCGCCACAACCACCACCACCGCTACTACCACAACCACCACCACTGCTACTACCACCACCACCATCACCATCATTGAGCACGACGATCGAATCAGGACCACGACTGTTTCTGCTCCTTGCTACGAGGAGGACGAGGAAGAGGATAACGAGGAGGACGACGACAACAACATGGTCGCGGCGATGAACGAGCACTTGTCTACCACGTCGGCGACCAGCGGCGTTCGAAGTAACACGGTCTCCACCGCCAGCACCACCGTCAATCCCACCGTCGTCAACCAGGGGAACAGTTGCTCCCGCGGTGAATTCGAGAACGTCGACGAGGATGGTAAACCAGCCGCCGGGATACTCAGTTTCCCCTGTGACTTCGACCACATGTACGCCAGCATGACAGACAGCGGGGCTCCAGCAGCCACCGCCACTTCTGCGCTCGGTGTCAGCCCTCTCCGTGGCAATGAACCGCGTCAAAACGATCTCACCGAAGTTAAACATCTCAAGGAACTGTTGCTGCTTCATCTAGATCTGATCCAACAACAGTCCGAGCAGATCGTTACCAAGGATAAGCTCTTGGCAGCTTTGCGACAGGAGAACGAAACGGTACCTTTCTCTCTTTTGTTTTCTCCTCTTCGTATGATTGTTTTTTCCTTTTTTTCTTTTTTGTTATTCCCGCGCTTTGTGCTTCTACTGTACATGCGTTCCAGCATTACCCGCGTCCACGCTCGTGTGTCAATATTTTGCCTTTTCTCGTTCTTTCAACTCTGTGTTTTCCCGGTTCTCGCTCCTCTTTCTTTCATTGGTCACTTGGACGTGAAGGTCAGACGCAACGTTGCCGCATGATGGCGCTGTTCCACATAGAACCGCAACTTTGAAACCGACGGAACACGTATAATTCACGTTACCAGTTTCTCGCGCGCAAACTGCTTTTATGACGACGATGATCCCGCTGTAGAAAATGGAAGATCTTTGAGCGAACGGATTTCCTGAATGAACTGGCCCGTCCTCGCAATAGTATCCTCGATAATATCACTGTTGCTAGTATCTTGTGTTATTTGTTTATACGTACATTAGATGCAAGAATGATCATGCCTGGGATTCGACGAGAAGTAAAAACTCCGCTGACCTATCGTTTGTTGACAGTAAATAAAATTTAAATCGACGCTGCGTAGTTTCTGTGATCGTTCATCTTTGAACATTCGTGTCCTTTGATGAATATTTAATTTATACACTGATGAATATACAATCAGTTATAATTCTTTTACATACTTCAATTTTTATATTTAATTTATATTCTCTGAACAGTGTATAAATTAAATATTGTGATTCTCAATATAAGTTCATATTTAGTAATTAATTGCCCCAATGTTTAAACTTATATTTTCAAAATGTATCAAAATAACATACATTTTGTTAATGTTTTTTTTTTCGAAGATCCGGCTGGAACTTACTTATAAATGTATGTGTTACAGCTTAAGCTGCGGCTGGAGCGTATGGACAGACGTGTAAATTTACAAAAGCTTAGATCAGAAAATAATGAAAATTCCATTGCATCCGAACATGTAGGAGTATGTTCTTCTCCGACTATTAATTCTATGAATGTGCCATCGACCAGCGAGCTTCACAGAAATATTCAATCCGAGAATAATAATTCTCAGTATAATGAAAGCTTTAAGATACGTTTAAATACCAGTGGTGGAATTACTACTGTCAAACAGGAACCAAATGATAATCAAAGTAAGCACGAAACAAAAATAGAAACTGGTAACGATATTAGATTAGAGTGGGAAGAGAAAAAGAAGAGGAGAACAGATTCAACGTCAATTTCCAGTGGAAGTAAAAGGAAAAGGGGTGTTTCGTGTTCGTCTACGATCAGTAATGACACATCCTCTACAGTGCAAGACAAAACGTTAGGTCAAGAAAACAACAGAAAAAGTGATAGGAAAGGAAAGCCATTAACAAAGAAGGAGTCATTCCTTACTACGGAAGAACATTATTATACAGCTGTTGGTGATCCTAATTATACATTAAATTTAAAAGAACCTAATTTAGTAGAAAGTGATACCTCGTTAGAAGTTCCAAATTGGAGGGTAAAGATATATACAAGCTGTTATACGATGGAAGGAACGGAAAATTTGGATGATGAAATTTTTAACAAAAGACATTTAAAGTTAGAAAATGATGAAAGGAGGAGGAAAAGATGGGATGTACAAAGGATAAGGTTTGTATCGTGTTAGTAAAATAATGCCAGTGCAACAGTAGTTAATTATTAAGTAAATTTCAATGCTTAAATGGATTTTCGTTTTTAGAGAACAGAGACATATTGAAAAATTGAAACAAAGACAAGAAAGACAGAATCATCAAGCAACGTGTTACAATACAAATCATACTGGACCTTGTCCATCTACTGTTGAGGAAGAGGCTGTCTTGTCGTTATGGCCTGACGTAGAACAAATACAAAGTCTTCAAGTGGATCCTCAGTTACCTATTGCTGCATTTGGTGCCCCTATTCCTAGTTTCACTCCAAGGTAAATAATATTAAATCGGTAACTATATCTTACATTTGTATTAGTTTAATTTGCTATACCGTTGATTTTATAATTGCAGTGAATTTTCTTTACCTTGGTCAAATATGTCACGTTCGAACAGTCGTCGCCCAAAGCGGTCAACAGGTAGAAGAAAATCTACTAGAAGATAAACTTTTATACCGGTGGACAGGACTATTTTTTGTCTTATCATTTTTAATCTTTATTATAGATATGCTCCCTCGTATTTCTATTTTTCTTTCTTTTTTTTTCTAAAATCATTTTTTTTATTATATGAAATAGGAGCACCAAAGATATTTTTATCATCTTTTTTAAAGCAAAATTCAGGAAAGATGACTATAGGAGACGATAGGAGTACCTACAATGTATTTTTATTTCTTACTTATTGATTCAAGTTTACTAGTAAAACTTGACCTTCTATAAGAATCGTTTTATTTGTACGACTGTAATTTGGTATCATTTATATTTTATAGAAATATTCATTTATCTAATTTTAATTGATATTTATTGAATATACTTTCCAATCTGGAGCTGTATTAGAACAATGGATATAAGAAATTATATTCAGTATATTTCCTTTTTGTATAAAGCTGGATAAAATGAATTAAATTAAATATGTTGGAAGGTTAAGTATGTTCAAGAAACATTACAAAATTAATATTATATACATGTAAATAATACAATCAATTTCAAAATTTTCGTAGCCCCTCTTCTTTAATTTCAATTATAACACTAATTGATACCGACAAATATGTTTTATAATTAGTAAGTCATAACTATTTTTGACATTGTTACGGTTGAGAATATTAAAATGAAAATAGTGTGTAAATTAAATGTCAGTTGAAAAGATTTAATCCGTCTCGAAACAAATTTTATGAACTTCATGTAATATTTTCATTTTCAATTTCAATTTCAATTTAAAGTACAAACTGGAAATTAGTATACAAGCATATAAAATTGTTAATTGCAAAAGTGCGTGTATTGAATTTTAAGATGAATTTAATTCGTATGGTTTTCGAGTTATTTTAATAAATAACATGTGCAAAATTATTTATACTGCATCCTTTATAAACTATTTTTATTTGGATTTTAATAAAAATGAAGTGCATAATTATTTATAGAAAATTATCAAATATTTATAAGTGTAAGTCTTCCGAAATATTAAAAATATATTAAACAGATTTGTATAAGAGTTTAGAAATGGGAGCTTTTTAAAATATCATGCGAACATAGTACGTCAAATAGTACAATGAATAGTACACTTTGTTTGGTTTTGGTTTAAAAATTAAATAAAAAGTTCAATATTGTGAATCATTTAATAATGAAGAAGACGATAATTTGTTGGACGTTGTATTTTATTAATTTAAAGTATAAAATATCTATTATGATTATCTATAACTTTACCTGTTTTAAACTTAAATTTTTGAACATTTTTATAGACAAAGTATAATTTAATGTATTGCTGTATGAGAAATTTATAATTGGTATATAAATGGTTATAATAGAGAGATAAATGTTAAAAAGTTAAAAAAATACATACATACAGCTACTGATAACTTGTTATTTACGTTGAATTTATATATATATTCACATTGTATAACCATGAATTATTTATGTAATTTTTTTTTTTTTATAATAACTTGTGACAATGATAATGAAAAAGAAAAGGGGTTACGACGTACGCTCAGAAGTATTAAAATTCAATGAACCTAAAATAAATCTTTTTTTTAATTTTGACATCAATCATTAAAGATATATCGTTGTCCTGTTTTCTTTGTATTTTCTTTTTCATTCTTCTCTCTTTTTTCTCTCTCTTTCTAAATTCTACCATTGCATTTAGTTGCAATTGTTGAAGAACTTTTCAACAAAATGTATTAATTTTTTTATGCATGTAGTTCAGTTATATTATTTTATTTTATTATACATGACAAGTGATAAGGTACTCGATTCAACCGTCCATGAGAAATGTGAGCATTTCGTAAACTGAAATGTTCAACATTAAAACACGGTGAAAATAGTGATTATAACTTGTAAATAAAAAGAAACATCTTTCCAATTATACGTAAGTTTTTGTTTATTATTTTATTTATAATAGTGCGCATTACTGCTGATAGATATTGAACAATTATATATTTTGTTTACGATAAATAGAACAAACGCGTGTAGCATCTTTTAGGTACATTAAGAAATAGTATAGAATTATTTGCATTGTTCTCGTTAATTCGACTTTATTCGTTGGAAGCTTTCTTAAATATACCAAAGACACAAAATTATTAGTTGTAACTTGTTTTTGCTTTAAAACTAATAATTTCAAAGGATATGAGTATGCATTTCCATTTTGGTGAACAGAGGAAATTTTACAAATTTGCAAATGTCTCTCTCGATGCTTTATAAGTATTATAATTGTCATTTTAGGCAACTTTCTAGTTCTTATCTTTATTTTTTAACTATTTGATGCAATTATGAAGACATAATTTGCATAATATTGAACATGAGATCCCTTTAGTTGAATTTTAACAGTGGCATAGATAAACTGTTTCGAAATTTCGTGTTGTGACTTTCGAATTAACGAGATTATGACAGCCTACGTAATTGTCATGTGTATATGTATATAAGTTTACCTTATTTTGTGTGTGTGTATATATGTATATGTTTGATATACTGTATGCACGCAAGTATAAAGAAATGTATGTATATTTTAATTGGATCGATGTACATACATATACATACATATATATAGGATGACTCATTTATTTTGATTATGCTAAACATTTCCGTCATTTCGAATGACAAATAAAAGTATAAAAAAAAAAGTTGTTTAGTTCAGCGTAACAATTTTTCAAGATCGCAGTTTTTTAATGATTACGTTTTCCAAGTGAATTAAATTTAACATTTCTCTTATAGAGAATGTTATTTATACAGATGGGGGAATTGTAACAAGTTAATTTAGTCTATATTTTTTATAACTTTGTTACGTTAAACACAATTCAAAAATGAACATGAAAATTGTATGAACTGTGATCTTGGAAGTTTTATTGCGACGACGAGAATTTCTTTGAACTGGACAACTTTTTTCATTTTTTATTTTTTTATAATATTGAACTATCAAAATAAATGAATCATTTATATAAGGGCATGAGTGAGGGTATGCGTGTTTTGCAAAATATATTTATTATATTGTGTACTGTATATAAATATTATATATAATAGTACACATATTATTGCTCTATGTACAGGTCGTTCCGTAAGCAGTGGATCATTTTTGAAAACGATAGTATCAACTAGATAATTTTGATCCAATATTTCGGTTATCATAAAGGTAAAATAGCATTTATATTATTATATGTTATATTGAGGCACACTTCCAAATGTACATTAGTTTATAATCGTGTGTAATCATGTTTATTTCTAAATAAAATGAAAAGATGTTGAAATAAATAACAATGAAATTGTAAAAATAAAGAGAGTAAAAGAGATAGAAATGGATGAATAGAGAGAAAGAGAGAGAGACGATCCATTAGCAACTTATGAAATGACCTGTATTTAATAGAAATTACAATTAAGATAAGATAAGAAATGTCAAATAAAATAAAATTATTTCATACAAAAATATCTCAACAAATTTAAAGCCCTATTAATCGAAATCTTCGATATTAAGTGATACGTGTTACGACGTACGGTTTCGCGTATAAAGCAAGTTAGTTTCATACCGACGCAATATCGGTTTGTAACCTTTTAGTTGGACGTGGTTGAATCATTTTGTTTTTAAATTGAAAAAGAAAAGAAAGAAAAGAAAAATTAGAAACACTTTCTGTGTACGATGGACGGCCCCGACTCGTCGTACTCTTGTTTCGAGATCCACATTTGCTGGAAGGTGCTCAAGCTGGCCAAGATCGAGCCACCGATCCAGACCGAGTATTTCCTTTCTGGAGGCGCGATTATCTTGATCTTCATTGTGGACGGAGCCAGTGCCGTTATTTCCTTTTGCATCCTGTCCGCGATACCTGGATACATGGTGGTACCGCCTGACAGGACCGAATTAGCATACAAATCCTTACGAATATCGACGTCGCATTTCATGATCGAGTTGTAGGTAGTTTCATGTATTCCGCATGATTCCATGCCGAGGAAACTTGGCTGGAACATCGCTTCGGGACACCGGAAACGTTCGTTTCCGATAGTGATTACCTAAAAGCAGTGTCAATTAATTAACTCGCTGATTTAAATATTCTCAAGCATGGTTGATCGTAGTTTTTAAACGCGCAGCGATCTGAATCGCTAATGCACCCGTGTATATACGCATGTACGAGTCGGAATTACTTGGCCGTCTGGTAATTCATAGCTCTTTTCCAGAGCGCTCGAACCGGCAGCTGTAGCCATCTCCTGCTGAAAGTCCAAAGCAACGTAACACAATTTTTCCTTAATATCTCGGACAATTTCACGCTCCGCGGTTGTAGTAAACGAGTATCCTCTTTCCGTTAGGATCTTCATGAGGTAATCTGTTAAATCGCGGCCAGCCAGGTCCATACGTAGAATTGCATGTGGTAACGCGTACCCTGAATTAAATAGGATGTTTCACATTGAATTATAGTTAATATAATGAAATCTTTCAATTTTCTTATAATCGTGTGCGTGATAGTGTCAATCCATTCGAAATTTTCAAATCTTTTTACACAAATTTTGTATAAATTAAACAAATCTTCCTGATAAATAACATATTTTATTAATTTTTTTCAATATGTAAAGTTGCAACAATAAAAATACGTAACGTTGCAACTTTTGTAAAAAACTTTTTTTTAATCAACATTGTTCATGTATGTGTACGGATTGTATTTCAGAGTAATCTCAAATCAAGTCAATCATATTATTTTTATGATATTTATTACGAAATGAAATACAAATAAAAAAAAAAAGAAATGTAATTTGCGTATATACTGAAGCAACGTACCCTCGTAAATTGGTACTGTGTGTGAAACTCCATCTCCGCTGTCTAGAACAATGCCTGTGGTGCGTCCTGAAGCGTAAAGCGACAGAACAGCTTGTATAGCGACATACATTGCCGGCGAGTTAAATGTTTCAAACATAATTTGCGTCATTTTTTCTCGGTTAGCCTTAGGATTCAAAGGAGCTTCGGTCAAGAGGACAGGATGCTCTTCCGGAGCGATTCTTAACTCGTTATAGAATGTGTGATGCCATATCTTTTCCATGTCATCCCAATTTGTTACAATGCCATGCTCGATCGGATATTTAACAGTTAAAACGCCCCTTTTGCTTTGTGCTTCATCTCCCACGTAGCTGTCCTTTTGTCCCATACCAACCATGATTCCCTGCAAAGTTCAATTCATGAACTTTAAAACAGTTTCATAGTATAAACTTCCCTCAATATTAAGCGTTGGAATATTAAGTTACGATAAATATAAATATTATATAAAAATGAATGTATACATAAATAAATTTAGTTGACAGTTCATGGCAGGATGATTATATTTAAAAATACTGTTAATTCTACCTGATATCTAGGTCTTCCCACGATGGAGGGAAATACAGCACGTGGAGCATCATCTCCTGCAAATCCTGCTTTGCACATCCCTGATCCATTGTCTACTACTAGGGCTGCTACGTCGTCGTCACACATTTTAAACAAAAAATATTTTTTTTTTGCTTCTCTGTTTCTCTGAAGCAGCAAATAACTTATTTTATTTGACTAGATTTTGCACTGTCTGAACAGTGCATTGACTCTTGTAATATTGTTCCTGCTGAAGAATGGAGTTGTTTTATATTGATGCCCCCTCTTTTACTATCTCTGTGCCTGTATATTAAACAGTTTCTTGCACGTCAATGAACTAGTATACATTTAAGCTAATGTAATGAAGTAATTTTTGGATCTAGCGTATATCACATATTTTTATAATATGTGACAAATATTTTCATTGTTACTTCCTAAGTCCAAGTACCATTTTATTATTTACTACATTTATTATATTGCCTTGCTAGAATTTAATTAAAGAAATTTAATTATAATTATATCAACAATTACATAGTTGCTAAAATCTATATGACAGTTTATTTAAGAAAAACTTGTTGAAATGAATACTTTTCAAAGAAAAAAAAAAGCTAATTCATATTTAATATATGTTAATTTCATACAGAATTTATATTTTCCTGTCTCTGGCAATATTAAATTTTCTTAATTAAATACAATTTGAATTGTCATTGTATATTTCATTTATATTTATGAACAAGTAAATTTTATTAATGTAAGCAAAAATCAACTTCAACGTATCTGTTAAATGGAGCAAAATTTATGTAATAAAAAAATACATTATTTATTGTACATCTGTGTATATTTGTTTGTACATATACGTATTTAAAATTCTAACTTTGTGAATAGTATATTCTTAACTGTTTTATAACTTTTATATATATATATACCTCCATAACTTACAAATAATTTGTTTTTTATAATGTGAGGTGTGTATTCTCTGTGTATTCACAACATATATATGTGTTACAATTTAGTAAATATTTCAGTTTGAAATGCAGTTTGTTTACAATTGAATAGATATATGCATATATCTATTAAAGAAGATCTTATCCAATTATTAAGAATTCTTTTTTAATTTCTTCTTATATAAAAATTCGTAATAGTATTTAAAAAAAAATGTTTATTTTTACTTCAACTTTCACATATTTTACAAATCTCCGATCCATTATCTATCACTACGCTACACTATATATGTTTTACATTGTTTTATATTTATTTAATTTCGGTTTATATATATATATTTATATATAGAAAATAGAAATTTTAGTTTACTGAGCCTCCCAAGATTAACGCATTTTAGAGATTCACGGTTCCATAGAATGACCACTGTGTAGAATCTCGTTACAATCGGTGTATTACATTCCTTAATTAACTGTTCGACTAATGCTTACAATTAGGCCGTGAAATTAAGCATCTGGTTTGGTTTTAATTTGCTGTATATCCTCTTTTCAACCGTTTCTTGAAGTGGAAAAATGATGAAGAATATATTTTTTAATTAAATTTATTGCTAATTATAGAATTTAGTATTATTTTTAGTTACATTTTACCTAAAAATAAACATCACATACGGAAACAAATAAATAACGTCACTTTAATATCACTTTCTGTATTTTTCAAAAATTTGTTTTTTTTTTTAATTGACTAGTTTTTAATTTCTATGTACAGGGTATTTACGGTATAATGGGTGATCATTTTTCTCGTAAGTAATAAGTTTTTGGAAAAAGCGAAAGAATTATAATGTTTTTATGCACACTTGGTGCACTTCAATTTTGTATATTTGCAATATTGTTCAAGTTGTACAATTACAACTTTTTTTCTCTTCCACTTTTTTCAAAACTATTACCATTTATGAAAGAAATATTGACTTCATTGCGAAAAAAATGCGGACACCATGTATACAAACAGCATAAAAATGTAATTAACATTCATTTTTCAATCCATGAATTCTACTTATCCCAAAAACCAATTTCCTTCATTCTCGTTTGAAAATATTTCTCTAAAGCATTAGCACATCGATAATATTCAGTGTCAGGACTATTGTACAAGCGGCAATTGGTGAAAATTCGTGTCATGTCCGCAATAAATAATCTCCTCGTAACGTAATACCTAGCTTTCAGCCGATCGCTCATAGTTTTAAGATCTGAAAAACAAAATTTTTTATTTTTCTCCGTTCCGACACGATTATGATTATGTTTCTGATTCTCTTGTTCCACTCACCCATTGGATATTTAATATGATCATAATAATCGGGCACTTCGTTCTTATCTACAGGCTTTAAAAATGGCCACGCGGTACTGTGATTTTTTACGCTATTTAAAACATTTTTTAACGCATTGTACAACGAGTCAGTAATATCCAAACACGCTTCCATTGGTTCTGGCCCTTGAGTTCCTTTGGCTACTCCTCTGGTTCTGGTCTGAGTGTAACTTTTCCAACCAGTTTCACGAATACCAGGAATAGATTCAACTGGAATTCCCCTGACACCTTCTTTGAAGCATGTCAAACCAGGGTGAACTTTCTGTATCTCTTGCTGCCTCTGATGGATTAACTTTTTAATAATTTCTTTCTGCTTTCGTATGACAGCCGTAAATTCAGTATATACAATTTTTGCATTCAATTCACAATGCATCAGTGTTGCCCCTTCATAATCTTTAATATATCCTTGATACATTGACCGAGGCAATTTTATGTCCTTGCTAAAACCTTGCTTCTTGAAATATCCGATTGCAAATTCGTCAGCAAACGTGAGGAAATGTAATATATTGTTTTTTATATGATAGTCTTTAAGCATGTTCATTAAATGTGTACCGTAACCTTTCACTTGTTCTTGACTCGTGACAGCACAAAATACTATTTCTGTAAAGCCCTGAGTAGGGAACATTCGGAAACAGATGCCACCAATTGGCCGGCCATCTTTTATCAGAGCTAGCGTTTTATGCTTTCTACAAAAACAAAGAAGAATGTTACAATCATAACAATTCTTGAAATTTATTTCACTACGCATGATACTCACGGATCAAAGACTAATTGAGATATATACTCTTTTGGCATTCTAGGCAATTGATGGCTAAATACATTATGTAATCCAATCAACCAAAGCATTGTTTGTTTAGAAACTGGCTGTGTCAAACTATTTCCAACCACGTGGAATTCTATGATCTTTCTACTTTCCTCAATCTTGGCAGTTTCATCTCGCGGGACATTTGGAGGAAATACTGCATCGGGTCCGCACATGTAATTGGGGTCGTTAATAGTCGCTACAATTTCAGCAACTGTTTCCTCTGATAAATCTTCAAAAGTTTCCTCGTTCTTTCTTCTTTTCACATCTGAACGTCCCTCGGAATGTGATCTTTTTTCGTGAATTTTCTTCATTCCAGGGCTTATATTAATTGTCGTGTAATTATCTTTGTCGTTTGGTGGTACTGTGACCTTCTCAAATTCACCTGTTCTTCTTCCTTGATTTGCTTTTGATTCCAATGCGGATTGTAAATAGGTGGGTGGTACTTGCTTGAAATCAGAGTCCCAAATTGGAGAATTATCAGAGTAAATCTCTGCTTCTAACATGGAGAGGAATCTTTAATTGAACAAATACATCAAATGTTAAATGATCATGCCAATCAACGAATAAAGCGCGAATAAACAGAAATTTCTACATACTTAGGGAAATGTGTTAAGACTATTACTCTTTTCTCTGGTGCTAACTTATCTCGTTCACTGTGGCATTTATCCAGCAACTGCCTGGAAACTGGCTTGAAAACAGCTTGTACGAACGTTCGTCCAAAAACCAAAGATGTGTCATAATGAGGCAGGGAATCACAGAATGCCGGTATATGACAAAATACAAGCCAACGGGTATGATTAATTTTATATGCAGGAGCTTCTTCTACACTAATCGTGCCTCTTCTAGCACTGAGCGGATCAAAATTCCAATGATTCAAACAGTGTAGAAACATTTTTGCCATGTCACACATGGCCTGCATGTCTCTTTGTGGCAAGTGACCGTATTTGTACGCAACAAAATTCATGACCGCTTTTGCTATACTAGGTCGTTCGAAGGGTGGCTGCCCTAAAGGACCTTCTATTGTCGGCTTGGTCATAGATTGTATACATTTTCTTAAAAGTTTGTATAAGTAGAAATAAACTTTCTTTGTGTCAGGATCTTCTTCTTTTTGCAACCCCAGAAAAATATTGTCCGCATCTATGACCATGCATAGTAGTTTATTAATCTCCTCCTCAGACTGATTAGTCAAGTGCGAAACATGATTTTCCAAGACATGCTTGCAACTTTGGCAAGGGTCAAAGAAATTTATAACAGGTTGTTGCGTGTCATTTTTGACCTTAGTTATCATCTGGGAGTTCTTCCAGCCAATGCACTTGCAATCATCAACCTTACATGCGCTGTATGTTGCAATTTTTAATATTTTCTTCATTTGTGGTAAGTTTAACATCTGCTGCTTTCTCTGTTGTATTCTTTGCAAGTTGTTCTGTCGACTGTTTTGCTCCTGAGGTCTAACTGTACTTGGTTCTCTACTGTTTCCTGCATGTTGCGACGTGCTAGTCACGCACTGACCAGTCTCCTCTAGAGACGGCAACGCTGAGTTGCGGTTTCCCTCCTCAGTTGCCATATCTTTCCTGAATAAAAGCCAAAAAGATTGTCATTTGAAATCTATATAAGATCACATAACATAAATTGTCTTTTTACATCACAGAATGAAAATGTAAAGAGGAACAGAAAAAAATGTAAATATCAAGCTTATATTGTAATTGTGTGAACAAAAAAATAAACTTATACTTTAAAAAAAAAAATTAAACTTACACTGTAAAATTATTCTATTATTGTATAAAGTATTAATGCATTTACATGATTAGTTGTAAATAGTGTACGTCTGATATGATTAAACGTTATATTTATAAACAACTAGAGAAAAGAACAATAAAATGGCCATAACACCATTAATTTTGTACGTAATGTACGAGTCTTATTTACAATTTACAACAAGTATGAGGTTAAGAAATGAATTGAAATTGAATTGGACCTGTGGCGCCACCAATTCCCTAAACAGAGAATTAATCTTCTCCTTCCATTCAACCATTGAGGATAGGAGTACCATTGGTCAATGATTCAACGTCCGACGAAATTCTGGAATTCTGTTCCCGTGAGTATGAATCAATTTCTTTCTATTACATTAGACAGTATACAGGGTACACAGTTTGCAACGTATTATTGAAATCTTGCCACGAATGTTGTTTCAGTTAAAAACTTCGAACGACCGTACGAACGAGATTTTGATTGCACGCCCTGATTGCGTGACTCGTGCTCGACAGGTCGCAAGCAAAGGACTTCGTTTTCTTTTCCTTCTCGTGCAATATCAGTCGTCTCGTATGTTATTTTTTGCATGATTTTCGAAATACTCGCATCTCTGTATTTCGAGGAACCACACAACTGCGTATGGATTACCGAGGAACTTGATAGAGCGATAAAAGATTTTTAGGAACAACAAGTTAACCATATTTCAGTTTCAGTCATATATATTGGCTACAATATACACAATATCAGAGGAGATTTGAGAAGCATAACTGTTTCATCGTTGGTGCAAAAGATCGCAGAGAAAGGGAAGCATCGTTACAAAAGCTATGGCCACATGGGACGGTTCTTATTTGGGACCGGATGACGAAGACTACTACCAAATGTATGCTGATCAGAATGCATCTGGACCTGCGTCAGGAAATTGGGCATTATTCTCTGATAATATGAGTCATGAGTATTTACAACCTAAACGCGAGTTCTATGTACAAAATGAACGCATGTTTGAACAGAATAGACCAAGTACCTTCTATCATTCGAATGTGAATGTTATGCCAAACTTGGTGGCCACGACCACTAGTTATGAGTATGTAACGAATCCAATGAATACGCATGCATTGAATAGTCAGGAGTACTATCCACATGTTGCCAAACCTGAGCAATGTTATTTGTCCAATGCCTCTTGGAATTGCGATAATGACTTAGAAGGCAACAGAGACAAGTACGATCATACGAAAAGCATCAAAGAACCTTCGGATAGTATAATGAGTCACTCAAAATTACATGTAATGGCCGAGGAGTTTGTGCCAAATAATAGAGAATATGATGATAGGAGCAAAAATGAGTCGCAGAACGTAAAATGTACTAACAATACTTGTGTCCAACATAGTAACAAGATAGTACCAGGTAAATATTTTTCTTGCAACATGAATAGGCATGATAAAAAATACAATAGCAAAAAGAATCCCAATGGTAAGCACAAAGAAGACCAATGTTATAAGAAGTATGCATATGCAAATTACTATCAGCAACATGTCAGGGCTCATAAACTTCAAGGTAATAAGTACTTTATTAATAAGCATTATTCAGAAAACTCGCAAGTAAGTTCCAAATTTCCAAATGAGAATGCATCGGATGAACGTCCAATGAATAATGATGTTGCTTGCAATAGTAAAGAAGATTGTGCAACAAATTCGAATAAAGGAAAATCATCTTCAAATATAAAAATAAGTTCAAATAGACATAAAAATTTATCACATAAGAATAATAATGAAAGAATTATTATTGATGATAATAACGTACAGGATAATAACATACAGGATAGTAATGTACAGGATAATAATGTACAGGAATCCAATAATCTAGTTAAAGAATTTACTTACTATAACTCTGGATTAAAACAGACCTACAATAATCATAGAAATGTAAGGAGATATCAGTACAATGATAGATATAATAGAGAAGGAAATTTTTATAAAGAAAGGCGACATCATTATCCGAGATATGGCAGAGAGAATTGTGGTAAAGAAGATAAATTTAAAGCGAAAGATCAAACGTGCAGTAGTGAAGAATGTAATGAATATAAAGAATGTTTCAACGAGGAAACTGGGTTAGATGCAAAAGAAGCAATAGAGAAAAGGCACAATTATCAGCGATATAATGCATTTAAGGAACATTACAGAGGTAATTTTGAAAATAAACTGGTAATTTTGAAAGAGAAAGATAAAGGGAAATATGTATCTGAAAATAAAGAAAAGGAGAATGAACATTGGAGAAGTAGAAGGAAAATTAATGAAAGAAATAATATTCCAAAACGGGGACAAAATAAAAAATCACTTGTTGGTGAGTGTATACATGAGTTTCTATAATTCTACATTGCGTTATATTTTTAATGTAATAATAATAATTCTGTTATTTTATCGTGCAGATAACGATGCAAGTCAGAGAGAAAGACTAGCAGAACAACTGAATAAGGGTGAATTGGAATGCTTAGTATGTTGTGAATGTATTAAACAGAATGATTATACTTGGTCATGCTCCAATTGCTATCACGTGTTTCACTTAAAATGTATTAAAAAATGGGCAAACTCATCACAAGCTGGTAAACAGTTGATTAGTTGTAACTTTGAAAAAAATTTTTTTATTAAAAAACTGTAAATAATTTTTTGTATATCGTTATTGTTTACATAGAAAATGGTTGGAGATGTCCGGCATGTCAAAATGTTAGCTCAATAATTCCCGACGATTACTTTTGCTTTTGTGGGAAAGTGAGAGCACCTGAATGGAATCGTAGAGATATTGCACATTCTTGCGGCGAAGTTTGTGGTAGAACATTATCGAAAAATGATTGTCCACATAAATGCACCCTTTTGTGTCATCCAGGATCTTGTCCACAATGTACAGCAATGGTAACAAAGTATTGTGGCTGTGGTAGAACTCTACAAACAGTACAATGTAAAACTCATAAATTATTGAAGTGTGATTCTATATGTGGTAAAGATTTAAATTGTGGTAGACACAAATGTCAAAGTAAATGTCATTATGGAGAATGTGCAAAATGTGAAAAAACAATAGAGCAAGGTACATAGTTTATATATGGAGTAGAATTCTGTTTATATGAATTATGTGATTGAAATTTATATTCTTTCCTCTACTAGTGATTTTTCATTCGTATAACAAAAGTATAGGTTCATATAAATGAAATTCTACTGTGACGTAATTTTAAATTAAAGTAATAAATTGTCTGACGATATATTTATTTTTAGCATGTCATTGCGGGAAATTTTCAAATGTATTAATTTGTGAGAGTTATATTCCACCTGCATATGCTTGTGAGGTCATTTGTGGGAAATTGTTGGAATGTGGTAATCACGTTTGTACAAAATTATGTCATCCGGGCGCTTGCAAACCTTGCTCTTTGACTCCTGGGAAAATTACAACCTGTTGCTGTGGACAAACACCATTACCAGATAAAAGACAAACTTGTTTAGATCCAATTCCTGTCTGTGACCAAATATGTTCGAAAAATTTAAATTGTGGACAACCTGGCGAGTATTTCAAGAAAATCCATGGAATGCCTGATATAATATCATAAAAATTTATAATGTAATATATTGTCTGCAGATGACCCTCATAATTGTAAAGTAAAATGTCACGTAGGAGATTGTCCTGTTTGCGATTTAACCACCAATGTTAAGTGTCGTTGTGGAAACATGGATAAAGAAATAGCTTGTAAAGATTTGATATCAAAAGCTGATGTACGATGCGAAAAGAAATGTTCAAAGAAAAAATCCTGCGGCAAACACAAATGTAATAAACGATGTTGTGTGGAAACAGAACATACTTGTCCAGTAATCTGTTCGAAAACGCTAAGCTGTGGAAAGCATCAATGCGGACGAAATTGTCATAAAGGTATTTGATCGCGTTATAATCATCGATTAAATTTGATATTAAATTGTTTAATAAAGTTAGAAAAACTAGGATTTTTAGTAGGAAGGAAGATTGAAAAAATTAGTAGATCGATATGTACTATCAAGTCAATTTTGACCTGTTATTGTATATCAAATACAATTTAATATCACAATGATATAAAATTGTTATGTTAATGTAGGAAGATGTCAACCTTGTTGGCGAACTAGTTTTTACGAATTACGCTGCGAATGTGGAGCTTCTGTGGTGTATCCTCCTGTTCCTTGTGGAACAAGAAGACCCACGTGTGACAAACCGTGCTCCCGTCAGCATTCTTGTGGCCACGAAGTATTGCATAATTGCCATAGTGAACCAAATTGTCCACCTTGCACTGTCCTTACTCAAAGATGGTGTCACGGCAAGCACGAGTTACGTAAAGCTGTACCATGTTATGTGGACGAAATTTCATGTGGTTTACCATGTAACAAGCCCATATCTTGCGGTCGACATAAATGTATTACTATTTGTCATTCCGGACCATGTGAAAAACCGGGCCAACAGTGTACTCAACCTTGCACTGTTCAAAGAGAAATGTGTGGACATATCTGTGCTGCCCCGTGCCACGAGGGTAAATGTCCAGATACACCTTGCAAGGAAATGGTTAAGGTAATTAATTCATTTTGTTCATAAAACAATATTTATGATTTGATGATGCGTAAGATTTTTGCAGTTACAAGTTTAGAGTTTGTATCGACATGTTGGCTTCCTAAGTTACTAATAAAAATCAATTTTCACATATAGGTGACGTGTCAGTGTGGGCATAGGACCATGTCACGTGTTTGTGCCGAAAATTCCAAAGAATATCAAAGAATAGCAAGTAATATATTAGCCAGTAAAATGGCTGATATGCAATTAGGTCATTCCTTTAATTTGGAAGAAGTATTCGGCCAAGGAGTAAAGAAGCAGAATCAGTTAAAAACTTTAGACTGCAACGACGAATGCAAAATAATAGAACGAAATAGAAGATTAGCGTTGGGTTTGCAAATTGTAAATCCGGATTTAAGTGGCAAATTAATGCCTAGATACAGTGATTTTATGAAACAGTGGGCTAAAAAGGATCCGCATTTTTGCCAAATGGTCCACGAGAAATTAACGGAATTAGTTCAACTAGCAAAGACCTCTAAGCAAAAATCACGCAGTTATTCCTTTGATAGTATGAATAAAGATAAACGTCATTTTATTCATGAATCTTGTGAACATTTCGGTTGTGAAAGTCAAGCATATGATCAAGAGCCAAAAAGAAATGTTGTTGCAACTGCTGTTAAAGATAAGGTAATTCATTTCTTTATGTTTAACTAGTACGATTAAACACATGATTTTAAATTTCTGATTTTGTGTTAAAATTTATTACAGTGTTGGTTACCTAGCTATAGTTTATTAGAAATTGTGCAACGGGAGAATGGCCAGAGAAAAGTTCCAGGTCCAATGTTAAATACTACAAAAACTGATGGATCTGTAAAGTAAGTGATGCTGTACAAAATAGTTTATTTAAACCTAAAATTAAATTCTTTTATATTTTTAAATAAATCAACAATGGGTTTATATATTTATTTCAAATTGTTTATTTGTTCAATTCAGGACAATATTATCACTGCCTGCGAAGAAATTCCAAAAATCAGAAACGCCATCAACCATAAAGACATCAGAACCAGAAATAGATTATTTTGATTATAAAGGCTAAGATTAGACTATATCCCTGTATTGTGTAAGGGGATGTAAAGTAAAGTGTAAGTAATATAAGTAAAATAATTAATACTATAGTTAATAAAAGTACTGTTAAATATAATTGATTGAGTAAACATTTTAATAATACTTATTCTTTATTAACATTTTTCTGAATTAAATTTAAATACAATCATCGAGTTAATTAACATTGATGAAAACAGAGAAAATCAATTTAGTTTATTAGTTACACTGTCAAAATATATACAAAATTTAAATGTGAATGCAAAAAAATATATGTACTTGCTAATTAATGAGTTTTATTTTAATTCTTATAATCTTTTTTCAGATAAAATAAGTACAATTACATTTATATAGATAGTTATAATGATTTTATAATAACATTATGAATATAATATTTCATTACTATTAAAAACTATATTTTTAAGGTTTACTCAGCATGCAATAAAAAAAAACTTTTCTGATAAAAATTACTACAATATATGATTCTATTAATAAAATAAATAGAATTAAGAAAAAAAGAGTATTTTATTCTATTCTAATTTAATTTCTTGCATTTTATACATTACTCGAATTTTGGTAAATACAATTTTATACTTAAATGTATAACCATACATAATATATACTCCCTGAAATATTTAAGGAATTAAATGTATAAGGGGAAGTGATCTTTAAATTAATTAAATTTCTTTGTTTTGAACTTTTATTATTGCGTAAAATTTACGTTAAATTTTAGACGATAGAATAGGTTTTTTTTTTTTTTTTTTTAATAATCTAATCTTCGTCGATAAAAATAGTGGTTTATTGTGTACTATTAAGTTGAAACAGTACCGATCAGTATAGTTAAAATAATATCAATCATTACAGTACACTGGATTGTATATAAATATCGATTTATATTGATAATTCTAAAGGATATAATTTATATGAGTCAATCTTTGTAAACATTAAATATCCGTAACATAAGTATTTGGCACATCAAACATTTATCTAATATGATTTTCCTAAACAAATAGTGAGACCTTTCATGCTTGTGTAAGTATGATTATTTATTTTGCTCCACATTTCATGATGTATTTTAATACTAATATACTTAATTCTGCAAACCTAAGTTTTAAAAATAATACACAATAAGAAGAATAATTGTTTTAAAGATGCAACAAAAGAATTTGCATAGGTTTGTGTTTTTTCTTTCTCGCGCTCACATGCACACACATAAGTATTATTTTTATTGAAATGTTTCAGTCATATATCTTTAAATAATAATATCACCGTTTTACGATAATCAATGTTATTAAAAATATAAAAATATGTTAATATAATGATAATTAATTTCATGATATATTATCAAGTGATACTTGCTATTACTAGAACCTTAATTATAAAAACTATTTAACTTAAAAGAATGTAGTACATATATTGAAATAATTTACGTGAAATTAAGTGGTAAACATATTAACATGTAATCTTTTACTAATAAATAATAAAATTTTCCAGTCTCTTATCTCATAAGGTACGTCGTTACTTGACACTTACATAAGCGTAAAATGGTCTCCTATTCTAGACACAATTGCATATCACATATAGGATCACAACACTGTTACAGTTTGCATTTGCAGATAGGTTAATTACACATTAGTTACAAAGATCTCTTGTTAAACATTTGTTAAATCTTCAATAGTAGGGCACTTTGAACTTGAATTGATATTATTACTATTAATTCTCAATTGGTGCATTAGATAAGTGGAATAAAATCTTATTTATGAGTGGTTTATATCTACTAATACAATATCTTTTTATATACAGATTTCAAGTTTTTCTTTTCAGAAACAATAACTCTTTTCTAAAGATTCATTATTCCGTATTCAATATAAAATATTCTCTTTCATAATCAATCTCTGACGTAATCTTTCTGAATGGAACAGAAGGAATTAAAAACATTATCAAAATAATGTATTCAAAAACTAATCTAATTTGAAGAATAAAAACATTTTTCATTTAAAATATATTCTTTAGAAGAATATGTCTTGTGTAAAATTTCTCTTTAGAAATATAGTATATAGTATACCTTTATATTTAAGTTATTAGAAATGAATATAGCATGTCTCAAACAATGAGACATACTGAGCATATTGATCTATTGCTATATTCATTTTTTTTTTATTTTTATTTTTTCTATCAATAAAATTAGTATTCTTAGTATTCTTTCATTAAGTTTAATATTCTTTCTTTAAATTAAACTTAAATTTAGTATTTGTAAACTAACGCTATTTATTTTTTAAAATGATTATGTATTCTTTTCTTCTTCCTTGTAATATTATAAATTAATTGTCATTATTTTTATCAATTTTAGAGCATAAAGTCGAATAAAATAAAATATTTTAAAAATATTCAGTTTGATATTTCAATTCATTGATTTTTAACTTTGTATATAAGGGTCATATTGCTTCATATATAAGGGTTATTACCTCTTTTCACATGTATATTATAATTAGGGTAACTGCTTAAATATTGATGTCGTGGGCTTACTGATGGTTGCTTGGTAATACTCGCCATTGCCCAACCCATGATCAATTCTAAACCTCTGCACAAAGTTTGATAGATAAACCAAGGCCATGGTTTAGGGTATTGTGTGATAGATAGGGCACCATATTTCCCAGTTTCAGCTAAAAGTCCTGTATTCAAAAAAAAAATTCTTTTCAATCTATTTTCATCCCTTTTTTTTTCATTTTTTTTTTTTCAATCAAATTTATTATTGTATATTTATAATAATCCGGTATTTAAAATATTTTGTAATATTAAATTACCGTACGGTCCGAAAATACGTGCTACATCTGTAATGCATAAAATGATTCCTAAAATTGCGGTTGCATATGTTACATTTAATACTTTTCGAATTTGCGATCTTCTAACTGCCGCTGTATTTGCTTCTAACATATGTAAAGGCGTGTCGGATTTAGTTCTATTGACGTATGCAATATGATGTAATATTGAATTAAGCGTAAAATCATTATTCTGCGAAAAATGTAAAATAATGTGATAGAATAAAAAGAAATTATTAGCGGGTAAATATAATCGTTTTTATATTAAACATTAAAATGAAATGGAAATACCCCAATTTTTCCATCAATCTTGGTATTTTCGGGAAGCAATGTAGTCTCGACAGTGATATCCTCGACGTCTTCTTTCTCGTTTTTCCAAGATAAATTCTTCTTTCGCACTTTTCCATCGTCATCTTTATCTTTGCTCTTTTCTGTCATTAGAGCTGCTTTCTCGCTACAGTCGGGCTGATCCGAGTCAGATTCAGATTTTTCTTGTATCTCTATTTTTTCAGGAACTATGTTACGACCGTGAGTTGGACTTCTGCTCAGGGTTCTAATACTAATCTCGCTACTTCGGCGATTTAGATCCAACGGCTTGACTTGTGCGAGTTCCGAATTACGCCGGAAGGAGATATCGGAATTTCTGCGTAGTTCTGTTCGAGAACTAAAACCGCTAATATCTGAATTGCGTCTCGAGCCTAAAATACAATCTGGCTAAATGTTTGTTTATATTGCGATTGACTTAACTTAACGTTTGGCTTTTTTGTCTACCTGTTGGGCTTAGATCCACGACTTTTGGCAATTTATGATGATCAGTTGGGGGTAACATTCGCCTTGGTGTTCTATTTCCAAAATCGCTATTCCTTTTCAATTTAGCGGCAAACTGAGAGCTTCGATTCTTCTCGTGAGAAAAGTCAGAGCATCGTCTTAAGTCTCGGACGCTTCCCAAAGGTGTTACGTTCTCGGAATATCTTCGAGAGATTCTGTCCGGAGAGCGTCTCCTATCAATCTCGGGCGAATGTTTCGGACTAAAGTCAGAATTACGTCGACATTCCGATGTGAAACCGTCCTCCTCGTTTATGAATCTAACACTGCATTCTGAATTTCTACGAGAAGATTTAGACGCGTCGCTGCTTCGTCTACTAGCTACGGAACTTCTACGGCTTGGACTGGATACTGTTATTATAGGTAAATTAGTTGTCGATGGCGTAGGCGTTGGAGGTCTGACATATACTTCCGGTACCGTTGACATGGGAACTGTTTTCTCCTCTTGAGACGACATACTCTTACAGGAAGATTTGTCACATTCTTTTTTCTCTTGTTCCTCCTTTTCGGCTATTTTCATAAGTCGATCTGACGTTGAAATAAAGAAAAGAAAAGTATTACAAAAGCTTCTATGCTTGTGTTTTCTTTTATGTTTTACCTTTAGGGTTTTTCTCAGGATCGTTTGTAAAAGTTGCAGGTTCTGTTATTTCTGCATCCTTTATTTTGGGATTGAGCAAAGTAGGTACTAAGGCAGCAGCAACAGATGATGCTAAGTTATTGTAAGGAGCTAACATTGCCAGTTGCATAATACCTAAAATAATGACTTGTAATTAATATGGAACATTCCTTTGTAAATGATGTCATTTAAATAATTATTTAAATAATATCTCCTTTATTGTTATGATTTTAAAGAAATTGACGTTAGTTTACAGAAACAAACCTTTCTGATGTGTGTTAGAACTATCTCTCATTAACATGCTACTTGGCACAGTTTGCAGTAAATGAATTATCTTATATCCTGCATGCAGGAATGTTAAGTATAGTAAGATACTCCAGATAAGGAACACTGTTTGGACCACATATTTTACCATATAACAGTTGTGGGAGATAAGAGCAATATCACTAGCAATTACAAAAAAAAAGTGTCCTGTTATGATTAAGCTAAGACAAGATTCTTTTTGAATTTTTTCTGGTCCAAATTTGAGCTGAAAACATATATATTTTATTGTATACATGAAATTGGTTTTATTTAATATTTAGTTTCTGTCAGAGCAATGCAATTACCTGAGTTAATTGCAAAAAAGCCAGTTGAATAAGACTAAAGGCAGATGTTACACAAGGAAATCCAATATCCCACATTATGGATCCAATAATTTTGGGCATAACATCTTTAAGATTGTACGGATCTATGAAGAGGCATGCTGCTCTTGATGCTCCAAGTATACATAAAAACATATTAATTGTAGACATAAAAGGCCGGCTTGATATGAGTGATCTAAAAAAAAAAAAGGATATAATGTCTTTCCACACTTCTGTAATTTTGTATCTTTAGTATAGAATATAATATCATACCTTAAGTGTAGAATAGATAAAAATGTGTAAAATGAAAGTATAAAGAAGAGACAGGCGAAACCATATGTATGTAAAAGAAAAATCCATTTTAGCTCTTGATTTATTGATACCAATGACGGAGTAATGATTAGTAATTTGTCTAAAATTGAAGATGTTGACAAGTTTGAGAGACAATTTTGCCCAGGTATTGGTGTTGATAATGATACATTTATACCTATTGGTAAAGCAGAAGCGATTGAATCATTATCAGATATAAGTTGAAGAATAAGAAATAATTAATAATAAAATTGATTTCTTTTTTTTCTTATTATGTCACACGTATGTTTAATCACACCTGTTATGGAGAATTATCTCCATTTATATATATGGAGATATAAATGGAGATAATTCTATATATATATATATACATTGTATTGCTTAAAAAGGAAAGAAAAAAAAAAGGTAAACTACTAGAATATAAGAACTAACCACGGGTCCAGTTAGTCAGCTTATCCATAATCTTTGGATTGATATTCACAGCACATCACTAACTTTTTTTTAATACATAAATACACAATTTTTTTAAAATTCAAATGAATAACTTATCCCAACAGCGAACTTTGAAATGTGGCTGCAGCAACAGGCGTTGCGTATAGCGTAGCCCGATTAACATCCCTTCTCCAATTCGTGGATATACACGGTTCCATCCATTCCTCTCACCCTTTTGCTAGAAATATTGATTTTACACAAAGGATGATTGGAGGGAGAATTCAGACTATCCTAAGCTTTACGCTTGTCCATTGTTTATCTTTGGAACATAAATAGAGCATTACTAAATTTATCAAATCAATTTCGTCTTATTATTTATTATTATCTTGTTGTTGATACATATAGAATTTCGCTATTTATAAGCTTTGCATCTTTCAATTATAAATTATTATAAAATGCAAAGTCGTTTCTTTCCGGCACTGAAAATTTTTTGATTTATAAGTTGATCGAAAATTCTATGAAATGAAAATTTGTTTTTCCATTTCCAGCCTGGAAGTTCTAAGATATCTTTACGACTGCTTGTTACTAAAAATTATAATGATTATTATGTTTTACATATAACACACGTGAAATGGTAGAATTAATGAAAATTTATTTGAATTTAACTTAGCCACAATAAATGATGAATAGTGATGTAAGCTATTCTATATTTAAATCAGTTAACTTTCATGTCTCTATTGAATGAATCTTTTTGATTACAATAAGATATATCGATTTATAACTCGTAACGGTAATAAATTGTAAATTTATTATTTCGTATAGAAATATACATATACTAAAATATTATGAAATTTGACATGGTCTATTTATTGAAATTTAAAATAAATTTACCAAAAGCATTAATAATTATTATGAAACAACTTGAACTTTTAATAATAATAATAAAATTACAAAATTATTAAGTAAATAAGAAGTACAATATTAAATACCAATTACTCTTTACATTCTGCATTCTGCCTTTGCAATTAAATTTACGTTTTAAATATGGTATTAAATATTATAAATTGACTTGCCTTAATAGTAAATTGTTAGATAATAAGCCAACAAACAGTTTAAAGATGAATTTTTCTGTAATTATCTATACATATAAATGCAGTGTCTGCGTACATGACAACGATGAACATTACGTTATGACTTTGTGTATGTAAATAATAATAAGCCGTAGCAGTCAATGAAGTTGACACGCTCTAACTGCAATTAATTGCAAAAGAATAAATATGGGGCTTAAAACTTCCGAATATTCTAGAGGGCTTTGTCCTGATAACTTCTTACAGAGGAGATATTTAAAAACAAATATTAGTAGTAGCAGTATTAGACTCCATAACGCTCTTAAGATAGCAGTTTTAATCATTCCTTCCATATGCATTCTTATGAAAATAATTGCGCAGAAATAAGTATTCAGACCGTCTGCAACAAAAAGTGGTGAAAATACTATCCACCATCCTGTATGGCCCAAGAAATAATTGTCATCCAACTTAAGAGCTAACAACACTGTGAAAATTGTTAGTGAGACTAAATTTATCCATATTTCAAAAATTGTCAATCCCAGCCAGTGTACTAATTCATTTAACGAAAATATCATTTTAAAGGGATTAAATATATCTGAGACAAATTATTAATTTGATTTTATATTTTCATTTGTCATATTATAAGTTGTCCTTTGCTATTTGTCATAAATTGTTTTTGTTAACAAGTCTTGTGCAGTTTCTCAAAAGATATACTTCACTCTTGGTATTTGAGGGTACCTAGTGAAAATTTTCGAAATACACGAATATGTACAGCTGAGTTGTTTCGATTAATTGTTACATAATCTCCGTTATCATCAACAGGTTCAAGATCATCTGAAATAAATACAAATCTGTTAGCGTAATATTTAGTATTACGAATATGGTTCTTATTGTGTAATATTTATATACCAATAATAGGTACTGTAGAAGTCTTGATATCTAATTCTACGGTATTATAATGATTCTCCTTTAATTGTAAAGCCAACCTGCATGCTCTTTCTATAGCAGCACCAAGGCCATGAATAATCACTTCTGATGCACCGTTGCTCAAGTCCTTTTCACATATTCTCAATTGTGCCTTATATATCATAGAAATATAAAAAAAAAATCATTAATAAAAGTCAAAGAAAAAAACGGTGTAATTACTTCATTAATAATTTACATAACTGTAAACAATGAGCTATATCAATACAGAATTCTAGATGTAAGTACAAAAAGTAAATGACAAATTGAGTAAATTCTCTAATTACATATTTATATCTTTTGTTCAGTAATAACAGATAAAAAATCATAGTAGGAATTAGATTTTATTTTCGAACTTATTAACAAATGGCAATGTTCAAAGTATATAAAGGTTATAATCTCATAATAAAAATTACCTTAAAGTTTGTATTGTTAGTAACGTATATGTCTTTATTTTTCCGTTTCTTCCTTGTATCAAAAGGTTGCCTCTTTCTAATATTATAATTGGAAAACAATAACTTTTTACGTTTCACGGTTGGAGCATTTCTCTCTTCTGGAAAACTCACTTTCAGCTTGGGACATTCGTGCACAACTTCGGCCATTCTGACAGATTCTGCATGCAAATTTTGTTGATTTTTTACCTGTAAAGAAACGGTTCGATTAATAGGACTCTCTCTTTTATCAAATAGGAGAAAATTATTAAACTGACTATGTAAGAATTGAACGGTGATTATCGAATCAACTGTAACAAAGAAATATAACCTTGAAAACCAAGAGCATCGATTGACGGACGTTTCGAGTGCGATTTAGTGCATTGTACTGGAAAGAAGTAACACTTTGTTTTAACACGAAATACGAGATTTCTATACCATGAAGGAACCAGAAGTAGACCCCAAAAATATTATAAAAAGCAGGGAGCTTCTTTACAGGCTTATGATCAGGTTATGTATTCCCGTTTTTTGCACATATGTAAATTATCATTTAGTCACTTGAAACAGTGAAAGCAACAATCGGTAATAGTTGCTCAAATTATTAGAATTACCAAAAATTATTTGCAATTATCCGTACACTTTTTTTTTAATAAATTAAAGCTTGTTACTGACGTATAACAAACATTTTAGCCAATTGTTCTACGATGGACACCAGACGTTGGCTGTACAGCTGTCAAATGTAATTCAAGCAGAGCCACCATGCCCTCCGTCCGACCGTTTGCTTCATTTAATGTTAATCGGACTGGCACACGAACCAGACCGTTCTAAAAAGGATACTAGTAATTTATCCTCTTTCACGTCGACCTTTGATAACACTTTGGGACCTGGCTTGGACTTAGAATTTGAGACTGAGGCTCAAACTCAAGCACCAGAACCAGCGCAGTATGAGACTGCCTATGTGACTTCGCATAAAGGAAATTGCAGAGCTGGGGCATTCTCTGCAGATGGTCAATTGATTGCCACTGGATCTGTTGATGCGTCGATTAAAATCTTAGACGTAGACAGAATGCTAGCCAAATCTGCGCCAGATGAAATGGCACCTGGTGATCAAACAGGTGGTCATCCAGTTATAAGAACATTGTACGATCACTTGGAGGAAGTGACGTGCCTGGAGTTTCATCCAAGAGAACCTATCCTTGTATCCGGAAGCAGAGACTTTTCTATTAAGCTGTTTGATTTCAGTAAGGCCAGCGTTAAAAAGGCATTCAGAACTATTACGGATGCAGATCAAATACGATGTTTATCTTTCCATCCAACTGGTGACTTTTTGGTTGTTGGAACCAATCATCCGGTAGTTAGACTATATGACGTAAATACGGCGCAGTGTTTTGTCTGTAGCATACCAAGTCATCAACACACAGCTGGAATAACTAGTATTAAATATTCTCCCGATGCGAAGACTTACGCATCAGCTGGTAAAGATGGAAGTATCAAATTGTGGGATGGTGTGTCAAATCGATGCATAAATACTTTTGTAAAAGCACACGATGGTTATGAAGTATGTTCAGTGACTTTCACAAGAAATGGAAAGGTTTGTACTTGAAATATTTATCTGTCAAGTAGTAAATTTGCATATTAAGTAATCGATGCATAATGTTTTAAATTTCAGTATTTACTATCATCGGGGAAAGACTCTTTGATTAAATTATGGGAACTGTCTACTAGCAGATGTTTAATAGCGTACACAGGTGCTGGAACTACAGGTAAAATACCAAAGCGCTAAGTGCATTTGCAAAATATATGCAAAAAGAAATTAAGTTTGTTCTTCGTTTGTTATCGTACAGAATTACAACATGATTAATCTATGGTTTTTAATAGGCAAACAAGAACATAAAGCTCAAGCTATTTTTAATCATACCGAGGATTATGTAATGTTTCCCGACGAGGCAACAACATCATTGTGCGCATGGAATTCTCGAAACGCATCTAGGAAACAATTACTATCACTAGGACACAATGGTCCAGTGAGATTGATCGTTCACTCTCCAACCGCTCCAGCATTCTTAACGTGCAGTGACGATTTCAGAGCAAGATTTTGGTTCAGAAGAATGCCGACTCATTAGATCGGCATTTATACAAAAACGAATGCCCGTTGTGAACTGTCTTGAACTTAAATTTGGTAATATAACTTTAGACGTGATTGTCACGGTAGCAGTCGTTTGGAACATTGAAAGAAAAGTATCGGATAATGATAATGATGGAAAAAACTGTACAAAAAAAATCTTCAACGATCAGATGTTTAATTGCCATGCCCTGAAACGATGTTAAACAACGATACGCCCTAATTTTATATCATTGTACATATTCATTCCGCTCTGCTTGTTTTTGAAGTAAAAAGACAACAATGTCGGTTTGTTTTGATATCTATTTTCACCGATGTCAATGTTATTAATAGGTGGGTTTCCTATAAATGACGCAGTTGCTCGCACGACCGTTAAATCGTTTTGACTATAGAGACTGGTAATTCTTCGTTTCTCGTATTTACAAGTACGAGAATCAACGAATCCGAGGATGACATTATAAACGTACAACGTGAGGTGTCCCGATGGTCCGGCAGAATTACTCGGAGGTTTAACTTTTTCCACGATACCGCCGGGAATTTAGTAATCAAGCGTTTTTCTTCCGTTAAAGAGAAATTTGAAGAAAAATTTATTTCGTAAAATCGTAATGGATCCTGTCGATGAGATCGAGAGAGACGTCGACAGAGTCGAATTAAGAGTCAGGGGATGATGACGACGACGATGACGAGGAGGAGGAGTAATAACAAAGTGAGGATTAAACGAATGAATTTAAAACGTTCCATACGTTATGCGTCGCTACGTGTCGAATTGCTCGGTTAATCGCAAGGCGGCGCTCTGAACTCCCGCTCTGCGTTTGACGATGTGTCACGTGACCCACGCTACCCGCCATCTTTGCTTATCGTATAAACAGTGCGACCGGGTTCAGCACGAATTCTTCTTGAGAAACCGCGGGTTTTCCAGTGTTTTTGAGTGATTCAGTTACGAAGAAATGTCCGAGATCAAGGCGGAGAGCAAGAACGACAACAACATCGAGGATGTGTCGAAGGTAAGCGGAGAGAAGCGCGAGAAATATCTTCATCAAGCCGAGTTTTCATGCTAAGGCGGCGTGTTGCGCCCCTCAAATATGAGAAGACGCTCGTTCTCTCGAAAATTCGATAGAATAGCCTGTGCTACGACGAGGGGACGTTGTTTGGCGAGTGATTGCGCGATGCACGATGCTGCACAGCTGAAGGACACGGACGCCTTTTGCCGCGTAGCCACGGGCCCAGTGATTTTTCAAAGCTGCGCCGTTTGTCCTTCATTGGCAAAGATGGTGGATGTTTTTTATTTGTACCTCTCGTGACGAAGGGACTCCCTGGTTAACGGCAATAGGCGTGTATCGAAAAAGGCGGGAAATAGATTTCGGCCGCAGGACTATCTGTCACGCGGTTTTCTACGAAAACTCACTCTCTTTTAGGAACATCGTTCGATGCTACAACGCTAGAAATACATATCGACTTGGCAAAATGGCGGGAAACTTAAACAAACTTGTCGTATACTCCCGTGTAGATCAACGATCCCTAATAATCTTATCACGGTTGTAATTATCATCATGTTTGTGCATTTTGACACAATTCTTAAATCAGCCGTCGTTTAACGTCCTTTTCCTTTTTTTTCATCGACCATTTTACATGTTATGCGATTGCAATTATTCAACGACGTGATGAATTTCCATATATTTCGCCATGAGATGTAACGCAAGAATGAAATATTTTCAGGACCATTCAGCAGAGGAGAAACCAAGTCCAACGAAAAATAAACGGGGAGGAACGAAAAGACTCTCCACACTAGAAAGGTTGGCTCAAGAAGGAGAACGAGTCACAAAGGTGTGTTTTGTTTTTTTTTTCGTTTGTATCCCCCCCCCCCCCCCCCAATCTTTTGTACGTTTTACATTTGTTCTTTCAAGATCAGATTATTATACAATGAAAATTAGTTTTGTCGAAAAATTTAAAAGTGCCTTCAAAATCCAAAGAGTCAAAGTTTTACCCCTTTGGTTCCTTATTTCCCTCCATTTAATCTGTCCCGTAAACATTGCCTACGGGAGTAGAAGGGTGTTCAGAGTGGGGATGTGAAGGGGTTGGAGTAGAGATGGAGGGGAATTCTGTTAGGTTTGGAGGGGGAAGGACTAACACACGTTGTAAACTTCCCACCGTCAGTTGTAAACTTTAATATTAAAAATTCGTATTCGTGACTTTTTTTTGTTATTACTTTATTATTTACATTTTTAAAGATCATATGGTCGTGTAATCGTTGCAATAGAAAAAATAGACCGTGGATTTTGATTTGTATTTTTAAATTCATTACGTTTAGAGTCACAGTTAATAGCGAATGATTTTCTATTACAGGATTTAAATGCTTCTGTTGGAGAAGTTGAAGGGAGGAGGCGTACACGTAGTTCAGCACGAGGCCTTACCTCATCGACACCTGTGCCATCGCCACCTAAGAAAGAAAAGAGGGACACATCGACGAAAGGTAGTGGTCGTGGACGCGGGCGTCCAAAACGACAAGAAAAAAATAATGACAATAATACAGATGAAGAAGCAGCTAATAATAAAAGCGAAAAGCATTCCGAAGAAGAATCTATTAAAATAGATGTTGATGAACACAAAGAGGATGCAGAAAAATTGGGAGATAGCGAGGACAAGGGCGTTACAAAATCCGAAAATAAAGAAGCTTCTGACAAGGCGCTTGACTCTAATTTCAAAGAGGAGAAAGTTACGGAAGAATCGGAAAACTTTGCGGAAGAAAGTAAGAGTTCTAGTATCAGTGAAGAGAAAAAGGAGGAGGACATAAAGGATAGCTCGGATTCGAGTCAAGATGCAACAGACACAACAACAGAAGCACCACCTTCATCTTCATCAGAGTCTCAAAATCCCTCTAATGCTACTACTACCGAAGAACACAAGGAATAACCTTCTTTCGCCTGATTACCAACATCATGTAAGCACTTCTTTCTTTTTTTTTTTTACAATTGATTATTTGATTCGCCACCAGCATTGATTAGACTTTTGTTTAAATAAAGTTCCAGTGGAGAAGAACGAGAATGTATGAATCTTGCAAAGAAAATACATAACTAGTTTTGTGTATTTATAGTCTTGAACTTTTGAGAATATGCGAATAATTGTAATTGTTATTAACAAAAATATGAAATGTTACAAATATATATTTGTATTTAGTTATGGCTTATGAGATAGGAGATTTTCTATCTTTCCATGCATTCTCAGTCTTTTCAGTTGGTATATGAATGCATAGTATAGTTATTTAACAATATGAAGTATGAATGATATTATAAAACTTGTATAGATTTTTATAAACTTTAATAATGTCAGTACATGATTGGAAAGCAAATTGAATCATAGAGAGCATTGTCAAAACGTAATTATAGCTTGTTTAGAAGCAAAGACTTTGTTATAAAATATTGATTTTACTGTAGCAGGTACCAGGGCGGCGCACACATTGGGGTTACAAATCCAGTCCCCTCGTCTATTTTAACAAATTGACACCTTCTTGCCAATCGTGATCCTAATCAGCGTACACGAGCTATTATTTCCCTTTTTAATTCGCAGATAAAACAAAAAAGGTTAATGTTATTCATTCATCGTCAGGATAAATATATGTCTAATTAGCGTATTTAATGGTATTGGGAGTGTACCACAGAGTAATTATTTTATTTAGTTTTACTTTGAGAGAGAGCGAGAGAAAGAGAGAAAGAGAGAGAGAAAGAGAGAGAGAGAGTGTAAAATTACTCGTTGTGCACTGATTAGTTTGCGATGCGAAAGCGAGGTGTAAAGCGTACGTTGTTCATGTACAATGATAATATTATTGTAAAATATATTTAATATGGACTTATATAGACAAGTTGTTTTCAAATCAGAGCTGAGGCCGGAGTCTTTAAATACCAGTCTTCAATTCAGATCTGATATGGAAGTAGCTGAAATTCGTACATAGTAAATTACTGTAATACCTTATCTTATATAAATAATGACTGAATGAAATGGAATATATGAGAATTATGGTGAAACGACTTCTCTTTTTTCATAAAATGCAGAAATAAAATTTCTGAGAAACGCGTCGTAGCGTGATATCAATTCTCCTTCCTCGCATAATAATGTTACTAATATCAACCGGTTCTTCGATTTTTCATATTTTAAGTTGCATATTTTAATTATCTGACTAACACTTTAACGGGACGACAATGCTTTGTTTCTATCTTTCGAATTGAGGAAAGAAGGAAAAAAAAAAAGGGCAACAACGAAAACGTGAGATAAACGTTTGAAATAACGTGCATATGTATTTTTTTTTTGTGACAGAATTCTGCAGCAGTTCGGTGTTTTGTAATGAATGTAAATCTTTTTATTAAGTATCCCCTTCTTTTCATTTACAATGGTCCAATATTAAATATGTTGATATTATTGTGTATTTGAACGGTTGTGAATGTACAGATAGATTATATAATTCACTGAATTATGATTAAAAGGTTCACAAATCTTAACAAGATATAGAAATGGAATGATAAATCTAATCATTGAACGCTCGAAAGTTCGAACTTGTGTGCAATTAAAGAAACAATTTGTTTCGATCGCGCTTTACATACATATCGTTTAGGTCACGCGAATGTAAAATAACTCATTCCTTTTCCTTCTTCCTTGATGTCCGTTGCAAAACTTTCGAACAGATTTCTTGAAACAGATTTATCGAGCAGATTTTGAACTCGAGCGTTGTCGAGGTAACTGACAGTGTTTGTAAACAAAAAAAAAAAGGAAAGAAAAAGAAAAAAAGACAGAGAGGAAAATGGTCTCAGCCGAGTCGCTGCTTGCTTCTAATAATTATTTCTATCGTAAGGGAAAATAGGATTTGCCATTCCATGTATTTTTTCTTTTTCTTATCGGTAGCATGACGAAACACATCGTCGATTTTCGCAAAAGATTAAAATCAAATGCGATACGCGTGTACATAGTTAAGGTTAAGCTTCGTGTGTGGCAATTGATCTTATCTTCGACGTGGTAGCGTGAAGGATTGGAACGACGTGTGCCAGCGTGAGCATCCTGTTATAGAAAATATAGAAAATATAGCTGAAACATATTTTTTTGCTAATTCAATCAAAAATGAATCTTTACGATACGCATCACGTTATATAAATTAAAAACATTTAGCCCTTTTTAAGAGAGTAAACGATACATTTATTTTATCTATATATAAGTATGTAAAAATGATTAGCATTTATGAGGAAAAAGTGTCTACGAGGTTCGATATTAGAATTTTTACGATATGTGTGTGTATATACACATATACATGATATATGCGTATACACTATTTTAGTTATATACATTTTAGCTGTATATTATTCTTGTTATAAAGTAGAGAATTCTTACCGGTCTGAACTTTATGCTTCAGCTCTTGTAACGAATGGCTTAAAAAAAAAAAAAAGAAAGGAACAATTGGTTTTTCTTTGGTTTGACGAGACTCGAATCATGTTTTATCATGAACAAATCGTCAATGTTGATTAGTCGAGAGGAGCAGGTTATTAAATATTTAAGTTTTAGTATACAATACTCTCAACGCAGTTAACAGATGTTTTCACATTACTGTACATTTATTGTGCGCTGTTCCTGACCGTATTTGGACAACTAAATTCGAAGCATTAGATATGTGCGAGCATTTGTGGATTTATGCAAACCTTTTCTTTGAGATTTTTTGACGAGAGAACAACCATAAATTAATTAATATCGCTTGACCAATTTTTAACATTAAGTTTGCAGTACAACGAACAAAATGGAAAATATGGAAAATATATATTCGGCGAAGTGTAACGTATCGGTAGATCTCGCAGATATCTAAGAGAAGTGAAACAGTTAAAACAATTATCGAGAAATGTGTTTAGAGGTACGAAAATTGAACAGCCTAATAGGCGTAATATACAGAAATGGCAGGACGATTCCACAAATGAAATTCAGATATTACTCTTTTGATAGATAGATTGCGTTCAATTTGAGTAATCGTTTGAGAGCTGGAGTTTCGGGAAATATTAATAAAAATCAGGATGAGACAATGATCGTGTACAACCAGTATGTTGATTCTGATAAAGTTCGACATCTTTCTTAAAAGTATTCAACGAGAATCATTAGCATTTCTCACGCACGTTTTAATCTCGCCTATAAAGAAAAACTGGAGAGAGAATTATCAAATAACAAATAAACGAATTTTGAGCATATTTACGTTATCGTCCCGTCATCGGTGTCGTTCTGTGCTGAATCATTGACCAAAGTCGGTCGATAACGTGGTTTTGGCAATCGTGATTATCGACGGCCAACAACGTCGATTTCGCTGATTCCCGGATTAATCGGCGCTCGATCGCCAGATGGCGAGATTGGGTGGAATGAAGTCTCGCGAATACCGCTAACTTGAAACGAAACTCAAAAAAAAAAAACAAAGCTTGGACAGCATCTGGAAAGGAAACAAAGCGAAGTGAAAAGAAAGGAAGAAATTGTATCGTTTGATGGTAGAAATTCTATTTAAGAGAGGAAGTATATTGTTGCAATATATCGATTCCTTGCTACAGAGAAGCTCGTAGTACGAAAAATAATTCTCCGACTCTTATTTTTCCAGAATTTCGTTACGGAGTAGTGCTTGTTCATTGAGAGAGGAGAACGCGGGGCGTGTTTAGAGTTTACAACAGTCGATCTACGAAACGAAAAACGGAAAAAGAACCTCTCTCGACGTGATTGTTGAAGTTGTGCTCGCTCGAGTAATACGAATTTCGTGCGCAACCGAATTACTCGTCTTTCTCTCTGTCTTTTTAGATATATATACATGAGTACATGGACGTACAGTAGGCCACAGTTGGGGGCCGAAACCGGATGCTTAAGCGGGCAGGTGTATTCACCGAAGGTAAGAGAGGGAATGAGAGTCAATTGTTTCGATACCAGGTGCCAATATTGGTATTACACATGTCGTTTGTTTTGCGCATGGAAGCGTCATGTTTCACGCGGTCGCATGGTAAAGTAGTATAGAGTGGGGATGGTCCCAATTGGTGGGGATAGCGACAGACGCTTAAACTGGGGACTATTGTACGTGAAATTTCAGCGTGAAAATTAACGCGCTCACTTTCTCACGAAAATTCACTTGTTCAATATCCACCTCGTTGTTTTCACGGCGTGTAAAATTTTTCGCCGCGCGACTGGCTACACGGCTGATCGGCTACACAAGTGCATATGTACTCGAGTATATACGACTGTCTACAGTTGGATTGACCTTGATTCCGATGGACGAGCGCGCGACCATCACGTTCGTTGTTACGAACGATCGTAGATCGGCGATTTCAAGTATCGTCCGTGTTTCTCACTCCGTTTTGCGATTGTCACTGAAAATACGAGAAGAAAACAAACCAAAAAAAAAAAATAAAGGAAACCGACAGAAAGATGCGTCGATAATAAATAAAAGACAGAGTGAGAGAGGGGGAAACTTTTGAAAGATTATCCTTGACGTTTGACCGATTTGAAACAATCGCAAGATCGACAGGAATCGCGGACTAGCGAAGTTTCAACAAAGAAACTGTCGAAAGGAAGCGTTCTCCGTCGTATCTGTTTGGTCACGCGAGATAGAAGAGAAGGTTCGCCGTTGAACGCGTCGAGGGAGGAAAAGGGGTGCGGCTCGCTGCATCGGACATCAGATATTGGGCACGCATGGTCGCGCGGCTTTTCCATTAATTAATTAATAATTAATTAAGCGCTCTCCCCGCTTGGTAAGTACTTTCGATTCTTGGATTTACTATTTCAGACGATCACGAACGACGCGACGTTATGTTTTCTTCGTCGCGAATTTCGGAGGGTTCGGACTGGACATTTGTTTCCTTCACCTTGGGAAAACTTTTGGGAAAGAATCAAGAATGGAGAAAGAGAGCGAGTAACGCGAGTTTGGTTTATAACGGTAGATAATAATTACGCTACGCTGCAAGAGCGCGTAGTTAGTGAAAGTCGCGGGGGCTGATTTAATCGATAACGCCGCCGCGAATGACAAGAACGGTGCCATTCTCGGTGCTGATTTTTTTTTTTCTTCTTCTTCTTTTTACATTTCAGAGTTGTGAATACTTCTGCCGAAGATAGAAAGAGAAAGAGAGAGAGAGAGAGAGAGAGAAATTGCTCGTTAATTGGTTGGCGCAAAATACAAGAAAGAAGCAGCGATGATAGTTGTATTGTTCGGCAATTATTTTCATATTTCACCTGGCGATCGATGTGCGGACGAAACAGAATTTCATCTCTTACAGCATTTGCAGTTTACAAATTTACAGAGGCTATGCTAGGCTAAACGTTAGGCTGTTAGGTCACTCCTGGAGGATCCCCCGTGTTGCGTAATTATCGAGAGGATAACAACGATAACAACGGGGTGCGGTTGCGAGTTGGCGTAAATTAATGGTCCTTGGAGTTAGAGCGTTAGTAGAGTGACAGCGTTGATTGCTGGGGAGAGATCGAAGCGGGAGGGTGGGAGAGAGCGCAACGAAATCGGCAAATTGGCCGAACAAACTGTTCTTGCATCCTACAGGAGCAGATGCGGCGAAAATGGGCTTGCGGGAGAGGCCGGTGGAGAAAGCGTAATCGGCAAACGAAATCAAACGAAAATCAAACCAAACCAAATCAAACCAAATCAAATCAAACTACGGGTCGATCGACGAGGGAAAATTAATACCGCGGCGCGGATTCGCAACGGTTTCTCCCATTTTGGACTTTCAAAACATTTATTTCCTGGTAATTACATGCTGTTTACATTTACAGAGTGCCGGTGGTTAGACGCACTAATGCGAGCGCACGGATGATTACCGAGTGTTAATTGTATCGTAGCTGCGGGGGGAGGGAAGAGGAGGATGCCAGCCGCAAAACCGCCGGGAACGCGTTCTCGAACTCACCGCGTCTCTCCCCCCCCCCCCCCCCATTCCTCACGCGCTGCAATCTATTTCTGATCTTTGATCTTTCGTTCTTTCCTAGCCTTTTTCCCCTCGTTCTTTTTTTTTTCTTTTCTCGGTTCCAATTCCTTGAATAACGAACGACAGCTCGCGAGTCTGCTGGAAAAAACAAATGTAGCCACATCATCGTGTTCGTTTCTTTCTTCCTTCTTTCCTTTCTTCCGCGCGATTTACTTTTTCTTTCGACGAAACGAAGGAGTACACAGTTCGTTAGTTCCCACAACTTGTAACAATCGAGTCGTGGTGCAAGTTTAGGGTCTCGATTGAAAAGAATAAAGTAAAAACTGCAAACCTACGAAATGCGAAGTGATCGGATTTTTACAGTTAATTCTCTGAAGTTAAACTGGGAACGTTGACGAATCAAAATTATACACATAACGTTTCGATGCTCTGAATACACTAAATTAATTTTGCAGTTTCAATAAGTGATGCTTACACCTTAAAACTGAAGAGGAAATCGTAAGGCGAGCAGCAAAGATGCAAGAAAGTGAAAGGAAAAGTTCCACAGGGTGGAAAGGAAAGTTTGTCCATGGCTATCATAAATGAATTCTACATCTCCAATTTGATGGAAATACGTGTAAAGAACCTGTCACAAAATTGATCTTGACTTTGAATTTTAAGGTTAAAAATTTTTTTTTTTTTTTTGTTGCATTGTGTTCTACTCATCGCGAAGATAAAACTTTTCCAAGGAATCATAGGTCGCAGTCAAATGGTTCTCTTGAAATATGGCAAAAAAGCCTCTAAATCCTAATCATTCAGCACTGCGTTCTAACAGCGACTTTAGTCGGACGAGTGGATGTAATGTTTATATTTCGAATAATGCCAACAGTTACTTTTATTATTTAGACTCGCACTGATGCCACATACTATGACAAATCAAAGTTTAATGAAACCTAACGTGAAAATTACGTAAAGTAGAAACCCATAATCACCCAAAACCGTAAAGTCGCTGTTAGGACTCGTGCACGATGTCAAACAATTAAGAAATTTGTTTGCCATTTCTCAAGAAAACCGTTAGGTTGTGACCTACACAGTCACTTGGAAAAGTTTCACCTTCGTAACGACCAGAATATAATGCAAAAAAAAAAAAAAAAAAAAATTCTGATCTGAAATTCTTGAGGTCAAGGTCAATCTTGCGGCAGTCGCTTTACATCAAATCACCTGCGACAGCCACGGACAAACTTTCCTTTCCATCCCGTGCACACCCAATGGACGAATCGAGTGCGATCAAATTGTCAACGATGCGTACTTTCGATCGAGCTCGAATCGAATATGGAAATTGCATGGAACGTGGTGGTTTAACGACGCGGTGCGACGTGACGTTCGACGCGCGTGGAATGCGAGCGAGGATTCGGGACACATACGATATTAGCGGCGACGTCGCCGACCGTGTTTCGCGTTTCCGCGGCTTTTGTGAATTCGTGAAGCTTGATTTTTTGCCAACAGTTGCGCTCTTGCACGAGGAAAAGCCTCGCCTCTCCACTTGGACCGCCGATTCACTGACGATTCCTTGGTCTCCGAAGAGCGGAAAGCTAGTTTCGAGTAGACTGTAGATTGCTTCCTCTTAACTCCAACTCTGTTTGTTCTTTCGTTTGCTCTCCCTCCCCCCTCCCTCTTCGTAATCGAATAAATCCTTGTCTCTAGGGAACAGCAGGGCGAAAAATCGTCGAAGACCGCGGTGACGTACGTATGTAGCTCTGCTGGTGCGCTCGACGTTGTTCCAATGTTGTTGTCGTTGCTTCAATCGTGCCCATTGAGTTTCCAACGACGAGTGAAAATTGAGTTTTGTTCCGCGTGTGTTTGTATGCAAGTGCGTGACACGATTTTCGAAAAGTGTAACTGAGTAGGCAAGGGCATCTATCTCTGTCCATTTCCAAACCAAGGCCAAAAGATTTCGAACGCAAACAGTCCTTTCGCTGGCCCTTCATTTTCCCCGTGGATCCTTCGCGGATCTAGACCGGGTCCGGTGCAGGCGCCAGTAGCTGCATGCTGCTGCTAGAATGCGCGATCTGCAAAATTCAACGGCTCATTTCTCAGACTCGTTCGTTCGTTCGCCAACTTGGAGAATCATTGGAAAAAATTGGCATCCGACTGAATAAAATTCATCCAATTCTGCGCGGGGAAATCGAAACAAACAGGAGAGAGAGGGAGAGAGAGAGGGAGAGAATTTATTTTTTTATCGTAGGGAGTAAAAATTTCGTTCGCTTTGTTTCTGCGAAAGGATTATCCCGGGTTTTGAAAATACGGCCAAACGTAAAGAGCAGAGTGAACGATTTCCAAAAATTCGATTCGAGGAGCACGTAAACACACGGGTGGGAAAAAGGAAAGTTTGTCCGTGGTTTTCATAGACGAATTTTTCTACATTCGATGCCGCAAACTTGATCTTCGTCATCTTGGATTATTAAAGTTAAAAGAAATTCTTTTTTTTTTTTTTTTTGCACTGTATTCTATTCGATAACACAAAGGTAAAGGAGCCATAACGTCGCAACCTAAAAATGGCAAAAGAGTCGTTCGATACCGCGTGAGTGCTAACAGCGACTTTATGACGATGTACTGTTTATATTTCGAATAACGTTGACAGTTGGTCTTCATCATTTGATTATTCAGACTCGCACTGATGCTACAACTATGATGAATTAAATGTTAGTATAACCTAGTACGAAAACTACGTAAAAATCCACGCGTCTAGAGAATCGTAAAGTCGCTGTTAGGACGCACGCGTTAAATAATTATGAAACATTTTCGCCATGTTTCAAGAGGACTCTGTTAGATTCTTTTATCTTCGTGATGAGTAGAATACAATGCGAAAAAGAATATTTTGATCTTGAAATTCAAGAGTCAATTTTCGTTAGGTTAGAAATTCGGGAGTCCATTTTCCGATATATGTAAAATAACAAAAATTGACTCTTGAATTATATTTTACATATATTTCCATCAAATCGAAGGTGTGGAATTTATCTATGATAAATAGCCACGGACAAACTTTTCTTTCCATCCTGTACATAGAGAGAGAGAGAGAGAGAGAGAGAGAGAGAGAGAGAGAGAGAGAGAGAGAGAGAGAGAGAGAGAGAGAGAGAGAGAGA